TACAATAAGGTGTGAAGAACCTTTGGTCCTCCATATATTGCTGAACTACAACTCCCACCAATGCTTGCAAAGATGGGCAATGACCAGGCACGATGGGAGCTGGTTGTTCAGCAACATTTGGAGGGCCAAAGGTCCCCCACATCTAATTTAACTGAAAAGGAAGCTTGGTGCAATTGACCACCCTACCCTGAAAGTTCTGTGCTTGCAATTTAATATAATATGCTAGCACTTCAGGGCAGAACAGCAGAGGAGAGCAAGCCATACACAGAGTGAACAGAAAGTTTGATTGAATTCAGGAACGACGGAGAGCATCACATGCAGAGTCTTCATCATGTGTGGGCAATCATTGGCCCTCTAGATGGGGCTGAACTTCAACTCCCATCATGCCTGGGAGTGCTGGGACTGATGGGAGTTGTAGTTCAGAGGCAGTGAGAGATTTAACTTTCTTGGGCTCCATGACCACTGCAGATGGTGACAGCAGCCCCGAAATTAAAAGACGCCTACTTCTTGGAAGAAAGGCAATTACAAACCTAGACAGCATCTTAAAAAGCAGAGACATCACCTTGCCAACAAAGGTCCGTATAGTAAAAGCTATGGTTTTCCCAGTAGTGATGTATGGAAGTGAGAGCTGGACCGTAAAGAAGGCTGATTGCCAAAGAATTGATGCTTTTGAATTATGGTGCTGGAGGAGACTCTTAAGAGTCCCATGGACTGCAAGAAGATCAAACCTATCCATTGTTAAGGAAATCAGCCCTGAGTGCTCACTGGAAGGATAGATCCTGAAGCTGAGGCTCCAATACTTTGGCCACCTCATGAGAAGAGAAGACCCCCTGGAAAAGACCCTGATGTTGGGAAAGATGGAGGGCACAAGGAGAAGGGGACGACAGAGGATGAGATGGTTGGATAGTGTTATTGAAGCTACCAGCATGAGTTTGTCCAAACTGCGGGAGGCAGTGGAAGACAGAAGTGCCTGGCGTGCTCTGGTCCATGGGGTCACGAAGAGTCGGACACAACTAAACGACTAAACAACAACATCTAGGAAGCCAAAGATTCCCCACCCCTTCATTGGATGCCCTCATTGGGTTATATACTATTATGAGAGAGGGAGAGAAAAGGCTCTCTCTCTCTCTCTCTATTCCAGGCTCTCCTGCGTATTTTTACTCCAGAAAAGGAGCGTGTAAATTGGATTGATTGAGGACATGAGATATAGCACCCCCTTTTTGAGGATCCAGGCAGAGGTTGACATAGTCCATTGTTTTGTGAATGTGGCACAGGCAGCCAATGAAATTGTGGGCTCAGCATTCCCAGAATGCAAGCTGTTCATCAGGCTAAAGGGCTGTGTGTGAGTTTTTTTTGCACAGGTGCCCCTGATGCAAAGAGCTACAGCGTAGCTTTCAAAGAGATGCACAGACAGCACTCCTGAACCATCTGGTAGATATTAGAAGACCCTTTTTTCCCCTGGTCCTCCTCTGCGTCACCCGGTAATGGAAGCAGCAGACACCTCCTCCTGCAAATTCTTTCTAAAACTAGTCAGGAGAACCTGCCGGAAGTGGTTTGGCTTCAAAACTCGAGGTAGGAACTTCTTCGGCAGGGACGTGAGCAACTGCAGGTGAGTCTCTGACTCAAGAGCAGAACAGGGCTTTGCATGCCATGACAGCCCTTGAGGGAGTGTTGTTGTTCTTGTTTTCCTGGCAGGTTTTGATTCCATAGTGAAATTATTTCGATGCTAGTAATTGAGGTCATCCTCCCCTCTACGGATCTGCAATGGGTGTTTGTTAAAAGGGCAATTGATCTGATGTGTAGATGTCAGCTCCCCCCAGGCTATGGTGACAGGCTAGGCTCAAACTAGATGGTTCGAGAGGAAATCCTGCATTGTTGTTTTTTAAAAAGAGCAGTTTTAGGAAGGAGTAGGATTTCAGGCTCGTGGCAGTAGAGAGGGGTTTAATTTTCCCCACTGCAAACATTTTTACGATGAAATCAAGACACCTGTCTGTCTTATTAGATTCACAGCCCATCTTTCCTCCCAAAGGAGCCCAGAATGTCAGACAACAAGTTGTTGCAAATGCATTTCTACCACACCTTTCTCCCAAACTGAGGTTCAAGGCAGCCCTGTATAGGGGAGTTTTTAATGTTTTGTTATGTTTTTATATATGCTGGAAGCCGCCCAGAGCGGCTGGGGTTTCCAGTCAGATAGGCGGGGGGAAATAATAAAATTATGATGATTAAGTATTGTATAACAACATGAATGGACCCAAACAGCAATGAGAACTCCCTCTTCCATTCATGGTGCTGGAAATTTAAAATGTGGTTGACATGTGGAAACCCCTTGAACTTGCTTTCACGTGAGTGGAGTGAATCCATGGAGTGAATCTTCAGCATTTTATATTGTCTCCCTGTGGCAAGAGAAGCCATGCTGAGTCATAAACGGTGGCATGTTCTGTAAACAGTATGGTCCCCATAACAGACTCGTGCTTAACCGAGACATGGGTGAGCAAACATCTCATTCAACTTGCAATATGCTGTCTAGTTAAACACTCGCCAACCGCAGCATCATTATGAATAAATGGAAAACTCCAGAGTTGTGCAGAGAAGCTAATTGTGTTGGGTGTGATCGGTGCAACTTTTTTTTTTAAAAAAAGCAAAATATCCTAATAGGTAATAGTTTCTGTGTTCATCTATTTTTTCTGCAATCTGACTTGCCGCTTTGCAGCTTGTGATAGCTACAGAGCAGAAATCTCTTTTGCTGAATGTTTTTGGAGACTTGTTATTTGCAAGGGGAGGTTTCATGAAATGGGAAACTCACCTTTTCCCACTGCTGCCACTGCCTAGAAAGGAATTGCACTCAAGGATGGGCAACCTGCGGCCCTCCAGATGTGGTTAGACTACATCTCCCATGATCCCTGACCGTTGACCAGGCATGCTGAGGCTGATGGGAGTTGTAGTTCAGGAACATCCAGAGAGACACACGTTTCCCATCCTTGCATTAGATGTTTGCCTGCTGTAGTGGCCCAGCCCAGCACAAAGGCTGACTGTTCAGCAAGGATGCACAGCCAATGAATGAAAACAGCTGAGCCTTGCCCCTTGTTTTTCTGGTGAGTGATCTACACGCAGAGAAACCCAGTTCAGGCATTTGTCTCTGTTCGGTTGACAACCCTTGAAATTTGCTGTTGCTTATAAGCACATAAGCACATAGGGACGCGGGTGGCGCTGTGGGTTAAACCACAGAGCCTAGGACTTGCCGATCAGAAGGTTGGCGGTTCGAATCCCCGCAACAGGGTGAGCTCCTGTTGCTCGGTCCCTGCTCCTGCCAACCTAGCAGTTCGAAACCCCGTCCAAGTGCAAGTAGATAAATAGGTACCGCTCTGGCAGGAAGGTAAACGGCATTTCCGTGCGCTGCTCTGGTTCGCCAGAAGTGGCTTAGTCATGCTGGCCACATGACCCGGAAGCTGTACGCCGGCTCCCTCGGCCAATAAAGCGAGATGAGTGCCGCAACCCCAGAGTCGGTCACGACTGGACCTAATGGTTAGGGGTCCCTTTACCTTTATGTGCTGTCAAGGGGACATCACAAGCTGTCAAGGGGACAACACAAGGGACTTCCTAGATTTGAAAACTGGTTTGTTTGTTTGTTTGTTTGTTTGTTTTTTAAAATATATAAAATAAAAACCAGCCGACAGGCTCATCTCCATGTTGTGAAGAAAATAATTATTGTGCATTATCTTCTATTCCTCAAGTTACTGTTGCAGAAACTTTTTCTATTCAGTTGGCCGGGCCCGTCTTACCCATTGAGGCTAGTGGCACGGGGTGCCAGGGTGCCAAGTTCTGCAGGGCACCAGGCAAGAGTCTGGGGAACACCAAACGAGTGTGTTGAGTGAGCGAGGGTGCATGCGCCGCTCCTGCTGAGCGTCGGCTCAGTTTTTTCCCCTTTTAGCCTGCAGGCGCCGAATTCTGCGGGGTGCCAGAAGGTTAAAAGGGGAAAAAACTGAGCTGACGCTTGGCGGGAGCGGCGCACGCACCCTCGCTCGCTTGGCACAGGCCCGCTCACTCGGTGTGCTGCCTCCCATGGCCACCGCGGCACGAAGCGGCCAGCTGAGCCAGGAGGTGCTGTGTCCAGCCTCTTCCTCTTCCTCGCTGGAGGAGCTGCCCTCCAGCCGCTGCCCGCCTCCTCCAGCCCTAAAAAAAGGTCAACTCTGGGAAAGGGGGGGGGGACTGGAGGAATCTTTGCAACACGGCGCCAGATATGCTTAAGATGGCCCTGCAGTTGGCCATCCCAAATTGCAAACCTAAAGGCCTTTGGGTGCAAGGAGATTTACCTCTGAGTAAACAGACACAGGGTTTTGTTTAAGTCTTCCATCTGTTGTAAACATATCTGATGTTACAATTTTCTAGCAATCAAACTTCAGTATGTTGTCACTAGGAAAATGCAATAGTGGATGAGAAGGAACAATAGTTTGACTTGGTGCACTCCGTGAATTTAACATGACTCGAGTAATAGTTTAGGGCAGGCTTCATCAATCTGGTGCCCTTCAGATATTTTGGACTACAATGCCCATCAGCCGCAGGAAGTAGAACTTGGGGTGGTGGGAGTTGTAGCACAAAACTTGATGAAGGCTGGTTCAGAGTTAGGTGCACAATCTTCATAGCCCATGATTTGGTTTGAATCAAGAGTTAGTTTTAAACCGCATTTCCTGGTTTGTACTTAATGAAAATCTAGGATTTGTATCAGTAATGGAGGAGAGGGTCATGTGACCCCAAGGCTTCACTGAGGCTCAATCTAGTTTGTGCACACAGTGCTAAGCCATGTTTGGTATTTGGTGCAAACTGGCCCAGTATAAGGTTGCTTCATGTGTGCAGTTGATTTCTGCAGATCAAGCTGCTGTTCCAAGCACAGGATGTTGTGTTTTTTTTTTGTGTTATCTCTGCCTCTCCTTCACATGGGTTGGCAGCCTTCATCAGGATGGGAAAGGTCCCACATTCTCCTAGCAGCATCTTACCACATCTAGCTTCCAGTAGCACCTTAGAGACCAACTAAGTTTGTTATTGGTATGAGCTTTCGTGTGCATGCAATAACAAACTTAGTTGGTCTCTAAAGTGCTACTGGAGGGATTTTTTTATTTTGTTTCAACTACGGCAGACCAGCATGGCTACCTACCTGTAACCACATCTAGCTGTTATCCAGGAGTAAGTGAAGATTTAACAGATCTCGGAACAAGTTTCAAGCGAGGTCATTTTCTTCCCATCCCAACTCAAAAGGAACTCTCACTGACCCGGATTAGTAATAACACCCGAAACCAAGACAATATTATTTTTGTTTTCACTGCGGAAACTTTTATTCCAGTTGTGGTTTCCAAAGAGGAAATTTTTCCAGCCACGGATGAAGTCTGAATCTGGAGGAATCCAAATCCTTTTCTATTTCTCATATATATATATATATATATATATATATAAAATTTTCAGGTATACATTTCCCACAACAGTACATCCAGCAACTTTCCTTCTTCTCCTTCCATGGTTCCTTGTACCTTCAAAATTAACTGCATATTTTATTTCCTCTATTCCTTTTGTTCTCTTACCCTGCTAGCTCTGCATATTCCATCATTTTCAGCTGCCATTACTCCTCCAGATCTGTTTCTAATTCTCATGCCAGAGTCTGCCTTGACCTATCACCTATGTTGTTGTTCTTATAATTCAGAGAGCTTTAGGACTGGGGAAGGAGGTGAGGGCACGTAGCTTGCTTTGGGAGAAAAAGGTCTTCTGTTTGTTCAGTCAGGGAAATGAACACATGGCATCTTACGCTCTTCTGCCATGTGTTCCTGCCCCTCTGTTGAGTCCATCAGCAGAGGCCTTGCCTTGTGTCCTGCCATCATCAGAGGCCCCCGAAGCTGTGGAATTTCCTTTTTCTGGGGGCAGATAGCAGCAGGCTGGGAGGTGGTGGGAATCTTTTCTGCTACATCGTCAGAAGAGCTGCGCATCAGAGGAGTCGGAAGGTTCAGCCACCTAGCCCAGCCAGCAATGGCTACTTTCCCGGGTTGTGTGTGTGTATTGAGGAGCCTATTTATTTTGAGAGTGACAGTGGGACACTGGCCCTGATGGGGAATCTAGATTCCACTGACTGACTGGATGCTGAGGAGTAGTGAGGGGCACCAGCCGGGGAACCCCAAAGGAAACCCCCAGGGGAAGAAGGCTCAGAGCCAGTGGTTTGATGATGGGATGATGATTTGTGGTCAGTGGGAGCAGATTGGGAAGAGAAGATGTTGGAAGCTGAAGGTAACAGGGTTTAGTGAGCGGGAAGAAGCTGTGGCAGAGAGCAGTCCAGAATTGGAGGCAGAAGTGGAGGCTGGAGAGGGGAAGGTCAAGAGGCAGAGCCTCAGGATGAGGAGGAGGAGACTTAGAGAACGTGGGAAGGCGGGATCCTTCAGTCCTCGCAACTGCCTCATTGGGGCAAGACCCACTGGGATGAGTGACTGTGATCACTAGGCCTGTGCTATTTGGGTTTCTTTGAATAAGGAGTTAACTTCACTGACACCGGCTGTTTTATTGCTGAGCTGCTCCTGAGACTACGGGGAGGGATGTGAGTTAACTTGGCTTCCAAGTGAGGTGTAGGATGTTGGGGACCCGTGTCTGCCGTGAGACCACAAAACACGGTTCACACATGCAATGAGTGGGTACTTCCTGATTTTGCTGTTTTATATTGATCAATTGCTTTCTGTTTATTTTACTTTTCATTTTGTACCAATATGTTGCTCACTGCTTTAGGGGCCTTTCGGAGCAAAAAAGTGGAATACAAATGTCATTGTCAGACACCGAGGCATAGGCCATACATTGCAGCCGTTCTGATTTAATCTGTAAAAAATGCTTTGCTTAGCTGGGACTCTGGTGATTCTGGACAGAATTCAACTAACTTGTTGCGTGAACAGAATGAGCTCTGTTTATGCAATAGGATTTGATACTTATCCTCTGTGAATTTGCCTAACCTTCCAAGTTGGTGGCCATCCCTCTTGCGAAAGGATTCTTAAAGATTTGTGCTATCAGAAGTGATAAAATGCTTCCAGAAAAATTGGTTTTCCTGCCTACCGGATGTGTGTGTGTGTATACATCTTTATCACATTTGATGCTGGTGTTGCTGGTATCTTGCTGGGAACATTTAATTCCAAGGAACTCTGCAGGGCCACTTGGGCACGATTTGCACGAACAACTCTATTTAAAATCAGAGCAAACACTTAGTGACGGTTGCTTCCCTTCTTGCTACCCTGGGGAAAAACCCTCAGCTGGCCAATAGCAGGATATATAAACAGTCCGCACAGTCCCCAAAGTAGGAATACTGAAAGGAAAGTATAATATTGTGTTGTCCAGCAAGGAATTGTGTATTTTTATACTCCCCACCACTACCACCCATACACTTTAATTTTGTCCTGGCACCCACTGCTGGTTTTTTTAGATGCTTTTGGGCAAGAATCAGGATATTATCAGTTCCTTTTTACTTATAGCCGGCCTGGGCAGTGGGAGGTGTGTGTGTGGGGGGGGGTGTTAGTTGCCTGCTGCTCCCCATCTTAGCCTCACTTTTGCCTTTGTAATCTTCAGCAGGGAGGATGGGGACATAACTAGCCTCTTCCTGTGATTGGCAGGTCGCTGTGTGATCCACTGCCTCTCATACAAACCTACGTCGCAGGGTGGTTGTGAGCATAAAATGGAGAGAGCGGAGAACCAGCTGCACAGCTTGGATAGCTCAGTTGGTTAGGGCTCGGTGCTGATAATGCCAGGGTTGCAGGTTCGGTCCCCGAAAGGAACAGCTGCATATTCCTGCATTTCAGGGGGTTGGACTAGATGATCCTCAGGGTCCCTTCCAACTCTAAAATTCCATGATTCTACGGTTTTAGACCACGCTGCACTCCTTGGAGCAAAACGTGGTATACAGTGCAACAGATGAATAAATTAAAACACCTGTGCTAAAATCCACCATTCACCTGCCACACATGCGGTATCAAAGGAAGAAGTTAAGCGGGGAACTTTAAAATCCTGGAAAGTTTGACACACACACCGCTCCACACGAGCGCTTTCTATTTTTCTTTTGCCTTGCCCGATCCTTGGGCGCGTTTACTCGTAGGCAAGTCCCACTTGAATACTACAGTGGGGATCTTCCAATAACCAGAGTGATAGCAATGTGCAGCCCCGATCCTCCTCGCTTTCGGTTCTACTCGAGAGCTAAATCTCCCCCATAGAAGAACTGCAGATGATTTCTTAAAATAAGCGCGCGCAGGCGCTGAATTCCAATTCGCAATCCTCTCCGCACGCCCAGTTGCTGTCGTTATGCTTTTGTCTTGTTTGCACTTTGCAATACCCACTCTGCCCGCTTACTCAGGAGTAACTCCCGGTTTAATTCAACGGAAAGGGGTAAACTTTTCCAAACAATCGCGCGCAAGCAGGCATCGCCTTTCAAAGTTGGCAAGCCTCTCTCCGCAACGCTTTAGCTGTTGCTTATTTTGCAATCTCTTATTTTGCAAGAAGAGGAGGATTCCTCCAGGGCTGCTGTGAACAGGCAAAGCAAGCGAAAACTGCATTTATGCAGATACCCGCGGGGGAAAAAAGCCGCGCGCAGGGTCCGCGGAAGAGGCGCCGCGCAGCAACAGGTTGAGCTGTGCGGTGAGAGATAGGGCGGGGGCGGAGCTAGAACGATAGGCGTGGCTAGGAATAGGAGGAGGAGGAGCCGCGGGGGAGAGAAAGAGAGACGTGCGTGTGGTCCAGTCTTCCCTCCAGTGGGCGGGAGGAGGGCGTGGCCACGCCCGAGGCGTTGCATTCAAAGGTGGGCGCGAGCGAGGGGGCGTGGCCCTCGGCCGGCAGTTAGCCTATAAAAGCTCGCGCGGCGCCCCTCGCGCGCGCCGATATCCAGGAAGCTCGTGAGGCGGTTGGTCGTTAGTCTTTCTCTCGAAGCCTCCGTTTCCCCGTCGACGTTTTTCCCTCTCTTTTTATTCGTTTAAACTTTTTGGGACTTCTCCCCACTCACATCCTCGCCTTATTGGGAGGGGTCCGGTTTCGGGCGCGGATTTCTTGTGAGGAGGCAGCCCCCCCCCCAACACCCCCTACCCAGGTAAGAGGTGAGGCTACGGCGGTTTGCGCGTGCGCGTTTGCGGCGTTAACGGTTCCGATGGCAGGGTCGCGAGTTCGAATCCCACCCTGGGCGGAGCCGTTGATTTACGTTTTTTTAAAAACTGGGGTTGGGGGGAGAGACGGGACACCCACCTGTCACCATTCTCTGTCGGATTCTCTCTAGCTAGATTCAGAGCGAAATGTCCCAACGACAGCTGTTTCAAATCGGTTTTCCTTTTTTCCTGGTCATCATTTTTATTAAATTTTCCAGTTTTACATTTCCAAATAACAAACTTTGAAATGATCCAATGGCTTCCCTTCTTCTCTCTCCATTTTACATGTCATATACGTGTGTTTTTACCATAACCATTCAAATCAGTTTTCCACTTTTACAGCCATCAAAGATCGAATTTATCTCAATGCTGTCAACGTTTTCAGCTGTGTACAGTTGTTTTTCACGTATTCAATAAATGTTTCCCAGTCTTCTTTAAATGTATGTTAAATGGCTTTCTTTTGACGCCAAGTGCTCAGAAAAATCTCAGAATTTCTACTTTTAGTTAAGTATTTTTATTTATCTACTTCATTTGGGGGGGGGAGCTAAACTCCCCCCGCCCCCTGGCTACACACATGAATCCCACCCCAAGAATTTGACCGCTGTTGTTGTTGTTATACATTTATTTATACCCTGCCTTTGCCCCCCAACAGAGACTCCAGGCGGTTTACTAAGAACTTTTGCTTCTCAATATTCTCTGGTTGGCCTCTGTTATTTTCTCCTATGGATAGAAAACCTACATAAGGACTCTATACGGGCACTTGGATACCCATAAGGGATAAAGGAGCATTTTTTTTCTTATAACAAACTATAAAACATAGCATCAGTCACTTAGTTCTAGGAACGTTTAATAGCTATAAAGCAGAGAAATTGTCACTTTAAACAATTAAACATTAATAGAAATAAAGCTGTCTGTCCGTGATCTGTGAAAAACATGCTTCCACAATAAAAACAACGCACCTCACCTTCAGCCTGGCCCTACTCTACAGGGTTGTCGTAAGGACAATGCGATGGGTAGAAGTGGTGGTGGGAAGGGATGCATGCAGCTTTGTGAGGAAAGGTGGGGGTGTAAGGATGATAAGTGAATATTTCGCCCCAAGATGGTGCTTCTCCAAAGGGGAAAGGCGAGATCTTTAGTTAGCTTTCCCTTTGAGGATGCCTTAAAAGTCCTCCTTTCCCCACCTGTCATTTCCTCCTTTCCACTTCATGTATTTTCTGCCCTACCTGCACCCCCCCCCCCCCAGTTCTCATCCTACTGCTCAAAAGTTGGTCCTGTTTTCTGCTGTTCTGGATCTTCTCTCTTTTCTTCCTTTGCTTCTCCCCTGGCCCAAACCATCCCAGTGTGAAGATGACGGATTTGATGACTCTTTCAAGTCTTATTGTCACCTCAAATAATGGGCCTTTCATTGTTGCTGGGTTTTAAAAACAAACAAGTCACAAACAGGTAGGAAAAGTCACATAAGTATCAAATAGATGATGGTAGCCCAGCATGATTACTATTTTTTAAGAAAATACACAAGGTTACAGTCATTACTGTGCAAAGGCTTCATAATAAACAATAAAGAATAGCTGATTGTCAACAAGGCTATTTGGATGACCCGAGAGAGTCTCTGTAACAGCAAACTGAATTCAGCTTCACAAAATCTTCTCTGATGTTGCCTCAAATAACGGAACTTGCTTCTCTTTGGATGGTGGCAAAAGGGGACCCCTTCCCCAACTTCAGGTATTTTTGTTTGGGGGAGAATAGATCTGTTCCTGTCTTGTTGTCTCATTCTCTTCCACTATCCCCCAACGTTATTCATTTTAAAATGGTTTACTTTAATTGTTCATGACAGAAGAAACAGCCTGTTGAATTAGACCAATATTTCATCATATTTCATCTCCCTACAGCACCCTGTATCCAACAATGGTCATTTAGTTGTCTCCGGAGAGCTCATAATGCGGGGCAGAAAGGCAACAGGCCTCCTTTGTTGTTGTTTTCCCTACATCTGGTATTGAGTTATTATCCTGCCTTTGCACATGAAGGTTCTGCCTGGTCCTCGTGGTTAATGGATCTTTTTCTGAAAAGGCTATTTAGGTTTGGCAGTTTTCAGGAGTATGAGGGTTAAGAAGGAATTGAACCATCTTTTTTTCCTTGATTAGCAGAGGGGGAAAGAGAAAAGAAGATGGGGAAAGCTAAAATGATGAAGCATTCACAAATCCCTTGTGTTTAGGGGCAATATAGACTAGTTCAATATTCTGGGCATGGATGAGGTGTACTATTTCTTATTTCTAGGAAGGGAGCAGAATGCTCTACTAGAGTGGTCTGAAGAGCAAAACAAGTTTGTCACGACCTATGCAGGGGTTAAACACAAACTTTCCCATGAAAGTTTTTGGGGAAGAGTTGGATGCCACCCATCCACTTTGAATCCAACTTGTTCTTTTTGTGGGTAAGATGAAATTTAAAAAAATACACTCCAGATCTTCAATTCCAGAGGTGTAGCTGTTAGTCTGCTACAGCACACATAAAAACAACATGTGGCATACGTTTTCATGGACTTGAGCTCACTTTCTCAGTTGAAGTCAGCTCTGGTCCACAAAAATGTATGCATCTGGTAGTCTTTAACATCTGGTAGTCTTTAAAGTGCCATGGGATTTTTAAAATCACAATTTTGAATAGTTCTAATGCCATTCCCTTGTAATTATTTGTTAGATTCTTATTATTTTTATTAAATGAGACTCTGCTTTCCCACTGCAACATGGCTACCTCTCTAGAAATTTACTAGTGCATGTGGTTTGTTTGTTTTTAATTGATGTGGTGAGGAAAGTGGTTACTGCCTGAAGTAGAGTAACATATTTGTTGATGAAAGCATACATAGACTCTCAAGTGCTAGAAATGGCTGCTTGTCTGATGGATGTTGGCAAGTTTTCATAAAATGGGATGTTAGGGTGACTGGGGCTACCATGCAAAGCACATTAAGTTGGAATCAACAAGTATTTTCAAGTCTAAACATGTTCTTTTCTGGGAAAGTGTATAACAACCAAATATATATACAACTACCCATGAGTTTCCAAGGGCAGCAGCTTGGAAAACAGTGATGCCTGCTCTTATTCCTGGCACTGTAGGCATACAGTAGGCTGACTAGGCAGATGTTCTTTGTTGTAAAATGGAATGGTGTTTTTTTAGAATGGAATCTTATCAGTTAGTGGTGTGGAGGTGGATAGGAAGAGAGGAAGTGTTTCCCTTTAGAGAAAAGGGTAAAGAAAATGTCTTGCATCCTGGAGCTCTCCTTCTAGTGGCACTCCAGTTTTATGGAGATCCTTGGTGTAGGGCTCCTAACATTTGCATGTAAAGAGAACAAAGACCTGGTATTCTACTGGTTTGGAAAGGACCTCTACAGGAAAGGAAATTCTAGCAGTTTGCGTTTTGACATCAAATGTTCTTCCTTGGAAAACAGTAGAAACAGCTGGAAACCTCTAGAAGTTAGCCAATTGGGCTGGACTTGGAAGAGGGAAACAAGTTGTCACTTTGTAGGGAGGTGGAGGCAGACACTGAAATTAGAACTGGCAAGTTGCAAACCTTTATAAGCAGAACTGCAAAAAGTTGCAGCAGACTGTTATTTCTTCAATTTCATTGGCTCCTTTGCTGCTGTTGTAGTTTACTATTGACTGCTTGCTTTAGGAGTTATGCCCAGATCGTCAAATCAAAGAAAAACACAAAAAATGAATGCATAATTATAGCACCCCTTAAACTCTGCCAGTGTTACCCTGTCTTCCTGTTTCCCTTTTCTATAAAAAGCCGTGTAAAGAAATGCTCCTGTTTCTACTAGACTATGGGGTGGCATTCTTAAGCATTGTGAAATCTTTTTTTAAAAAAATAATAATTCCAAAATGAGGTCCTCCAGTTGCAGTCAGATGCAGAATGGTGGCCAATGGAGTCTGTGTGGTTAGCATAGAATCAAAGAATACAGGGATCCATTTCTGGCAGCAAAACTGAGCCCACAGTCTGTCACAGAATTCCGCTTCTGGTTTTCCCCACCTCCCAATCTTTCGTAATCTCAGCAGCTGTTGCTTGGCCCTGTACTAGACTTCAATGAGGAAAAGAAATTAAAGCCTGTACTTTTAAACTGCTTTTGTGATTTGAAAGCTTATTGCGGGTTTTTATATTGGTTAACAAGAGTTTGCATATATGACTCATAGGCAGGTTTCTACTGATCATGATCACAGGAGTTTTGCTATAAATAGCAACCAACTCCGATAAAAATCATCCCATATATTAAGAACTTCTTCTGAGGCCTTACTTCATGTGACACCACCTTTAGCTCAAATGGAAGAGCAGAATCTGGCTTCATTCTCAAAAATATACATTATTAGGTTTTACGGGGGCAGTAAAAAACCTTCATTTTTGCTAAGGTGATCTTGATTTGATTAACTAACTGGCTGCTCCTTTTGTATGTTAGTGTTGATATGCATTTATCTTTAACCATTTTAATAGAACAGTTTTTAATAGTGCCAGCCATCATGGAGATCTTCCTTGGGTAAAACAGTGGGGTACAAATATTTTAAAGGTAGTGCCTTGGGATATCTATGCAGGAGCAGTAACCAACCCCATCAAGCTGTCTCATCTGCAAGGCTGACATGGGGATCACAACCTGATTGATCCTTTAGGAGGCAAAGGGGGTCTGAAGCAGCCAGCAGTGGGTGTTGGGGGGGGGACACTTTTGGGTCCTTACCTTGAAGAATTTTTCTGGTACTGAGGAAGTGCCTTGGGGTTCTCTCCAGCAGCAGTGCAAGTGCAGCCATAAGTGCACACTTGAGAACTGAGTAATGGGTGATGTGGAAAAATCAATACAGTACTCAGGAGGACTGCATCCATAAGCTTTAGGAGGTTTGCTAACTTGATTGGTGGAAAAGCGAATTTCTGCTCCCTCTACTGGTAGCTCTTATATAGTTATATGTATAGGAAGAGTGAATGCTGAAGCAAGGTCTTGTATTTAAAGGTGAACAAAAGAAAAAGTTTGTAGACAATGATTAATTACAGTGAGTAAAGATACTTTGTGTGAGCACAATTCTTCTGTAATCAAATGAAGTGTCTATATGGTATGCATCTTTTCTACCCAGTTGGGGAAAAAACATTACAACTATTTCTAATTGGTGCTGCTCAACTGAAACTTCTACTTACTACTCACTGACATAATTGATTTTACTGCTGTTGAACTCACTGATAATTACTATATCTGTTAAATTTATTATAACAAACTATTCTTTTCAATGTTATGACTACTAATCAACAATAATATTTTTTCCTGCAATTGAATTTATTGTTATTATTGACTCCGCTATTGACCTTACTACTGCATAATTTACCACTACTACTGATGCAGATTTTTATGACTGCTGACTGATTTATTTATTTAACAATTTATTTATTTATTTAGCAATTTATATACTGCTTGGTTGTAAGAAAACCTCTAAGCAGTTTCTGACTTGGCTGTTATGGACCCATTCAGTGTATTAATGCTTAATCAGTATTATTATTGATTTTGTGGGCATCCCATTGGCATCTGATTGGCCACTATGAGAACAGGATGCCGGACTAGATGGGCCTTTAACCCGATGCAGTCCGATGTTCTTCTTACAATGTTGTTAATTTGCTTGGATTAAGGAATTAGATAAGCAGTTATTTAGGCACAACGTATTAGTAATTGAATCTTTTTTAAAATTATTTGTCCAGTTTGGTTCATGATCAGCTATGTAGTTTTACTTAACATAGAATGTCTACTATAGCAGATAAACCTAGACTCTTCAACAGGTAAAATAAATTACAATATCAAAATGGGTTGGGGAAGCTGGAACCATTATAAAGACGTTGCAGGAGTATAGGGTTGAATTCAGACACAGTGAACTCAACAGAACTTAGTTATGGCTAATGTAAGTCCCACTGATTTCAGTGGGTCTTTTCAAAGTACAGTATGACTTAAGCCACTTCTACACATGTTATTTTTCAGGTTTAGACTTTTGCAGTAAGGAAATTGATAGAGAAATGCACTGATAACTGTGAGGTAACAATTGCTGCATGTGACATCATGTGACCTCACCACAAACAAACCAGAATGAATGGTGAATAAACAACAGGTGTTGTATAACCTTACCACAAACTTTGTGCAAACAGATTGGGATTACTGATCAATAAATGCGGCATTTGGGAACAGCCTAGCTCTGGATTCAACTGAGAGCTACTAATTATTGAGGATTTGCTGCTGAAGATGTTTGGGCTATATTTTCAAATGAATGTTTGCAGGGGAAAATAAAGGTAAAGGAACGGGAAAATTATGAGAAGTGTGTCAGAAGAAAAGTTAAAACAAAATGAGGAAAACAGAAAATGCAGGGAGAAAAATAAGAAATGAGGGAAGATAATCTGTTTAGTTAAAATGGTTAAAGGGTTTGAGTCAAAGGTGGTGAATTACAAACTAAGCTATAGGATTATGAGAAAGTGAGATACTGTGAAGGATTTTGGACAAAAATGAAAGTTGCATTACAGTAAAGTTAGGGCTGAGCCACAGTTACAAAGAGATGATGTAGTGAGATTGAAGACAAGAGTAAATAATGTCATTTTGTAGTTAGAAAAGCAAGTAGAAAGTTGAGAGGTCTCCTGAAAGTCAAGATTTTTATAGAGCATTTTTAGACAGCTTTTTTTCCCCTTGGTGTGCTGTTGAAACTGAAAAAGTATTAGGATTCCACAAGTATTCACAGTGAAAGAAAATGCCTAGAGATACCATTGACATTTTTCAGTGCTAGGGCAGCAGCCTTCCCTGACAGATGTCATCCAGATGTTTTGGACTACAGCTCCCATCAGCCCTGACCATCAGCTATGTTGGCCGAGCCTGATGGAGTTGTAGATAAGAACATCTGGAGGGTGCCAGGTTATGAGAGGCTGCGTCAAGGTGAAAGGTCCTTTTAATGGATTGTTTTTAATTAGCCACTGGGGAGATCTGCCTTGACTAGAAAAGCAAAATATAAATACAGAATTGCTAATTGACAAGGAAATATATTTCTTTTGAATGCCATGCTTGTGGCCAGCAGCTGTTAGACACGGAATGTTGTACTAAATGGACTATTGTCTAATCCACAAAGGTAGTTCTTGAGCTATGTCTAATCATAATTTATAGGGGGGAAAGAGTGGGTGCTTTTATTTTGCAAGCTTTTGTGCTTGCAAATCTTATAGCAGCAGCATGCTAGCAGAACTGACAGCTGCAGTGTTTTGCACAATGTTTATAGTTTTACCTGAAACTGATTGGGGCTGATTAAAGGAGACAAGCAAGAACCTTTTAATGGAACTTGTTAGGGGGCAGTCCTAAAGATCCACCAGGATGAGCAAGTTAGGATGTAGCACCTTTCTGGCTGAGTCCCCAGCTGTGGCTCAGCTGAAGATACACCAGAGCAACTTAGCCAGGGGTGTTGAAGCTGTTTGAACTGATACTTGTGTAAATCTTCAAAAGCAGACATGGTGAGGACTTCTGACTAAGCAGGGGGAAGTTAAGGTGGATCCTAGTTCTGTTCACATGTCCTGGCAAACTGGCAGAATTTGCACCATCAAAAAGGGTAATGCAAGTCAAACTATATTTTAAAGTCTTGTTCTCCCTCTGCTAGGCTTGGGCTGGCTCAGCTAGCAGTAGATTTGCTCCTGAATGGAGTTTAACTTTATATAAATTCTTTGGATGGTGATAATAAATTTAAGAGTTCCAGAAGCAAAATTGAAACCAGTTACAAACTCATTGGGCAAGTCTTTTCTTCTCAATCTCTGGCCCATAGCTACATATGGCTACAATATTACTGGCTTAACCGCCATGCTGAGGTGTCATAATGTGGTATTTCTGCCGCTGTAGATGTCATAAACAGCAATTGTGAAGCGCAGTGGTCATGATTAACATAGACTCCAATTCTGGGATATACGTGTTTGAGGTTAGAACCTTTGCTATCAAAGTACAATGCAGTCTAGTTTCAAGAGAAGAAAAGTGCTTTCTTTCACTGACCTTGGAGATGTGAAAGACCATTGTGGCCAGACCTCATTAACATATAAATTATTACTGTCTAGCAGCCTTAATCTTAGCATATTTATATACTGCGTGCAGTAAGCCAAACTTCCTGATAAGCGTATTGTGACATTTCTGGGATCCCCCATAAGAAGAGCTTGTCTCGCAGTGGTTACCAAGGTTAGTCTCTCTGCAGCTATGCTGAGTCCAGCCAGCTGGCACTACCTTCTGACTTGTAGAGAGCAGTGAGATTCTCCATTTATATTCTTACTCAAGTACATCTGTACAAGACACATGGGTGAGATAAATTTATCACAAAATCCTACCAGAATGCAACACAATACAGTACAATTAAAATATTAGCTTATATTTACTTAAGAACATAATGTTCAGAAGTGGTCATTTTATTCAGAAGTCTTGAGTTATGATTTACTGACCTTTCATAATTGCTATTCCAACTCTTACATATGATTTCATTATTATTCCCATTTCATCCCCCCTTTCCCTCTCTTTCCTTTGCAACTACAACTCTCCCATTTTCCAAGCAACATTCCTTACCAGTTGTTTGCTCTAACTGCCCAATATTCCACCCCACTCCCCTACTGTCAATCATTCTTCCACTTGCACTTCTGTCACAGTTTGTAATAGGATGAATTGTTTGGTGGACTGGCTAAGTTTAGGTATGCTAAATGCTGCTGTGTACATCTAGGTCATGTTTACAAAAGTGGGGTATTGAGAAGAGGAGTGATGGGGCTGGGCTTGTAATAGATAAAGTAAACTCCTGATGTAATATTGCTGCTAAGAGGATTTTGATGTTTCAGCAGGCAAATGCAAATCTTCTAAAATGGTTGAATTGGAGAGAAAACATTCAGATTGCCAAGTGTATTTCCCTGGATTATTTCAGAATGTTTGTCACACAAGATGATTCCTAATCATTGCAGAGCTGGCCAGCTCCATGCGGAAGCATTGACCAGTTGAGAAGCACACTTTTGCACAGTTGCCATCATGCTAAAGGTGCAAAATGGATCCTGATAACTGCCAGGATGGGTCCATTGTTTAATAAGCAAGTAGGATAACAAGTAGCATTTTCTGGAAATGTTTGCATAAGCTAAGAAGCGCTTTGTATGTTAACTTTTGGTTTGTTGGAAGTTTACTCATTCAGGCAGAAAATCAATATATAAACTATGGGCAAGAAGATGAATCAATAGCCTTGTTTTCTTCAGCTGGATTTTCCCCCCAGTTGACTCCAGTTGCACTTGCATGTTTCGGAGGGTGAAATGAGAAGTTATGAAAAGCCACATGACTGCCACCAAAAACAGTGTGTTTCTGCCACTCATGTCTGGCTTTCTTTCTGCTCCTCCATGACATAATCTAATGAAATGTGTGGTGGGATATGATAGCATGGGTTCCCCTGCTCCACATCACTGGTAGACATGGAGAAAGAAATGTGATTTGTTTTTTGGCAGCTTGGAAGGGTATTGGATACGTGGAGAGTGTTGTTCAACATCTAAGTTACACTCCCTGAGTTCATTCCAAGCACAGTTTCTTTAAGCCAGCATTTCTATGGCAGTTCTTGCACTAATTTGTGACTACAGAATTTAAAGCTAAGGTAGGAAGCACAAGCACAGTTGTTCCTTGAAACTTTGTTTAGCCTAGACTCACTGTGTAGTATAAAATCAATTATAGAGGGCATATGATAATGTAAAGACTGAATTGGATTTTTGGTGGGTCGTGGTTAATGCTTTCACACGTTGGATGTATAGTGTTTGTCATGCAATTTCTGCCAGGTTTAGCTGTGCCTGCAAACTGAGGCTTGTTGGAATCAAGCTGAGCACTTTATTTTCCAGGTTACAGGGATAAAATTGAATTTTAATACTTACACATGAAGGAGCATCTCCACCCCCTTCGTTTAGCCTGGACACTGAGGTCCAGCACTGAGGGCCTCCTGGCGGTTCCCTCCCTGTGAGAACCAAGCGAGAACCAGGCAAAGGACCTTTTCGGTAGTGGCACCTGCCCTGTCAAATGCCCTCCCATCAGGTGTCAAAAAATAAACAACTATCTGACATTTAGAAGACATCTGAAGGCAGCCCTGTTTAGGGAAGTTTTTAATGATTGATGTTTTAATGTATTTTTACGCTTTTGTTAGAAGCCGTGCATAGTGGCTGGGGAACCCAGCCAGATGGGCGGGGTATAATTAATTAATTAATTAATTAATTAATTGCTTGTAAGATGGAGGAAACCTTAAAAGCATTCAGATATTTTTGCAATTATTCTTGAAGGGATAGCTCACAAAGCAAAGGGAAACTGAGTTAAATCACCTTAGTTCTTGGATACCTTGAAGGTGTTCATTATAGAAGGTCTAAACTGTTGACAGAGAATGTGTTGGTTGTAGCAAAACTTGTTCTGGCCAGCTATTGAGAAGCAGCTGATACACTTAAAATGATAGATATGACCATTGAGACCAAATGGTGAATCAGACAAAAGGCCTATCTTGTTTACCCACAACCAGATGTCTGAGGGGAAGCTCAGGGACAGGACATGAGGGCAATAACATTATTGTGCTGTTCCCCAGCAACTGGTACTTAGAAACATTCTGTGTCTGATCCTAGAGGTAGCATATAGTGACCATGAATTGTATTCATTCCTAGTCTTATCCTCCATAAATTAGTCTAATCCTCTTAGAGCTATCAAATTAATTGGTGAAAGTTATAGATGTAGGTAGTAAAAGGTGGGTAGATGAATGAACATAGAAATTGATATGGGAACAAGAGTGACTTCTTACAGAAATGGCATGGGGGTTTTTTGTTCATTGGAATATTCATCAAGAAAAAGAGACTGGGTTTACCTTCTTATGTGATTCTATAGATTTGGCATACTTTTCAACTGTATAGGTCAATTATTTCTTGTCTTTATGGATGCACATTTGCTTGTTTTTATGTTCTGTTTTCTTTCTTTTCCGTCAGTGTATTTTTTTAAAAAACAACAACCAATGATGTACAACCTTGAAATAATTGCAGTACTGGGAAAAATAGCTTTATAACTTGTTGGGTAGAAATTTATTTGGAGACATATTTTTTAAAGAGATGAAAGTGATTTGAGATATTTTGCTTCTCACGGTGTGCCTCTGCTCAGAGATGGTTTTTATTCTTTCAGAGGTGAAAGTGGATGTGTACACATTTCAAGCAGCAATTTTGTTTTCAAACCATATTCAACTCTCTTTAAAAAAAACCTAGCCCTTCTTCTTTCTTTCATTAGGACTACTACCTTTGGGGATGGAAATAATACAGTGGTACCTTGGGTTAAGTACTTAATTCGTTCCAGAGGTCCGTTCTTAACCTGAAACTGTTCTTAACCTGAAGCACCACTTTAGCTAATGGGGCCTCCTGCTGCCGCTGCGCTGCCGGAGCATGATTTCTGTTATCATCCTGAAGCAAAGTTCTTAACCCGAGGTAATATTTCTGGGTTAGCGGAGTCTGTAACCTGAAGCATATGTAACCCGAGGTACCACTGTACTGCCTGGGATGCTGAAAAGCAGAAAAAGCAACTTTGTTGGGTGGGTGGATGGTCCCTTGCAAGCAACCTAAAGAAATACGATGGTACCTCTAGTTGTGGACACAATCCATTCTGGGTGCTGTTCGCACCCTGAAAAGTTGCAACTAGAGTGGCACTTCTGTGCAAGCACACAGAATGCTTCTGTACTTGGGCGCACGGGGAAACCCAGAAGTATACACTTCCGGGTTTGCCATGTTCACAAGCCAAAAAGATAGATGCAAGATGAACCTAAAGCAACACGAGGTATGACTGTATTTCTAAGAATTCTGGCCAGTAACAATGTAGAAAGTAGTGAAGGCAAGCACAAACCAAAGTAAAATAAGATGTCCCCTGATATTAGCAGTAACAAAGTCCCAAAGAGCATCGTTGAACAATAAACTGAAAGGGAAGAGGTGAAGGGGGTTGGCTCACAAGAACTGTGACGAAGTTCAAGGTTCTTGGAGATAGTAAAGGTATTTACTCTGGCAAAGCAAAGTTAGCAATGTGGTATGTGAGTTTTCAGGTTAGGGAATTCTTGGGCATAGTTGTTTTTTTAAAAAAATACTGAACAGAGAACTTGTTTTTAGACTTGGGTATGATAATCAAAAGTTTTAAAAATAAATTTGCAGGTAGAGGATATTTCTCCAAGCAGATACCTGTTGGTAACTGGATTATGACTTTTGTGGTGGTGGTCCCAGATAACTACAGTTTTAATTGTTTTAGCTTAGCTGATTTCCTTATGATTATGGTGGTTTTGTTGCTTTAGATTGATCCATACATACACAAATGTACACATGTTTTTCATGGTGTGCATGTGCAGTTTCTAATGCGGTCCACAAACCAATTTAATATATGCAAGGATAAAAATGCAGATAGTGGGTAAAGGTAGCTTACATATACTGAAATAGTCTGCTTTGAGGAAGAATTGTTCTTGGGAATTTTGTTGCAAGAAAAGGGGGGGACAAGTCATCAGTATTACAAGTCAATCTGTATCAGTGATTGGTAACAGTGACTATTTTAATATGGAAAACATATACAAAGCGCTAACTAACTATCCAGATAATCAAAAAGACAAAGTAAAAGATACAAGAACTCTAGATATTTCACAAAGGTAAATGAAGCATCAGTAGTACCTATACAGTCTGCAAAAATTAGCTGATTCTGAGCTGTTGATGGCCCTCCCTTCTTGAAGTCAGAGTTTGAAATCAAAATTTCTGATTTCTTTGTATTAATATTTCTAACATATTTCCAATACATAATTAGAGAAAGTTTTTAACATGCCTCACAAAATATTTCTCAAATGTTCTGTTTAAAATGTGAGAAGGCAATAGAGCAAAGCTACTCGCCTTTTACTTTGGGATATAATAAAGGATTAATCCAGTTACAATTTGGAAAACAGATTAGTGCTTGCGGATGAGAGATGTTGAAGTTCTGATTCTAAGGCTTTATTGTTACATAAACTTGGGAATAAGGTCTGTTGAATTCACTGGTACTTGTTTTTCCACATAAGCTAGGGAGAATTTGAGTTGGAATTGAGTTTTGTTTGGGTTAGGTTGATAACTTTTCAGTTACCCTATAAATTTTCATATCAAAATAGCATTTTTTCCTTTGCATATTTTATTCACTTCTCTTTCAAGCCCTCTGATGAACTACTTTTCCGTGTCAAGTGTTGTAACTGTTTAGTAGCCTGTGGCTTCAACTAATCAGTAGTGGCAATGGATGAAAGTTAACAGTCTGATTAAAGACATATCGATGCCACACTGTGACTCCTTGAAGAAAAGGTTCCCCACATTTGAGTGTCTTATTAAAAATCCCTTGCATGCAGAAAACTATCATCTTAAAGAGAGAGAGAGAGTGTGTGTGTGTAGTCTTGCCTTCTTCTGTTGCCTCTTGCAGCCCTGGGCTAGAATATTGAAAAGGGGAAAACATTGACTTACCTAGCGTTCATCTCCACTGAAATCATTTTGGTGGTAGAATCAAGGAATTACTTCCCATAGCATTCGATTTGACTTCTGTGTAAAGATAAGCACCTTTGGGAGAAACATGTTAAATTACTGAGAAAAATGCTGTGTGTGTGTGTGTGTGTGTGTGTGTGTGTGTGGTCTATTTCAATAAGTAATTATGACAATGCCAATAAGAATCAGAAGGGAAGCAGTTTTCTTATTTTGCCAAAAGATTATCTTTGTTTGCAGTAGCTATGGTCTGTCCAGCTGTCCAGCTTTCAGTGGGAAATGTCATTTGTATGGTTGCATATCAAAATGCACATACCCTTCCCTCAGTGTGATTGCACACATTTGGAAAAACATAGATGTTCTGATGCAGTTTTTAATAGAAGTATTTTGAAATTCTGTAAAATGTGCATAAAATGTGGATCTTTTGATAAATGGTGGCATATGAATCTAACTAAATAAATAGATGAACTTCTGTGTGATGGCAGTGAATCTGGATTAGCAGATTTTTGACACTTCCTAATTTGTTCATCCAGGCATTTTCTGGTTACTAGTACCAAGCTTTTAGCACAATTGTTTGGCTGTTGTGGATTTATTTTATTTCGTGGATGATGTTGTATGTGTTGTATTTTAAACTACTGTCTTGACTAAGTCACCATAGACTCTTCTGTGTAGGGGTGGTATAGAGTTCTTGAAAAAAATAAAATGAATTTGGTTTCTGTTTGTCTAGAACAGTTAGATAACAGCCTCTGGAAAAATTGTAGAATATGGGTATAATAAAGATACAGTTGAGAGACTAGAACAAGTAGAGTAGAAGTAGTAAGGGTTACCCATTGTCCCTTATAATTGCTGGAATATGAAGAACCATGTTCCAAAATATATTTATTAAAAATTGTTTCCTGCTATTCCTCCCAGAGGAACCCAAGGTGGCAAACAGCTAAATGTTAAAACGGTAAAATTTAAAATCAAATATAAACCCATTTAAAACCGTTTGAAATCAGTGTTTTTAATTCACTGTTGCCACAGCCAGTATCTCTCAGCCAGCAGGGCTTTAATGTGTCTGCCCCCATTTTGTGGAATATCATTCCTGTCCTACCTTGACAGACACCTGCACTGCCCAGAAACAATTGAAGACATCAGCCACAGATTTTCCCAACTGGATAAATAGGTCTTTATCACAAATGTTTACTTTGTATGGTTTCAGTTTTGTTTTAAATGTATTTGCTGTTTTTGTTCTTCGAGCTGTTTCTGATTATCTTCAGTGTACATTGCCAAGGCAGTTTCTTAGAAGGTGATTGATAGATCAGTGACAGGAATAATATGCTTGGGTTAACAGGATGTTGTTAAATTTCAACTGAAGTTCAGTAATGAAGGGGACGGGCTCACCTCACTAAGGAGGGCATTCCACAAAAAAGTCATCAATACATTAAATACTTTTCTATATAGCCCCTCTCCAATACGGACTGTTAAACAAGATGTGGCTTGTAAGATTATAGCTCCTAATTCTAATTTATATACATTGTGGAAACAATGAAACAAATAACTTAATTTGGAAATTACTTGCATAACCCAAACATAAGCCAGAAAAAGGATGATTTGATTGGGTCACTTTCAACTGTTGAAACTCTGTTGTACTTAATTACAAAATGAACTCTACTACTGGGTTTACTAAGTCTAAGCCACTAAATTGATAAAGGGTTAAAATGTAATTCATAATAGGTCTTAGAAGTCAACTATTATTAAATGTTCATAATGAAAACCAGAATGGCAAATGTATACTCCTGATCTTTTAGGTTTTAATTGTAATATGCCTATAGGTCATAACTTAGTTGACACAAGTGATATAGCACCCGAGAACAAGCTTGAAAGCAAGAAACTTTGAGAAAGTTTGGGGACTGAAGGGTGAGGGTGTGTGTTGGCTGCCTTAAGTACCAGAGCTCAGGGTCCTACAAATGCTGGGAAGAATTAGATTCACAGATGGCAACCTCTGCTCTTGTCTCTGTGCTGCATGTTGTTAAGCAAAGAGAGGAGGGAGATGAGAACTACATCAGTGGCATAGTTGGCTCTTGGAAGACCCAGGCTGTGGAGTCACAATGCCTAGTCATGCTTTTTGAGGTCGCACGGTGACTTTGTTTTCTCCTTCCCAGTTTGGCATAAGTACGTGATCCATTTGAAGGGGAATTTGCTACGCAATTAAGGGTCATTAATTCTAACAAGAGTGACAGTGTTGAGCTTTAATCCTTAACTAGATTGGCCACAATTGCATTAATGAGACTGAGGTTGATGGGAACCTATTATGACTGCATAAGCAGGCTATTCTATTTAGAAGACCTTATGACCTATAAAGTAGCAAAAGGTGGAGAAAGGGCCCCAGTAGAGAACCTTGTTAAAATTCATCTGTAAATTTGCTAGCATGAATAACTACAGATATAAAGCAAGTTTTGTATTTTGGCCTGTTGAACATAGGAATTTTTCTCAAAGTACATATAATGCAAGTATTCTGATTATGCAGTTACATTTCTCCCAGCACCTCATTCTTCTAGCTGTATGTGTGCAGTGGATAGATAAAATAATACGCTTCCCACTGTGGCATCCATTAGAAGAGACAAGATCTAATGATTAATTGACATTGACATATCTTAATGGGCAGGGATACTAGTTTGGAGCTGAAGTTTGCAAATTCATCCTTGAATGACCTCCAACCATTTACCAAAAAACCCACCTTGAGCTTCCTATTCATTTGTACTCATATTAACTCCATGGAAATGTAACATTTCCTTGTCAACTTGCTCAGGAGAGCAAAACTTTGCTTTTTGTTCTCAGTGCATCAGTGGTAGCTGGTGCCCATTACGATTGGAAGGGCAGAAGGCAGGGAGACCAAAATTTGGTGGAGCCAGAGCCAACAAACTTTAGTTTTGTCTTCAGCCTCCTGCCTGCTGAGTTCTACAAGGGCAACACAGAATAAAAAGGATGGTGCTGACAGCCAGATCCACCGCCTGGACTGGTTGCAAGTAAAAAGGCAGGCAGGCAGGCAGGCAGGCAGGCGGGGGCTGGCTGAGCTTGGTGAGAACCAGTGCCCATTTCCCCTAATGAACCAGCTTCCACTGGCGGTGCATTGTAGAAAGACACACAGCCTTCCTATGTCATAGGCTGTTAAGCCTGATTCACTCACTCACTCCAACAAACCCATCAGTGGCTATGGCATTGTATAAATCCTCCCCTATTTTATCATGAGATGAACTTGAAGAAGCATTCCTTTGACTTGCATTTATAAGATAAGTAGTTTGTCCATGTGCTCTTAACTCCCTCTAGAGGTTGAATCTTGATAGGGAGCCTTTGATGTTCGACAGAACACAAAGTGCCATTTTCCTCATTATAAATGGCACTTGATGTGAAACCAGTTTTTGCAACTGACTTTCCCTTTGTGTCGCATCCTTCACAGTTTCTTTAAATAATCAACAACCAAGTATTTCATTTAATCTCTTTTTCTTTTGCAAGTTAACACTCCTTGGTTCAGATTGTGTAGAAATATGTAATCCTTTTTCAAAAGAAACCAGAAGCCATATAAAAAGTGTAAATGTTAAAAGCCAGTTCTTAATGCTTCAGTTCTTAATCATATGTTGGAAAATTGCATTCCTGTTTAAAGGACATCCAGGACTTTGTAGCTGACCCAAAGCTACTGTGTCTAAACTTTGTTGTGTGTTACACAGGCTGCAGGCTTGTTCCTTTAGCCAGCTCCTGCTGGAAAGCTGCAGGAACTTATTATTCAGCTTCCCCTCCTGTGGTTTCCTTCATTATTTTATGCACTTTACTTGAAACAAATAGACTGGCATGTTCCTTTCGGTGTACTAATAAAAAAACTAATAGTCCATAGTGTTCCTAATACTTTATCTTAATCTAGTTTCTGTTAATTCAAGCAATCTGGGTTCAAGATGCCACGTAAGATTGATTCATAGTATGAGTATATTCCTGGGTATTAAAATACAGAACTTCCGTGTAATCTTGTAACTCCAGATGAAAGAAACAATGATAAATGTTCATTGCCTCATGTAGTCTATATGCCATACTTTTCATCTTTGCAGTGTTCTGTATGCCTTTACATTTTTCACTCTTGAGACATTTCATAAAATTTTAGAAATCAAGACTGTTGTTCTTGACATTTTTAGGTACCAGCTACTGACAATGTCGGCAGACGGCCCTGACGCTCACATTACGGAGGTGAAACCATTAGTGGAGAGAGAAGAGGTAAGCTAAACCTGCTGATGATGGACCACTGACTCCCACATGAATTTGTCCTAAGGCAGAGGCTATCTTTTGAAGCCCTTCTTCAGATGCCCCTGCCTTCTGAGGTTAGGTGCATGGCCACCAGAAAAAGGTTCACCATAGCCCACATGACCCTGAATCTTATGTCTTCTGCCACCAAATAAAGAATGTATTATTTGCCCAAGAATTTTATAACATAAGGTAGGCCCGCTTTTAATGTTTGTTTTACCCTGCCTTTTAAAAATTGCTTCACTTTCTGTTCTTATGCCACCCTGGGAATAAGAGAACCAAAGGACTCGGTTTACATAAGTGAAACAGAATAATAAAGCATCACTTCAAATGACTTAACCTTTGCTTTGGAAATGCTAGCAGCTGAATTTTCATGTTGGCACGCTTGCCAGGAGTGTTGACTGGGAGTGACTAGGAGCTCATGTGTCAGTCCATGTGCTCCCCAGGCCACTTCTCCACTGCTCTGGACTGCCAACATCTCCTTGCCAATGACACAAGGGACAGGGGTTCACCAGTACAACTCCTTACCAAGGGTGCAAGGGAGCCTAGGTACCCTACTGATGATAGTAGCGTTGGGGTTGGGAGAGCACAAGATCACACTGGATCATCCAGTTGTCCTTTTCCTGTAAAGCATAATGCTCTAAAGCAGCCTTTCCCAACTTGTTGCCCCTAGATTTTGGGCAAAGGAGACCACACTCTCAATTTCAAATTTAATGTTAATATGACCTCTGTGAGTTGTGTCCCCACTGGGAGCAAGAAAGGAGCAAAGCAGAAATCCTCCGACTGTGTGCACTAACCATGGCTCATAACTAATGTTACACTGAATACTACCATTCTCTTGGAGTTCCAAGTTTCACAAACCCTAGTTCTAAAAAGTAGAAATTTTGTTAAGACAAAATTAAACAGCAATAGGGAACATGCAGCCTGTGGGTTTAATTAGTCCTGGCATTGGTTCCAGTTTGGCCCACATGGATGTTTTGCACAAACCACAGCCACCTGCCCTTCAGCTGACATTCTATATGACTTCAGGTGTGGGGCCTGTATGGACATGGATGCAAATGAATGATTAGGAACTTAATGTGAACTTCCAGTTATTCCTTTGCAAGTTGAGCTGTCTGTCATTGCTGATCAGTGCTGAGAGGAAGCCTCCCTGGGATCAGCTACACGCAGGGAGTTCCCCAGTAGGGCTTGTTTGCTCCATGTTGAAATAGTTTGCATTCAAACTGCTTCCTAAAATGGAGCTGTCCCCCCACTCTGCAGAGCAAATGGAGCAAGCTTCTCAGAAGGTATGTTCCAAGCGCCAGTTGGCAGAAGAGTGTGCCTTCAAAGTAGCTTGTCCACTTTCAAGCCACTTCCCAAATCAAAGCTCCATTTTGAGAAGCAGATTGAAATAGGAAAAAAACCCTTTGAAAAAGGCACGCTTTGAAGTGCACCTTCAAAGGAGGTCACTGTAACTGTTGATCAGTTGATCAGCAGTCACAGTGAGCCCTTTTGAATTTTGGCAGGTGCCATTTGCCCAACATCTTAATCTCGTTTCCAATGACTGACATGTGGGTTGTACACCCACCTGTTAAAGTTGACACAGGAAGAGTGGGGGAATTAGGGATCCATCCCACCAGCCAGATACAGTTCCCCATCCCTGATCTTCTAGCACCATCATAAACAGTGGTACCTCGGGTTAGACACTTCAGGTTACATACTTCAGGTTACAGACTCCACTAACCCAGAAATAGTACCTCGGGTTAAGGACTTTGCTCAGGATGAGAACAGAAATCGTGCTCTGGCGGCAGCAGGAGGCCCCATTAAGCTAAAGTGGTGCTTCAGGTTAAGAACAGTTTCAGGTTAAGAACAGACCTCCGGAACAAATTAAGTACTTAACCCGAGGTACCACTATACTAATAATGATCTCTGTTCTCTTGAGTGCTGGTCCTTATGCACCATCAACATAGAAGAGAAATGTTATCAGCAGGATTGTGGCGGGTGGGGAAGCCTCAAGGTTTGCAATATGTATGGAGAGAGAGAGAGAAACAACATTTGCTGCATGGGGATTCGAACAGAAAGCAGCCCAATGAGGACTGAACTTGCCCAGTGGTAATGGAATGCTGGATGACTGATGGAGGGGAGGGGGTGGAATACCAAAGAGGGGGAGAATGGAATGGAGTGTCCTGGAAAAGGAGAGTGGAGAGAGCCAGCCAGCCATAAGCAGGAGGATTCCACAATGAAATATTGTGTTGCTTCTGTTTGTTTGCATTTTGAAATTGAAATCAAACCATCTTCTTTTCCACTGACCTCCTTCTGTATGAATCTTTTCTAGGCAATCACACATCTCCTACCTGACTTTGATGTTCAGGTAAGTGAAGCTTCCAAATTAGTAAAAACTTATTTCAGAACTCTTAAATTACGGACATACATATAATCAACTTGTAGATTCTTAACTATACTTTTTATTTATGCCTTGCTTAGCAAAACTAAAACTACTCCATGATTATTTTAACAAACCTTCGTAAATCTTTTCAAAACCATGTTATACTGTTCTGCTGCTTTTGGAACAGTTTTATGTTTTATAATTGTAATGGTTTTGTTTGTTTTCATAATTGTATATTTTATTGTTGTAACCTGCTCTGGGTTCTTATGGTGAAGGCCAGACAGAAAATCAAATGAAAATATCAATTTATGGAAAAATGCTGTTGCAGCAGCATGAGTAAATAAATTGCTTCAGGTACCCTAGTAGTTACTTTTCTAGCATGCTGTCTCTGTTCCATCTTATGTTTTTTCTGCCACACACATTTCTCATACTGGTTTCTAAAAACTTACAAATAGAAACAGCAAAGGGTGGTGGCTTGAGAACCAGTTGGCTGAATTGTTGATTGATTTGTATTAAATGTGTCAATGTTTGTACTGAAGAAAATAAATGTTTGCCAGATCTTTACTGGGTCAGCTTTAGGTTAAAGATTTGCTAGGCTTCAAATTACCCTAGAGTTAGGTAAACTACCGATTCCAAGTAGAAGCAAATAATACATGGTTATACATGTTGTCAAAGCCTCAGAGCAGTCATGTATATTTGTACATTACTGATCTGGGAGCACCGCTAGATATGATATATATCTATGATATGAGACAAGCCCAGAGCAGGGAATCATCCATAGATTCAGGAGCCTCTGAATGCTTGCATGAAGCTTACAGGAGTCTATACAGAAGTTATTTCTTGCACTGTAGTAGTGTAGTCCAGCCTGCAATCTGAGACTTGTGCCTCCGCTACCACACAACTACAAGTGGTGAAGAGGAGTCAAGCAGTCAGTTAAAGTAGCATAGCTCTTGGCCATTCTTTAATGACCAGCAGTTGAACTCTTCATCGTGTTGTGTGTTTAGTGAACCAAACCTTTCTTGTACTGTAACAAGATGAGTGTGTTCTGTTCTATTGAAATAGCTGTATTGATCTATCCACATGGCGACAGTGCAATGGGGGTGGGAGGAAGAGAAATTCCTGTAGTTAAATACCTAGAAAAAATTTGCACAACATCCCCGAAGTTTCAAATCAGCAAGCAAGCAGGGCACATAAATGGGCACCTAATGTCTACCCTGTGTTATGCCCTAAGCATAGAAAAATATTAAAATTGTTAGATAAAGGAACTTGGAGAACTATGTGCTCATTACATGCTAATCAAGCTTGTGATGTGCTTTTTTTCCTGCCTAAACTAGGCTTGTTTGACCATTTCCATAATAAGGCCTATCTGCGTCTAGACACTAAAAGGCTTGCAGGACTGATTTCTATCTGTATGAAAGCATTGCGTGGATAGGTGGAGTCCCCAGATCCCGGGCGCCCCCCCCCCCCAGTCATGTGGAATAACGACTCAAGACAACGTGCTTTGGGATTAAATTGGCCACAGCTTTATTACATTTCAAATGTGGGTAGACCTTGGCTCAGGTATTGGGCGTTATCCCTCCCCAGTCCCCAGCCGGGGACCTAGGGAGCTTCAGGGTTATCCAATGTGTGTGGGGGGGGATGGGCCGGCTCTGGAGAACATATGTTCAAGCAGAGATAGCTGCCCCCGTTACGCCACCGCCGCAGGGGAGAGCAATGACGACCTCTCGGAGTACAGTCAAAGCCTCCCTTCAGAAACCCCTTTAATGGGGAACCCTGGTATCACCGCTGCAAAGAGGAAGATAGACTAAAGGATTCCGCCCAAGGCCTGATACCGCCAAAGTTGTGACATTTTGCTACGGGAAAGGCAAAACCTGCCAATGCAGGGGAATTCCTTTCCGGCCCTTTAACAGCGACCTTGACGTAGCAGCGCCCGCATACCTGTGAAGAAAAGTTAACCTGCAAAATAAGACATTAACTGAGGGTGGGTACGGTGGGAGAATCTCTGGAGCCAAGTGAGGATTCCCAGGTAAGATCCTCCCTCTATTGTGTGGGCAGGTAGTCCCTCCCCTACCTGGCCTGGGCTCCTTGGCAACGCTTCCCCCAGGCGGGATTGGACAACTGATTGAGGTAGGTGGAGACCCCCAGGTATCCCACCTGAGGGAAGGCGAAGCCAAGCCTATGCTGATGGAGCCGCTCCAGATCCAGGGGCTGCGCACGTCCACGCAAAGGGCGCCCCCCGTTTTATGCGGGGAGCAGTCATTTCCTCCATCTTTAAAACAGAAAAAAGAAGCATATTTGGAGGGAAAGGATTCTAGACTAGCCTTCTCACTAACACCTAGTGTCTTCCTGTAAGGATTCTCTTCCATCTTTTTTTGCAGGAAATACTATTTTCCCCCCTGTAGGGAGCATTCAATTATTCAGTACAGCCTAAAGGTAGACTACGTTCATTGACAAGTAGACTTGAGTTGTGGTAAATTTGTATCAGATGCGTAACTATAGAAAGTGGTTATTATAAATGGGATGTCTTTGAAGTGTTAAGATCTACTTTGGTTGGAATGGGCTAGAGTTGCTGCTTGGTTGCAGGAGGAGGACTGGCTGTAACTTTTGAAACAGCAAATCTACACTTTTTTTGTACCCATGACGCAAAAATTTCAGTTAACATAACAGTAAATAGGTGAGAATTTTCCTGTACCTTGTTAGAACAGTATTTGTTCCACAGAATATGTGGGTGCTTCTGTTAAAACATATATGGCTACTAAATTAAAAATCGATCCTTCTGTAGCCCTATCCACACCAAGGCTGTGTGCTTTATGATACAGACCTGACCGTTTTGATTATAGGATTATATCTGAAACTCCCTGGTTGTAGCATGGTGTGTTGTTTGGATTCTTGGCTTTGTGCCACACATGCACAACACTGACAAATCTTAAAGGAGCGTGCTACAAACAGAGTGGATATGTGGCATCACATTTCAAACAAATATAGGTAATAACTGTTTGCAGGCTAGCTTAGGCATCTTCTTTGAGTCTCTTCCTATTGTTGGTTCTTTCTTCTGCTGACTTCCGCTGAATTTAATTGGTTCCTTGTTGTGAAGTGCTGCGTGCCTAAATTGACAGCTGCCTACTTTGCTGAGCCAGTTTTGGCTCAAAAGGTTGACTGTTACAATACTTTATTTCAAACAAAATGAGGAATGTGCAGAGCCCCCTTGGGAAACATGGCTAGTCTTAAATGCTTGATGCTTCCTTAAAGCTTCCTCAGACATGGAATATGCAAGTACAGCATGCTACCTACAAGGTAGCCCCCCCACCCCTTAGTGGCACAGTTTCTATCTCTTTGCCAGATCTGAAAGGCCTTCCTTTTCTTGACAATCATGCGTGCAATCTCACTGTCGTTCTCATCAAATTAGTCCTGGTGTTTCTTGGTTTGGTATCCAATAGCTTAGTGGCTATCTGATTTCTCGCCAAATAAAAGTAGTTACCCTCCACAAGTGCCACAGCTCTTTGTGTATTTCTGCCGTTAATGTGGTTGTTCATTTGGAATTGACATGCAAATCTTTCCTGTAATGAAGACAGTTGCCAAAGTGTAACTGCTCCGGTCCATTTCAAGCTGTGATGGCACCTCTTGGACGTGTTTGACTAATGCTCACGTGCAATTGTTTAGTCCAGTGAGCAGGAAACTGTCTCTTTAAAAGCAATAGATAACGTGACCAGATGGCACATTTGTTTTTATCCTTCTATCGGATTAGTGTACCTTGGTTTCCCCCCACCCTCCCCATCCGCCCCCAATATAGTGTTTTAATACAGATCGGTCAGTAAAGAGCCTCTTACTACAACACTGACGTTGATTAGGGGATGATGCCATCTGTTTTCAGTATGCTACATCTTTATTGAAAAAAATCTTCCCTGAAATCAGACAAACAGGTCAGTTGTGGTATGAAGCTTGGAGCTTTGTTGTTGGGAAGAAGGCTTTGATTTGGCTGTACTTTGTGCTTGTCATGAATTCTTTTTGCAAATGTGCTCCTGCATGGGAAAGTTTTCAATCCAATTAACAATCTGAGGACATGGTCTTAAAATAAGCTGGAATTATGGTATTTGTGAGGAGGCAGGAGTTACAATCTATAGCTATGGGAGCCACGTGTTCTACAACAGAAATAAAAAAAAAAAGTGTCTGTGACTGTACCTAAAACAAACAAAAAGTGTTGGGTTCCCACAAAAAGCCGCTTTACACAACCATGTTTGTTGTACTATTTTTTTATGCATTGATTTAGTTTGTTTATAGATGACTTCATTTTTCTTTCTTTTTAGCAAATCCCAACAAGAATTCTGTATAAGAAGCACAGTACAAATTCCATATTCAAAACCAATGTTTGTAACATTATTTTACATACTTTAAACTAAGTACCATAAAACAAATTGTATACAGACATCAAGAAACATAAAATTCAACATTACAGTTCCAACATAAAGATCTCATAAATAGTTCAAGAAATCCATAGTCACTTAGTTCATTCCACTTGCACAAAACCAAAGCACACAGCCCCCATCTATTCATGTCAATAAAACACTCAAAACAGTCAACTGACCATTAACCACCTACAGAAAAACAGATCCACTAAATAAAAACAATCCAAAAGCAGCAGAAAAAAGCAAACATTTTACCATCTCTCACCTGGAACTATAATAGAGACATCCTCACACGGAGGGATATTGAGTCCTTTCCAACCAGCAGGCAAATCACCTTGTGGGGAGTTGGGTTAAAGCAGCAGTGCACCTGATGCTCATCACCTCATAGGAGCAGTTGAGTCTCAGAAGAATAATCAGTCTACGTTAAAGAACAATGCCCAAGATCAAACAAGTCAAAAGGGGTGGATGTGCCTGCATGGTGGCCCTGAAGGAGAAAGCCCCTACCCTGTATGAAAGGGAGGTGTATACATCCACATCCTTTGAGAAATTCACTGGAGCACAAATTGGTTTTGGCTCTATGACACATGTCTGTTATGTGTTTTTTAAAAGATGTATAGCTTCCTTTTTTCACTTCACTCTTGCATCACAGCAGACATTGTAGCATATACTGCTAATTACTATGGATTGCATTGCATGATATGGCTCTCCTTCAGAGGACACTTGAACATTTCTTCAGGGCTGCTCTTCCACGTTGCTCTTGTGTAGCAGCTTTGTGTGATTCTCTGCACACCACTGCATTACTTGATGGTGTTGTAAAAATGAGATTGTGAATGATGCAGCTCTTTGGAAGTTGTTCTTAACTTTGGACCTTCATTAAAAGGCTCCAACATGCACCTAAAGCGCCAATTGCATGCATCTTTCCTGCCTAATAGTTGTAGAATTTGTATATGTCTCAGTGGAGTAGGGTAGCAGTCACTGCTTCCCTGTGGCTCAGCTGAGCAAGCCCCCATGCTGCGCAGGCTCCTGTGAGCTGGGGGGTGGGGGGGACTTTGTTAAGCAGCAGGGCTTGCTGATGCGCTGGAAAGCAGTGACTGCTGCTGCGCTACCTCACAAATCAGCTATTAGGCAGTGAGGCTGAGTAGCTCAACAAAGCCCCGCTGCCCCTTCGGTTCACGAAGAGATCCTCCGTGGAAACCGAACAGGTCCTCTTCGTGCTGTGGGATGAGTCTCCTCATGAGCCACTAGGACTCTCCAGAGTGCTCCCCATTTTATGCGATTTCACATATGCACGTGGGGGACCTGGATCGGAACCCCTGTGTATGTAGGGAGTCACCAGTATATAAAATATCTCAAAGCGGTAACAGTAGTGGTACATTTCCCCCAAACAATCCAGTTTGCACCGGGGGTTTAAGAGTGTTCCGCAGTTTGTGATCTTCAGTAATTCCAGAGATTAATTTTAAAAAAGCAACTTCCAAGTGGAATTAGCATCAGATCATTCTACCATAAGAACTGTATTTATGAGAAGCAGGTCCTACACACTGATTTCACCACAAGGGTCAGATAGTGTTCTATACTGCACCCTCCTCCCATATGACCTAAGTGATTTTCAGCTTACTTTTTGACACTTCTAAACACTTATTCATTTGCATTCTTGACTGCGTGCTCTTCCCTGTACCCTCGGAGCACTAAACCAGTGTGAGTTTTAAGACCTCAATCTTCCGCCGTGCCCCACCTAGGCTTTTCATGAAACTGGGTGACATTGACAGAACCGAAGGCTTTCATAAGTAGGATCTTTCAACTGGGTCAAAAATAATCTGGCACATTGTGCTCACCCAGTGGCAAGGCTCTCCATGCAGATGGATTTCCTCCTTAAGATACTGTATGGCATTAGCACGACTCTATTGCTACACATAAACCAAGGGCTATTCCAGACAGTAAAACCCAGTATTGCCTTGCCCCTTCCCTGCCCCCACTGTGGATGTCTGACCTGTATGGTATGGGCACTTGCGGTTAAACCGGTCTTAAATCCTACTTAAGAATGACGTCCTTCTGAACTAGTTTGTGTTAGTTTTTCTGATGGGGCATTATGGGAGTTGTGGGCTTAGGCAGAGCAACAGCTTGGCTATATAACCCAGCTTACCATAGGGTCCAAGTAAAATCTGATCCTTATTTCTCTCTGGACTCCTTGAGATTAATATCAAACTGCACTGTCTAAAAATGGTGCTGGATGTGGAAGATACTGCCTATTTATTACATAATGCTGTAAGTACTTCCAGTGGGAAAAAGTAAAGTAAAAACTAAAATGTATAGTTCTTCTTTAAAGACTGATATGGGTGTTCAGTATTTGTATACTGTAGTGCTTTATATGTGATAAAACTTTGGAGTAAGTTGAACCATCCTTTTATGGTCTGTCAGTTTCTTAAGGTTATGGAATCCTAGATGCGGAGAGGTACACTCTTGAGTTATGTGACCTTGAGTGAGCTTTCTGTTTCTAAGGTTTATGTGCAGCAAGAAAAAGATGCCTGGTAAACAAATTGTATCCTACAGTTTGTAATGTCAGCCTTTCAGAATTCTAAATTGTGAGAGGTTTTGATTGTCAAACAATTGCATAATGGGCACTTTTCTGTCTACATATAAGAGCATGTTGTGGAGTGGAAGGTATTTGTAGATGTCTGTTTTAAATTTTCATAGCAAGTAAAATTACTAAATTGCTGTAATTTGTAGGGTGAGGTCAGACCTACTTCTAAGCAGTTCTTACACTAATACCAGACAGTAATGGTAGCAAATAGATTACTAGAGAGTAGCAGTAGATTTGTCAGGGGTGATTATTCTTGTATGAAGAAATCTGTCCTATATACATATACAGTTTTACCACAGGAGGGTAGCAGTCAACAGTGTAGGTAGCAGCTTTCTAAATGTGTACATAATAATTTCAGACAACCGTTTGAAAAACTGTTATTGGTTGCAGGACTGACAGTGGACAAGAATACTTGTTTATTTTTTTGTAGATCCTACAAGAAGTCCTATGTATCCTAAAGCCAATACTTCTAATGGACAAATATTTTTATTTTCAACCTTTCTACCAGGTCCACTTTGCTTCAGCAGGATTGCTATATCATATGCCTTTAGACCCATTCCCTTGCTAGAATAAGCAATGTAATTGCTGAATATTTTCAGCATAACAAGGTCCTGATAGTGTTCCACTGTGATTGTGTTCACAGGCTTCATTTTCCTAGTTTAGATTGCAGAATTAAGTACTCAAATCACGGCATCAGTTTTGAGTTGCTAGCACACAGTAGTCTTTTTAGCATATGTATGTAGCGAACTGCGGGCAATTGATGTCTAAACAGAATTGTTGTAGTCCTGTGAAGGAATTCTGCACCATTTGAAAGTGCAAGTTGGTAGCCAATCAGTGAAAAGTGAAATTCTGGAAAAATACTGGAAATTCTGGTAGTAGTAAATAGATCCATTCAACACCAGTCAAAAGTGGTGCTAGGTAACTATCTGATGGTTAATTAAGGTACCATTTTGTTGAATGTAAAATCCTTATTTTTGCTGCCTACTAATGGTCCCCCTCTCCTCTACAGGAACAAGATATTGAGACAGTACATGGCTCTGTCCATGTTACCATGTGTGGGACTCCCCGAGGAAATAGGCCTGCCATTCTAACATACCATGATATTGGACTCAATCGTAAGTGTGATAATGTATCAGCAAGGTGGAGCACGCCTTCGCTGCTCTCATAACAAGTGTGCACAAACAGCTGCTTCTCTTGTGACAAAGTGCATTAATTCTAGCTTAGTTCTTCTTATCCATACTGATCCATGGGACTGCATTTGCTGATTTATGTACATTGCCTGCACAGTAATTAAGCACTCTTTTAAGCAGGTCCAACTTCTACATGCACCAAAGCATTTTCCAGACATACCCAGAATACTACAGTGGGCAGCAGTGTCTGGGCGACACGTCCAGGAAAATCCAGACGTATGGCAGCTCATGGCAGCAGTGCTGTGTTTCCTACTGTATATTTGTTTAATCTGGTCCTTAGCACTTTGCTTAGGACCATATAAAACAAATATAAATGAGGCATGAACTGAAATAGACAGTGGTAAAACCTTTATGAAAACCTGCTCTTAGAACTTGTGCTACAAAAACACATAGAACTAGAGCAGTGGCATTGATTTGAAAGGCCTCTTTTTACTTGGTACCTATCAAGCAAACTTACTTTTTCCTCTCTTTTTTTAAAAAAAGAATAACTTGTCTAAGTGAACTCCTTGTTTCGAGATTTGGGGGATGGAGTCTCAATTTGCAAGGTGTCAAGGACTGACAACTGCTGTTCTCTCATTGATGTTTCTACCTTCTCTTCTTGCTCTCTGCCCTTCTTCCTTAAAGACAAAACTTGCTTCAACCCCCTCTTCAATTTTGAAGACATGCAAGAAATCACACAACATTTTGCAGTCTGCCACGTGGATGCACCTGGACAGCAAGATGGGGCAGCCTCTTTTCCACCTGGGTAAGTTCTGCAAAGTTACTGCACAATAATATGAAATCCAGTTTAAAAGAGAAAAGGAAACAAAATTCAATCTTCCGTTAAAAGCCCACTAAATGAAACCCTCTTTAACACAGTAGAAAATAATAATAATGGAGTTGGCCCCGACTGGACATTTCCAGAGAAGGGAATTTCATCACTGGGGCTTCACTACAGAGATGGCTTTGTCTCCAGTAGCCACATGCCTAAACTCTGAATATGGGAGGTACCCTGAGCAGACCCTTCGAGGATGATTTTAAAGAGCAGACAGATTTCATAAATCATTCTTAGGGATAAACTTTGGGTGACATGAATACTTCATTGAATATTGACAGCATGAACACATGAGACTGTAGGTATGTTTGGAGGGTGAGTGGGGAAAGGGCACAGAGGAATTAAAAACTGTTGGTAGTGGAGATACATCTTTGTCCAAAATTGCTCCTTATGGTGCCGAAAGTATATGGTCTTGCATCCCTTCTTGTTGCAAATGCCAGCCTTTTCTTTCTTTTCTTCCTGGAGTAACATGCTTCATGGTGAGAGTTGCCATATGAATAATTTGGGAGTGTTGAACCAGTCCAGAATAACAGGCTTTTCAGGGCTGCTTCACATATTAAGTGGTAGCAAGCAAACATATTCCATCCCAGCTCCCTGCCACCGGTGAAATGTATCTGCCTAGAAACATAACTTGCTGTGTGCATGCTGCAGTTTTATGAATGAATAATGTTCTGTCCACAAAGTTCTTGCATGTGTGCGTCCCATCTGCTGTACTTGGCCACGTGCCTATATATGTAATGTCACAATGGCAATTATCTATTGTCAAGGTTAATCCTAGCTATTCTAGAATGAGGGAATGGAACTATTGCTGTAGAGTCAACCTCAGTTCCAAAACATGGAAATAATACTAATATTAATGAAGTGACCTGGCACACAGTATGTATGAATTGAGCTAGTTAAACCTGACATTTTGCTTCTGAAGAATATTTGCATAGCTGTCAACTTACAGATTTGAAAATAAGGGACCGGCAGCCTTGAAAATAAGGAATCAGCAGCCAAAATAAGGGACCTGCAGCCTCACCTGTTCCAGGCACTCCAGTCTTCTTGTCGTCCTGCAGTCTGGTCAAACTCAAGCTGGTAGCTTCGAAAACACTGTCCAACCAACTTTGTAACCAGAGGTTCAACTGAATAGAATCTGAATCACATGCACCACAAGGCCTATGCAGCCTCAACTTAAGATGGCTCCCCGGCCTGGCTTTGCACTGCAACGTTTGCAGCAGCACGTGCAACAAAATGGCATCCAGAATTCAAAAACCCCTCAGCTTGCATTAACTAGCCACACACAAGGCATGTAAACTCCACCCCCAGTCATTCTTAGACTTCTTATTGGGTGAGCAACACAGCCAAGCAACACAGTTGGAGCTTCCCTCCTCCCTGGCCGGCAGGGAGGGAGGGAGAGGAGCTGCTTCCTTTGAAATTTAAGGGACATCCTTTAAGGGACATCCATCAATAAGGGACAGCAGCGGGACATGGTGCTGGAATAAGGGACTGTCCCTTCAAATAAGGGACACTTGACAGCTATGCATTTGTCTTGCAGATTATAGCCCCAGTGGAGATAAACTGGTATAGTTTGTTCTCTAGCACCAAAGTTTTGTTGAATGAGTTCCGGTGCTTTGTTCGTACATTGCCTTTTTAGAAGGCAACTGAACCTTGACTAAATTGTGTCTTCAATCATCACTGTTGCAGATACATGTACCCTTCAATGGATCAACTGGCTGAAATGCTTCCTGGAATTCTGAAACAGTTTGGGTAAGTAGCATCACTCAGGGTTTTCAGTGCAGATTGAAAAAAGTAACTTTCCCATTGCATGACAGTATTCCATGGCTGCCTGAGTTTACCACTTAGTGGACTCTGTCATGCTTATTTCTACCTTGCTGAGTTCTGTAGGGCTTATTTGAAGTGTAGTGGTTCTGGAATCCATTGTATGTCAAATCTTTCTGTAGTCTGGCTGTACAGGGAACCCACATCACTGTGGCTACAGCAGGAGCGCCAACTTGGCCCCATGACCGTGGGTGCCAGGGTCTGTGGGTGCCATGCAACGTGCAAGGCCCTGGCACTGAAATTTGTGCGTGCCCAGCCCCTTCAAGGGGAATTTTGTGGGTGCTTGGGCACCTATGGCCCCACCTATGGGCTACAGAAGTTACTGGCAATGGAGAAAATGTGATTGTCTAAATAAAGATGGTGATCGGCTTGTAGTAAATAAGAGTTCACTTTGCTTATCTACTGTTTTTCCCCCACTGACATTGTTTGGCACACTGCCATTGTGAAATGTTTTGCTTCTCCTTTACTCTTGGATTCTATCTGGTCTAGTCAAGAGACACTACAGATTCTGAAGATTGCCTTGTGAACATTTTTAGTAATTTAGTAGTTAAATTGAATTATGCATTGCTGGAAACTGGTATTTGGTTTTGGCATAGCTTATTATCACTTAAATATTGAAAAACAAATGGTCATTGAGTGCCTCATTTCTCTATGGTTAGTTACCAAGACAAATGCTAAGCAAACCAAATACAACTTTCCATACTTCTAATTGCCCTCATGTGAAACTGGCTATGTCCTGTAGGGCAGAATTGTGAAGCACAGGCAATGGATTAACCCAATCTGAATTACTTATGCTAACACGTGTAGGCAACTTCTTTCCAACCCTGTGTATATTTAGTGGTGTACACCATGCCTATTTGGGTGCGTGGCATAAGGGTTATACAGTATTGAAGTTGTATCCTGTTCTTTAGTCCCAGAGATGGAGAGATGGCCTGTTCTGGGCAGGGTTGCACTCTCCCAGAACGAGCTTGTTTGTAGCTTGGGGAAAACTCGTGAATCCAACTTTCTACTGGAGGGCCAGTATGCTAGAAGTGCCCTTTCTGAGCTACAGATGGTTCACCAGCTACATCCCCTTTTACACAGAGATGACTTTGCCACTGCACTCTTGTGCTCTGGTAGCTTCCACATTGGATTATTACTTGGAAATGTCAAGTGCAGCAGCAATTCATTGACCTGGGTTCCATTTAGAACTTGCACAACCTCTGTTTTAACCCAGCTGCAATGGTTGCTGGGCCAGTTCAAGGTTCTCACATAGGCCCCACCTCCATCCCTATGGGTCACCTTAGAAGTTCAGGGGGTGGCAGCCCAGGAGAGCACATTTTTTGGCAGCCCCTAAACTCTGGAATTACCTCCCCAAAGGGTTGTATCTGGGCACCTTCATTATGTAGCTTATGTTGGATGTTGAAGACGCAACTCTTCTTGGGACCATTGATACACAATATGTATTAGGAGCCACCTTATTCTCCTGACTGTAATCTGTTTTATCTGGTTTTAATATTGTGTATTCAGTTGTTGAAACCGTACCTGGGACCTCATGGCAAATTCTGAGTAAGAATAGTAATTAGTAACAGTAATACTGTGGCTGATACGCTGCATGAGGACAGGCCAGTGCTATTTGTTTTAACATGTCTGAACAGACATGGAGCTGCTATTCAGTGTAGCTTAATGTAAAATAGGTATGTTTGGAAATTGGGGGGGGGGGGTTTGCTGTTAGAAATCAGACCTTTTTTTAAAACATTATTCATAATTTCTTTATGTAGGTTGAAAAGTGTCATTGGAATGGGAACTGGAGCTGGTGCCTACATCTTAACCAGATTTGCTGTAAGTTGTTTGCTTGTTTCTATGGTGGGTAAGGGTTTAAAATCTCGATGCTATTGCCTGCCAATTACCAGAGTCTATGCTTTCAGTGGTTTTACAGCTTCTGTCATGCTGAATGAAAACTGGCTAGTGCATGGCTTGGTTTAAAAATCAAAGTCCATAACTTCCTTGCATTTTTGGTATATTAACATCTGGGTAACAAAAGCGCAGGGAACAAATTTATCCAAACCACAAGCTAAACTACTGTTCAAATTTTGCACATGGCCCCACTGAAAATTTTGCTCTGATTCCTGCTAGTCCAGGATTAATTGGCAGATGATCTGCCTTAGTTTGCCCTAGATATTTACATTAAATTTAGTTCTCTCCACTTGAACACAGTGACTGAAAACAGATAGGTTAAGGTACCTTTACAAAGAGAAATTTCACCTTTCACAGGCCTTCAAATTGAAAAGTGCTCTGTGTTTTCCCCCAAATTGATTTCCTAAAAGCAAAATCTTCCCTGTTTGTTGCTACTTTAGTGCATCTGCATGTTTGTTCACATGACTCTTCAATTTGCAGCTTAATCATCCTGATATGGTGGAAGGACTCGTTCTTATTAATGTCAACCCATGTGCTGAAGGATGGATGGACTGGGCAGCAACTAAGGTAAGATACTGCATCTTTTAAATTTAATTTTAAAACATGTTAATTCTTTTTCATAAAATACCAAATGCTTGTCATTGGAAAGATTTTGCACCGGCACCCAAGCATACCCCTGAGACCTATACGAATTTGTAATCTCCCCTTCATTGACTGATTGGAAAAATCCATGTTGATAGGCATCCTTTTTGAAGTCGCTTTGATACACCTGTACATTAGTTCCAGATTGGCTTTGAAACACAAGTGCATTGCATGATGGAGTTAAATTTACTTTGAACACCACGATTTTTATACATTGAATTGCATCAGCAAATGGTTAAACTGGTGCAATTTCTGTTGTGGTAGATTCTGAGCAAATCATTATGTTCTTAAAGTTGATTGATCCTACAAACTCACAGCAATATGGGAGCCATAGTGACACACAAAACACATACCCTTAAAAGGTCTAATGAATGAATGGTTAACACAGTACTCAAAGTAATTTCTCTAGCATGGCATGAATTGGATATGTAATTTGACTATGACTTGTTTTTGTGTGTGATGAGGTTGACTGTCAACCACTGGAGTATGAAAGACCGCTGTGCAAGACAGTGTGAACTGTCCTAATGCATATTTTTCTGAATTCTCAGATTTCTGGATGGGCTCATGCATTGCCAGATATGGTCATCTCACATCTTTTTAGCAAGGTAAGTGTGTATTATAACATTCAGATTTTGAAGACTCCTCCTGTTGCCTTTCTCATGTAGGGAAAAGGTACTAGTAACTGACATGCAGTAGTATCTTAGCAGTGTTTTGAATTCTGATACTTAAGGACATGGGCAGGTATATCTGTTTACATTTTAGTAGGCTTTATTATGCTAATCCCTTGGACAGAATTCCTCGCCCCTCACTTCATGAAGACTTCTGCTTTTAAATGGTGACAGGCTTTAGCTTGTGTGCTTTGCTCCTTGTGGGTTCTGATGTTGAAATTTAAGAGCGCTACATTAAACCTGGAAGATTTAGACACCAGGCGGTTTGTGTAACTGAAATGTGGCAATACTGGCAGGAGTTCAACTGCTATTTTAGTGTTACTGTTCTAAAACGTCTAGCATGTTGCTGTTTATCTTTCGGAGACAGGGCTCCATGTTGCATACTTTACTGTCAAGTATTTTACTGTCTGGAAGGGATGGGGATTACGGATGTATAGGGAGCACTTGGAAAAGAACATTTAGCTGTTATAAAAAGCCGGTATTGATCTACCAAATATAATGAGAGCTTTCTTTGAATTTAGGAAGAGATTCACAACCATCAGGATTTGATGCATACTTACCGCCAGCACATCATCAATGATATGAATCAAAACAATCTGCATCTCTTTGTCAACTCATACAACAGGTAATCTGCTATTGGGGATCATCTGGATTACTTGGGATAACAAGCTGCACCCATTTGAGTCCAATCAGCCACAGAATGCCTTGAAGTCTTCCAGAATCCGCAATGAAGAACCTTGGGCCCTCCAGATTTTGTTAAAGGGGCCATAGCTCAGTAGTAGAGCATATGCTTTGCATGGAAAAGGTTCCAGATTCAATCCCACCATCTCCAGGTTAGGCTGGGAGAGACCCCTTTCTGAAACTCTGGAGAGCCACTGACAGTCAGTGTAGACAATGCTGAGCTAAATGGACCAATGGTCTGATTGTGTATAAGGCAGCTTCCTATGTCCCTGGATCAGTGGCATGCTAACGGGGTCAGACTGGAATCATAGGTCAGCAATGTCTGGAGGGCCAAAGATCCCTCTTGAAGACCGCTGCTAGCACAATCTTCGTTCTAAACATGAGCTTTGTCAGATGGACTTGCCGTGGTGGTATCCAACATATTTAGGTCTTTTCGAAGAACTGAAAGCTGAAATAGAGCCCAACTCTGACAAGCATCCATGGACCACATGCCTTAGGGACTCCATATGGCCCTCAAATTGCATGTTATCAACTCTGAGTTATGGCTTCTTCTTGCCTTTTTATAGGAACAGTGCTTAGAAGTTAAATGGAAGCCTTCTGCTTACTTGTCTCCTGTTCCTTTTTCTTTTTTTTTCAGCCGAAGAGATCTAGACATTGAGCGGCCTATACCTGGAACAACTGTTGTAACTCTACAGTAAGGATTTTTCATATTCCATTTTAATTCTGTTGTCATCTGGTTGTGGCTAATTTCTGAAACAAATCTATAGATAAAACTGGTATGTCAAACTGATTGTATAATTCTCATGGTTGCCATTTTTTTGCCACTAAATTGATAGCAAGAATTTCAGTGGCAGAATCAAGAGGCACAATGCCCTAGACATACCAGCTATAATTGTATTATCATCTTCAAAGGGCTCTTTATGACTGTGTCTTGTCCTCCTTTTCATACCCAATCAAGCTCCTCCTTCCTCAGCTGCTACTTCTATACCATTTCAAGTATTAATTTGAACACACATAAGGAAGGGAATACTTTGCACTTTAATCTCATTTATGAAGAACGTGCCATGGGCATGTCTTAATCTCCTACCTTGTTGATGTCTCAACAAACCGAAGCTTACAGGACTTAACCGCTTAGAGATGTATGTGGTTTATTCCTGGGCTGTCCCAGTTACTGAGGTACACAGCAGTGAGCTGTGACTTGAGAAACAAGTGTCATGGTATAGCAAGTTGTACAAAACATTATCATGAAAGCTTAGCTGTAAATGGGTAAGAAACTAAACATTTGCTTAAGGCTTGAGAAGCAAAATAGAATCTTAACTACTGTGATTTAGTGACAGCTACCATTAAGGGTAACATCAGATGCCCACAAGCCACCTTGTTGGAATGTAGACCAGGCATAGGCAAACTCGGCCCTCCAGATGTTTTGGGACTACAACTCCCATCATCCCTAGCTAAGAGGACCAGTGGTCAGGGATGATGGGAGTTGTAGTCCCAAAACATCTGGAGGGCCGAGTTTGCCTATGCCTGGTGTAGACAGTTTCATCACATCTGCCTTACTGTTTTCTGCTTTGATACACAACTCGCTAAGGGATGTTTGTCTAGTTATTTTTCACCTTTCTCATAGTTCCATGTCCTCTCTTCCTGCTCGTTGTTACTTTGGGGCTGAGGTTCATTTGTTTGTTTGGATTATGTATTTTTGCTATTGCAAAGTAGTTCGGTACTGCAAGAAATTGGGTCCAGAGTGTTGGGGATTATTTCTTTGAGCTATATGCTGGCTCCAGCTTCAAATAGTTCTGTGCATTCCTCTTAGTGACAGTTAACTCACCAACAAATATCTTGAGATTCTGTGGTTTATACAGAAGCTGTCTGTTTCTTCAGTAATTTGTTACAAAAACTTTTGTTTTAGAAATCTTGTATATTGAGAGTGAATTATATAGCAATGACTGCAATTTCAGTTATTTCCTTTCAGGTGCCCTTCACTGTTGGTGGTTGGAGACAGCTCTCCTGCAGTTGATGCTGTGGTACGTACAGATTAGCTTTAGAGGTGTGTCACAATAATCCATTGCTGGGAATCCATTACATTGATTGCACTGTAATACAGTGGTACCTCGGGTTACAGACGCTTCAGGTTACAGGCTCCGCTAACCCAGAAATAGTACCTTGGGTTAAGAACTTTGCTTCAGGATGAGAACAGAAATCACACAGCAGCAGTGGGAGGCCCCATTAGCTAAAGTGGTGTCTCAGGTTAAGAACAGTTTCAGGTTAAGAACAGAACTCCGGAACAAATTAAGTACGTAACCAGAGGTACCACTGTATCAATCAATTTTTTAATTATTGGATCTTTTTTATCTCCTAATGTTCAGAGTGATTTATAGTGCTGTTCTAAGCAAATCTGTAAGGTGGCCCATACTTCCAATTTGCAGATGGGACAATAAAGTCTGGAAAATGACAGCTTATCCAGGGTTCCTTTTAGCACGCTAGCGCGCGCACACACACACACACACACACACACACACACACAGGGTTAAACCCCAAGCACCGTAGTCCCAATTGGTGTTGGTGTGTCCCTGCTCCTAATGTTTCTGGTTTTAATACAACTACCAGTGATACAACTAGCATCACGTGTAGCTTGGTCCTTAATTCTATGGTTTGCAGGCTTAACCACATTGTGGAGGCTCGCTTCTATCTGCAGTATCACTGCTTGGAGGTTGCGGGATGCCTTTGCGGGTCTTTGCTTCCTGAGGCATTTTGAAGTCAGAGCCATAAGGGCTGTGTTGCAAACGTTTTTGTGTTAAGCGTAAAAATAAAGCTCACTCTTCTCCCCTCCCTTTTCCAAACAGGTTGACTGCAATGCTAAACTTGACCCAACAAAGACCACACTCTTAAAGGTAATAAACATAAGCACTTTTCTCCAGAATCAGAGGAGTTCATGTTTTCTAGAGTATTTAAACACAGTGACTGCTGCTTGTTGGCAAGTGTCTTGCTTAGACAGGGAATGTTGTAGATAACAGCTGTAAAAAAATCACTGTCTGTAGGGCACTGTCTGTAAGTTGCAGTGGCATTAAGGCCCCACCCCTTGCTCTACTATAGCCAGAATGGCTGGCCTATATTTTTGTACATGCATTAGGACAGTAAGCATTGTTAGACATCAGAAAATAATGCTACCAGTACTATATTCAGAAACTCATTCCATAATGGATTTTAATCCTGCCAGTAGTTAGTTTCAGAAGGTCATATAATGAACTCCAGCAGTTCATCTCCTCCCATTGTTGCCTCCTGGCTGGTGAGAAGATATATCTGTACCATGCCAAAGATGGTGAAAATAGCTTAAGTCCTTGGCCCTTGATGGAGTTTTTCCAGTGTTTGACAGTTTGGTCATTTGAATGTCCTGTATCGTATAGTAATGCCGTTGTGTAATTCAAACCATTTAATCAGCAGCAGGGGTGGGGAGCCTGTGGCCCTCCAGAAGTTGTTGGACTTGAAACTCCCATCAGTTGCAACCCGTGTGACCAATGGGTCAGGTGATGGGAGTTGTAGTTGAACATCTGAGAGATCAGATATTAGAGACCCCTGTTTTAAAGCCTTTCTTCATCTAAAGACTGCCCAGTGTGAGATCTGTCTATATCAATATTGTCAAATCAAAAAGTCTGAACTGAGAGATTGGTAATCCTGGCTGCCTCTTTCATCATCTGTAACATCATTAGTTTACCCGAAGATACTGATTTTTATTTGCAAGCAAACCAGTTTTTACCTGCATTGGCATTTCCTTGTTGGACTTCTGGTGAGGAACTGAGAAATAGTGGTCTCCACTAGATGCTTCCATCCTCTTTTTATGAGAACGTATAAGTGTGCTGAATTTCAGTTACCCCAGGATTGGACACATTGTAAATTTAATCTGTCTCCAATTTATGTCTGCATTCTGGTTACTATTAGGGAAAGTAGCACGTGACACTGCCTTGTGTGAGGTAGTTTAGTTGCATGAGGTCATTTTGTGTCTAGCTGCTCACTGAGGAATTTGTTATCATTTAATGTGCATATCCTTCACTTTCAGCACACTCCCATCCCATGTTCCCATCCAGTCCAGAAATAAATAAAAACAACATGTACACTCTAAAACAGTCTGTTAAGCAGTAATGTGCAGAATCTGCTTCTGGACAAGGTGAATTACTTCCTCACCAGAAGCAAGGTAGCCTTGTGCATGATGAGCCCTGACCTCTTGGTTTCTGTGGGATTGCACAGCTGAGTTGCAGTGCCCTTGTTAGTAAAAGCTGAGCATCTCATTCTTGATGAAGAGCAAGTTTATTGGTCAACAACATTCAGGGGATGATCCCCTCCCTGAGGTTACAGATTAATGTTATGCTCCCAGAACAGCCAAGGGATTTAACATGCTTGTCACTAATCTACAAAAGGACACTGTGGCATCTGTACCACAGTGAAACACTGTTCTAATTATAAAGGCCTTTTTAAAAAAAAGTCTGGCTGATTCTAATTTGGTATGTCTTTGCAAAAAGCCTAAACTCTTCCTGTGTACACGCTCTGGCATCTGCACATCTCCTGCCCTTTCCATCGACATCTTGCACAAGCATTATCCCAAGAAGGCTATTGCATCCTCCTCAAAACAGAAGCACGTTGCCCCCAAATGAAATCGGAAGTTGTGCTTTTCTTATGTGAAACTCCTTTTCACACATGTCAATACAAAAGTATGAGTCTTAAGCAGGGTGGATTTGATTTAAAACACTAGTCAGTAAGACTTGATTTAAATCATTTGTTTACAGAAAGGTTCAACCTTGCTGGCATCCTCTTAATATTTACAACCAGAGGAAGGTTTCGTTTTTGGAATAATAAATTTCCAGAGTAGTTTTTACAGCTACATCAAAAATGACTGATTTGATTATACTATCAGAAATACATAGACAGATAATTATGAAATTATTGTTTATATTTGGATAACTTTTCTGCTGTACTTTATTGGAAGGAGAAAAATAATCATTTCCTTAATAATTTAAACAATTTATTTAACTAAAACAATAACATTATAGCATATGTATCCATGTTTGTTAACCAAAGTGGTTAAACAATTAAAAAAAACTTAGACTGAGTTTTAGCACACATGAAAAACTTTAAACAAATCATTATTTCCTGATGAATAGCCTTTGGACTATAATGTCACTTAAATAGAAAACTATCTTTAGAAAGATTTTGCCTCCTAAAGCATTTTATTTTTAAAATCTGATTTAAATTTTTAAAAATCAATTAAAAAAAACACACATTGATTTTTATCCTCCCTAGTCTTAGGTGCTACTGGGGGGTTGGAGGGAATTTGTGAGTAGATTGTAGATCTGGTATAACAAAATAGGATTCTTTAATAAGTAACTCCTCAAAACAAAAAGAACCCGCATTTAGACATATATTTTAATCTCACTCTTAGGTGAAAGATATATAAATGTTCTAAGGCATTTAAGACATTGTATTTGTGGGGTTGGTGAGGTAAGAATATCTCCCCCATAATATACTCCATTGTCAGCTCTATCAAAACCCCAAAAAGAGATTTTTGGAACAGATGCTGGCACCGCTACTGGGACAGAAACCTGAAGTGAAAATATGTTGGCTATTATCTGACTGTGATCCGCATGTCACATACGAAACAGCCCTATTTCCTAAAGCTGCTAAAAGTATTGGTGCTAGCTGTATAAAAGACAATGCTGTAAACTGTGCAGGTGATAAATTAATTTGACCTATTGTAAATGGATGTATATCTCTGCATTTTGTTTAACAGGTTTTAATTGACTTGCTGGATCTGTAACTGAATGTGTAATGGCTTTTAGTCAAACACAATAAATGATTGGTTGATACTTTTATTCATTTTTGCAGATGGCTGACTGTGGTGGTCTTCCTCAGGTTTCTCAGGTAAGATTTTACTGAACAGAATGCATGCTGGGGTGGGGAAGTCCAGAATGTTTGAAGGTGTGGGGAACACAATGACAAGAGTGAAATCACACTCTGCTGTGAATTAAAACCTAGTATTACTGGTTTGGCCTTGAGTACTATAGCTTTGCAGTGATGGGTTTCTTAGAGACCCTGTTACAGAATGCCAAACTCTGTTTGCAACCCCTTTCTAAAATATACATCCTTTCTAAAATGCTTCCATGGTAGCCCTGCCCTCCATATGGTGGTCCCCACCCTCTCAATAAAAGATCACCATAGATACATTGCACTTCTCTCTACACACATAAAAACCTCCAGTCTTCTTGCTCAGTTATGTGTACCCACTAGCAGGAGTTTTAACAAGCACACGCTTTTTAAAGAAAATTGGCTTCCGGCCTAGCAGTGATACCATGCCATAGTAGCATTTTCAAATTTCCATGGCTTACTGTAACTGGAAGATTGGAGTCCAAAACTGAAAACAGTTTGCCATTGGTAACTTGCAACTTTTTAAAAAATGTGGTATTTTCTTTTAACAGCCTGCAAAGCTCGCTGAAGCTTTCAAGTACTTCATACAGGGCATGGGATACAGTAAGTACACGTTTGTTTCGAAATAAATGTGCAGTGTCCTTTTAAGCTGCCATACTAAACAGATCTCTCTTGTTGGCGAAAGTTATGTTCTAGAATTGTTGGGTTTTTAAATGTACAAGTTTGGGTGCATTGGTATTGGACTCCCTTAAAGGGATATCAGCTTTGTCCCAAACTGGAGCAGCACATTAGCCATGTTCAGGTGTTTATGGTGAACATTACTGTATTTTAATATTTTGTTGGAAGCTGCCCAGAGTTGGGGAAGCCCAGCCAGATGGGCGGGGTATAAATAATAAATTATTATTATTATTATATACATTTGGGGAGATGGAATGTACACAAGCTTCACCACTCACATCCCTACAAGTGCCTGCTTGGCTTAGACCTTCCGATATCAAGCGGAAAGGTCTGAAGGGGAGTTCTAAGTACGTTGTGGTCAACACACTTTGAATCCGCCTCATGATTGTCCTATTCAGAACTCCCAGCCTTGCTTCTTGATTTTGATTTACTTTGTGAATTAGGTGAGACTGAGAGGCAGTGACTGGCTACAGGTCACCCAGCAAGCTTCATGGCTGAGTTGTACTCAGTAGTCCAGCACCCTAACTACCACACCACACTGCCTCACATATGCATCACACACACACAAATACATCCCAGTGCCACTTTTGACCTCAGCACTGTGGTTTAGGCTTTCAAACCTCCCTTCTTAACCCACTTTCTGCTGCAATCCATTTTTGTTCCTAGGCACCTGGGCCAATTTCCCCTCAAATCTTCCTTCAGGGTCTTGTTCCTTGACTTGGCTGTGTAAAGGTAAAGGTACCCCTGCCAGTACGGGCCAGTCGTGACCGACTCTAGGGTTGCGCGCTCATCTCGCTCAAGAGGCCGGGAGCTGGCACCGTCCGAAGACACTTCCGGGTCACGTGGCCAGCGTGACGAAGCTGCAACTGGCGAGCCAGCACCAGCGCAGCACACGGAAACGCCGTTTACCTTCCCGCTATAAAGCGGTACCTATTTATCTACTTGCACTTAGGGGTGCTTTCGAACTGCTAGGTGGGCAGGAGCTGGGACCGAACAACGGGAGCTCACCCCGCCGCGAGGATTCGAACTGCCGATCTTACGATCAGCAAGTCCTAGGCACTGAGGTTTTACCCACAGCGCCACCCGCGTCCCACAGCGCCACCCGCGACTTGGCTGTGTGCTTTCCTTAAACTCTTTCATGCAAGCACATCTTCCTTCCCTGATGTATCTTATTAATAGTCTATAAATATTCTGTATCTTTCTCCCTTATGGAACGCTGGTGGCACTGTGGGATAAACCACAGAGCCTAGGACTTGCTGATCAGAAGGTCAGCAGTTCGAATCCCTGCAACGGGGTGGGCTCCCGTTGTTTGGTCCCAGCTCCTGCCAACCTAGCAGTTCGAAAGCATGTCAAAGTGCAAGTAGATAAATAGGTACCTCTCCGGCAGGAAGGTAAACGGTGTTTCCGTGCGCTGCTCTGGTTCGTCAGAAGCGGCTTAGTCATGCTGGCCACATGACCTGGAAGCTGTACGCCAGCTCCCTTGGCCAATAAAGCAAGATGAGTGCCGCAACCCCAGAGTTGGTCACGACTGGACATAATGGTCAGGGGTCCCTTTACCTTATCTTTCTCCCACCCCTTGGATTACATGCACATCCATATCTAATTTTATGTCTTGTGTGTTGCCTATTCTGGTCACTGATCCTCATAATTTGCATTAACCAATACAGGAGGACTTTAAAAAAAAAAATCTTCACCCGTCACTTGCATTTCCTTTGCAGTGCCTTCTGCAAGCATGACCAGACTGATGAGATCCCGCACAGCATCTGGTTCCAGTGTCTCCTCCCTCGAAGGGGGCAGGAGCAGGTCCCACACTGGCGAAGGAAACCGCAGCAGAGCCCACACTGGCGAGGGTGCCAGGAGCAGGTCCCACACTGGCGATAACGTCCGGAGTCGTGCTCACACTGACACTCACATTGAGCTCACTCCCAACTCTGCAAACAACACTGAGCAGCCCAGCCCCAAGTCGATGGAAGTTTCTTGTTAAATGAAAGGGGCTTGAATTGGAAGTGAGACCTAACCACCACCTACTGTGTATCTTGATACTTAACCTAAAGTGTTTTCTGTAACACATGACTCTGTCCCCCACCTAGAGTTCAGCAGGGACCAATAAAGCAGGCATCTCAAGTTTCTCTGTTCCCTTAACAGAGGTTGCTGCTATTCTGTTCTCCAACTAATTCTAGATTGCTTTAAAACTTGTCCAGTGGTGAAGCTAACAGCATTTGATCACCAAGATTGAAACCTAAGCTACCTAGGATCTTGTTCAGAAACAAAGCCTTTGAAGATGATCCATCTCTTGCCCCCCCTCCCTTTTTTACACTATTAAAAAAAGCCCTTTCCCAATGTGATTTTAAATAATTTGCTTTGGGGAAAACAATGCATGACTGGAGACTTTTAGAAAAAGTCTGAAAGTCAGGTTGAAGGTGGATTTACTCAAATCTGTACATATTAATCGAATGAGATTTTGTGTCTGGCCTTGTGAGTAGTGTTCAAGGCCTGTTTTCCTACATGATTATATATATATATATATAATTAAAATAGGGAATGTATTGCAATTTCAGGCAAACAAAATCTTAAGCCTTCATGCTATTTAGTGGCAGTCTTTCTCCTTTTAGAACTAAAACTGCTTGAGCAAGTAAAGGCCAAGGTTCAAATTATTGTCAAAAGCATGCCAGCACTTGGTCTTACGTTTTGGACCTCAAAAGGATGTTTGGAGATGACAAAATCAGTTGGCCTTGTGGCCACTTAGGGCAATGTGTGTGGTGGTTGGGGGACCAGCAGTAAATTGACTTAGAAGGTGGAAAAGTTATGTAATGATTATAAAGTGCTCTGTAGTCAGCTGCCAGGTTGGTCAGCCCCTTACCATTTCAGGATTAAGACCTAGTGTTGGATGAATACTTTCCACACTATTCATGAGCGAGAAGTGCATGACTGCAATGGAGATTTTGATGACTGTGAATGTAGAGGTGTATTGATTCTGCAGCCTGTCCTGATGTCTGCAGAGCTGTATTTTGGGGAGCAGTGGGCATCGCAACAGATTTCCAGCATAGAATGGTTCTTGTTTTTTACAGATTATTTTTCACTGGCTTTCTATTTGCTACTTCACAATTTGTAATATGGCTCATGATTTTGGGGTATCAAGCATTTAAAACGTCAAGCATCTCTACACCTGAATATCTTTGGTATTTCAAAGAGAACTAAGCTCTAGTGTAGGCAAATCACCTATTTTTAAAATGACAACTGCAGAGTTTCTTAGGTGGTTCACGGAGAGGAGGAACAGATGGTAATTGAGAGGTGAAACTTGTCTATTTCAGAAAAGTTTATTAATGAATTATTTGTATTTATTTCAAAAATAAATTTGTAACTTTGCAGTGGTTTTGCATCTATTTTGTGTCCTGAAAATGATGGTGATCTTTGAGATAAGGATTAAAAAACCAATGAGTTTGACTCTCCAACTTCAGTTGGCCCTTCACTTCAGTTGACCCTACACAACAGAAAGTCCATCTCTGGTGGTTGAAAATGCACCTCACTACTTGTATGGATCACTTAAACTGCCTTGAGTGCATTCTCTTATGGATCATCAATGGGTTAAACATCAGGAAGCAGAAGATGAGGATAAATGGACCATTTTCACATTGGGGAGAAATTAGTTCTGTACTGGAGCTTGATAGTACTTTTAAAATGACCTGGATTGGGTGAGCCATGCCACAGATAAGTTTGCATATAACAACAAATTATTCAAGATCCAGAGTAGTCAGAACCATGCAAACTGGGAAACAAAATTGTGTTGCCTGATTAATATAAGCAAGTATAAAGCATGTTGATGTTGAGAATTTCATATTTTAATGCTGATGGTGTGAGATTTGCTGTTTCTGGCCAGGAAAGGTAACATGGCTGTTTGATGGACAGCTTGCTGTAAATGTCAACTTAGTTGGCAGCAGTGTAAAAGAAGAGAAAAAGCATGACCCTAATTTCCTTCATTAAAAATGGCTGCAGTTCTGGTTGACCCATCTCAAAGAGGATAGAACACCAGAAAGGGTGTAGAAAAGACCAATAAAAGGACTTGTGAAATGCAAAGCCTAACGCATTTGGACTAGTTAGCTTTTGCTTTTTAAAAAAATGGTTATGAAAGCAGGTAATATGAATTGTACAGGCTGAGCAAATAGATTTCTCTCTGTCTCCAGCCCATGTTACTATAATGGTGGGTCACTCAACGAAGGAAATTGGTGGTAGTTTCAAAACAGAAAAGTGGAAGTACTAGTTGACAGCACATTTTTGGAATTTACTGCATACCCTAAGAAGTGATGATGGCCACTAGTTGGGCATATTGGTAAAACTATACCTATGGCCATTGGCCACAATGCTAAACAGAATGCCCATATTCAGAGTCGGATACTGACAGTCAGGTGTTGGTAATAAGTTTGTGGGTTCTGGATCCAGAAGTATCCAGTTGACGGGTTGGACACATGATACTGAATTATATACAGTCAGCATTGACAGGTGCTGGTTTTCCAAGGTGTCGGGTAGGAGTTGTTCCTACCTACCTGCCGATGGGACCTTTTTCAAGCATAGCATGTATTCTGCTCTGGAACACTTTCCCCACAACCACATTTATATTTACTCTTCACCTCATGTAGCTTAGGATGACCAGGCCCAAAGCAACCTCCAAACTTGCCAGGCCTCACATGAACACTAGGATGTGCACCTTTTTCAGTGACACAGGAAAATCAGGGATGTGCCTAATTTGGGTGGCTCTGGCTATGTTGAAGGTAGCATGTGCAATCATTAACTTCAACTGGGAAGAAGACAACCTTGAGAATCGCGACTGATTTCATTTATGAATAATTTCCTAGGGGACATCTTAAAGTGATTTACAATAGGGTTGGTCGTAGGAAGCTGTCCTATATAGAGTCAGGTCATGGGTGGATCTAGCTCAGATTTGTCTACAGCATCCTTTCTCACATGTTGCACTAGAGTAGTCATCATTCCTAGCCAGCGTGGCGAGTGGTCAGGGATGATGAGAGTTGTAGTTCAAGAACATCTGGGAACCCAAAGTTGAGAACCTATGGCCTTCTAGCTGTTGGACACCCAACTAGCAGCAGCCCCAACCAGCGTCACCAACGGTCAGTGAATATAGGAATGGGAGTCCAGCAGTAGCTGGAGGGGTTCAGGTCCCCCAACCCTAGTCTACACTGAGAAAAGTCCTTATCAGCCCAATCTGGGGGAGCCAGAGAATAAATATGGGACAATCCACATGCAAATTGCCTTATCTAGCACTGTTGCTGGCACCTGACTGTCTCAAGAAACAATGGAGTGCACCTCTGGGGTGAAGTTAAATCACTGTGTTAGCAGCACCTAAGTGACCTCCCCAGGATGCAAGCCTGGGCATCACCATAAAAACATTATTTATACCCCGCCCATCTGGCTGGCTTTCCCCACGCTGGGCAGCTTGCTGCATATATAAAAACATAATAAAACATCAAACATTTAAAACCTGATACAGGGCTGCCTTCAGATGTCTTCTAAAAGTTGTGTAGTCCTTTCATCTCCTTGATGTCTAAGGGAGGGTGTTTCACAGGGAGGGTGCTACTACCGAGAAGGCCCTTAGCCTTTAACTTCTCGCAGTGAGGGAACCAGCAGAAGACCCTTGGAGGTGGACCTCAGTGTCTGGGCTGAGCGATAGGGGTGGAGACGTTCCTTCAGGTATACCGGGCCTTCAAGTATAAATAGGTCCTGGGCTGCCCTGAAGACAAGACCCACCTCTCAACCTCCCTGACTTGGTCCAAAGGAAAGCAGAGCAATCCATTTGGCACCAGCTCAGCTGCAGCAGTTGCCAGAATGAGACCTACAAGATGCCATGCAACCATCTTAGGAATCGACTCTGGATTTGTGTAGGGTTTACTCCTTGGCCTTTTCTTCCCCTGAAGATATTCTGCAAGGCAGCAGAGATTTAGGGTCAAGGAGAAGGATATTTTCTTTCTCCTAGATGGGCTACCTTCCAAGTTTGGCGAGCCCCATCTGTTTCACTTCCCTCTACTGTACATGCAGAAACTGCCTTCTTGACCATAGGACCCACTATTGGTCTCGTCCACACAATCTGCTGGAGCCTGTCTTTGCATGCAGGAGACGTCCCTAACTCACAGAGGGTTTGAGACCAATCAGGTGTCCTCAATAGAAAAAAGACAGCCACAGAACTGAGAAATTCCACAAAACAAATGAAATACCGTGAAAATCCCTGAAACAAGAAGTAATCGACTATAAATATTAACTTGTGGAAATCAACGAAATAATTAAAATCAAAAAGCTTAAGGAAAAAATTAGATAAACCTAAAATAGAACAAAGCCTTAACGGGATGCTGGCTACAAACCTCGTTTCACTGAACTATTCAGTTTCCTCAGAAGGAAATAGAAAAATCCTAAACTTTAAATGACCAAAATTCAAACAAGGGTAGAACTCCCAAAATTCTGAGGTATTATAATCCTAGCTCAACCTAGGTAAGGCAAGCACAGTAATAAAGGATTGAGGACTCCAAAGTACAGTTTCTAATACTGAATTTACAAAAAAGGTTTGAAAACCTAAATAGCAAGTTTTAAACAAAGCTCAACTTGAAGAAAGCAAAGCACAATAATAAAGGGTTAAGGACTCAACTGAAAATTCTAGTGCTGCTTTTACAAAAATGTTTAAAAACCTAAGTGGCACAAATTCAAAGAAAGGAATACAAGATAAAGCTGTTTTAGATTTGAACAAACTCAAGAACAGGGCTGAAACACTCCCGTGGTCTAGATGTTACTGCTGATGTTAAAGACTAGTTGATTTCCACAAGATAATATTTATAGTCGATTACTTCTTGTTTCAGGGATTTTCAAGGTATTTCATTTGTTTTGTGCAATCAGTCAGGTGTCCTCAGCTGCTTTAGCCATCCAGTCAAAGCCATTTCCTGGGGTGTGGCCGGTGTTGCATGCTGACAGATCAACACACATTTGACTTATGCATGGATACATTACTTTATCCAATTAAAGCCTGGAGCTTTCAAGAACCTTAATTTTGAATGTATTCCTGACAAGGCAGGAGAGTTTTCCTTTCTCCATCCGTTTCGTTTCTAAAAATCTACCTGTTTGACAAAGCCCACCTCTTTGTGACAGAACTCTACTGCTGTGGGGGCAGCTCAGGTACAGAAGAGGAGAAGCACGTTCACATGTGCCGTCTGCTTAGAACAAGCCGCCACAACGTGACGCTTTTGCCAAGCGTACATTATGCTATTTCTGAGCCTTGTCCCAGATACAGATAATTGTCCCGTCTACATGGGCCCGGCTCGTTCTGTAAGCAGCTTAGCTTTAAGATGGGGCAGGATGCAATCAAATCCTCCTTGAGATAACTGGGCACACACCTGCTGCTGTGAAAAGCCCTTGGCAAGGCAGCGTGACATGAACACCAAAACCTTGTTGGCAGACCCACATTTGACACAGACCAAATCCTATTCCTGCCCAGGCAAAGGAGGACAGTCTGTGTGGCTCGTGCCTGGAAGTGCCCGGCAGGAGGTTATGATTGGGGTCAGCCTCTTGTGATGGTCTTACGGAAGCTACATTTGCCTTGCTGAAGGGCACCTTTGGATTCGATGATAAATGAATCGGCCTGCTGTGTTTGGGGCAGAAAGCTGTGGGGAGCCACAGGAGGTACTGCCTTAGTTGCTTTTAACAACCCCCCATTGCTGGATCAGTCAGGGCAGGGTAAGTGGGGGAGATCCAGAGTTTATACAGCCATACCTTGGATTCTAAATGCCTTGTGAGTCGAATGTTTTTGTTCCCTAATGCCGCAAACCCAGAAGGGGGTGTTCCGGTTTGCGAACGTTCTTTGGAACCCGAACGTTCCACGCAACTTCCACAGCTTCCGATTAGTGTTCCCTAAATAGAATGCCTTTTTGTGTTATTTTCACTATAATATGCATCATTACGTGCACTTTATCCTGATATAGACATTTCTGTACACACCGCTTGGCTGGAGAACCACACCTTAAAATTTGCAGTAGTCCAGCACTTGTTGTTTCTGGAAGTGTGACTTAGGAAGACTTGCCTTTAAGGGCGACCTGAAATCCAATTTCTGTAGCTGCCTGTCCCATTCATTTCCAAAAACCCGTTTAGCCTGAGACACAAGGAAAGCACGAAAGAGCTCTGTGCAACATGGGAATAAATGATCCTTCTCAACAACCACTTTGAACCCTCTCGCAAACCGTTGTCTGTCTCCAACCTCCTTTTGAGGGAGGCATTTCCCACTTAAGCCAATCCTGGCCTCCTCAACGTTTTTCCTTTTTCTGTACCATTTCACCTTGGGAGCATTGTTTGCAGATTTCTGAAGAGGCGCTTTGTTCTTCTGGGCTGCTCGTAGCTGCCCATTGCACAATGTGACCATCATGCGCCGTCTCACAATAGGGACTTTCAGAACTCAGTGAATAGGGAATGCGCCCTGCCTGGGCAACGCTTTGTTGAGAAGTCTGTGTAGCATGAGATAATTGTGGTGCCTCTTCTGCTGCCAGACTCTTGTCAGATCACAGGCTGTTCCATCCCTTAAACGCAATTCTCCAGCCACTGGAATATTCCCGCATCATCTCTTGATCGTATAGTTTGGTTTCCTTACACCTGACCGCAGCACCTTGGACTGAATCTGTTCACTAAGAGAAGGCCAAGCCCCCAGAAGTTTTGCACATTGTTTATGCACCGGTGTCTCCAGTTTAAAGGCTCTTGGGTAAGAACATAACCTGATTCTGCTGGATCAAGCCAATGGCCCATTTAGTCCATTGTCCTGCTCTCACAGTGGCCAAACACATGCCTGTGAGAAACAATGCCTACATTATTACATGAGCACTGTTCCACAGCATTTGATATTTTCATTTACATACATTCATTCAAAATAAGATGGGTTTATGAAGCAATTCTATATCCTCCCACCACACTGACGAAGAATTCTACAAAACAGTAGTCAGTATCCGGAAACACTGTTCAGTGTTGGAAATCATATTTGCTGAATACACAAAGCTTCACAGCTTGTCTTTCATTGTACAAAGTCTGGTAAAGGTAAAGGTAAAGGGACCCCTGACCATTAGGTCCAGTCGTGGCCGACTCTGGGGTTGCGGCGCTCATCTCGCGTTATTGGCCGAGGGAGCCGGTGTACAGCTTCCGGGTCATGTGGCCAGCATGACTAAGCCGCTTCTGGTGAACCAGAGCAGCGCACGGAAACGCCGTTTACCTTCCTGCCGGAGAGATACCTATTGATCTACTTGCACTTTGGCGTGCTTTCGAACTGCTAGGTTGGTAGGTACCTTGCTTCATTTAAAGATTTCCAAAGACGTTGAGACTAAAGATTTCATTTTGCACTTCTTATGGTTTGAAGGAATTCTATTAAGATTGTCTATTGCGTATATACGTGGTCATCATGTTGCCTAGACATGGCTGACTATCTCTTTGCAACACAGGGGTTGGTTTGGTTGCTAATTGCTTTACCTGGGATTCTCAGCAAATGCATGATTCAGAGGAAGAGGATGGGGTATGGCCTAGTACACAAGAGTAGGACCATTTATCCCAAATAAATGACTGTGCATAGGCTGCACTATGAAGGAACTGTTTGCAAAGGTCCCCAATTTCCTCACTAGTTACTCTGTACATGCTCAGAGGCCATTTGTTATGTGTTTGCCTACTTTAGGAATGGGACGCGGGTGGCGCTGTGGGTTAAACCACAAAGCCTAGGACTTGCTGATCAGAAGGTTGGCGGTTCGAATCCCCGCGATGGGGTGAGCTCCCATTGCTCGGTTCCTGCTCCTGCCAACCTAGCAGTTTGAAAGCATGTCCAAGTGCAAGTAGATAAATAGGTACCTCTCCGGCAGGAAGGTAAACGGCGTTTCCGTGTGCTTCTCTGGTTCACCAGAAGTGGCTTAGTCACGCTGGCCACATGACCCGACAGCTGTACGCCGGCTCCCTCAGCCAATAAAGCGAGATGAGTGCTGCAACCCCAGAGTCGGCTACGACTGGACCTAATGGTCAGGAGTCCCTTTACCTTTACTTTAGGAATGGAACCCGCTGCTTGAAAACTCCCACGCCCATCCTCTCCAACATTTTTGCCCCCCAAATCGGGATGTCAGGAGGGGCACGTCTGTCAGTCTTGCACTGTGGTGCTCGTCAGCAGGAGCACCACACTCCCACAACAACTACAGTTGTACCTTGGTTGTCGAACGCCCTGGAACACCGACATTTTGGCTCCCGAATGATCAAAACCCAGAAGTGACTGTTTCAGTTTCTGAACGTTCTTTTGGAAGCCGAACATCCGACAGGGCTTCCGATTGGCTGCAGGAGCTTCCTGCAGCCAATCAGAAGCTGTGATTTGGAAGTCGAATGCTTTGGAAGTCGATCGGACTTCCAGAATGGATTCCAGTCGACTTCCCAGTGGTGCAATTGCATGACATTTGGAGCGCAAGTGACTTCAAGCAGCCACACGTAGGAAATCATTCTTCCTTAACAGGATAGGAAAAACCGGCGCACAGGCCCGACCCACTCCAACACCCCGCTGTGCATGGGAACCAGAGCTAAAGTGTGGGTCCAAGGATGTTGCAACAGCCCCATTGAACAGATATAGAAAGCCTTCCCAAACCAACGGTGATTTGGACTTGCTTCTACTGAGCTGGGCGGGTGTTTCACAAGAGCAGCATCCCCTGTGAGCTCACAAAGAAAGTAGGCCCAAGTCACTGGGGAAGTGCTACCCAACTTGTGCTAGGTGCAAGGAATAGATCCTTCACTGTGGTTGCAAGTACACTCTGGAACTCCCTGCCCATTGATACTAGACGGGGGTCTTTCCTGTACTGGTTTCAGCACCTGCTAAAAACATTTTTGTTTAGGTGAGCCTACTCACACATGCAAATTTGGCATGCAGTTTAAAATGTATTTTTTAAAAAAGGTGTGTGTGTGTGTGTGTGTGTGCAAAATAGCTGATCTTATTTATATTTATAAGCCAACTTGTTTTTAACATCTGATTTAATTGGTACATTTTAATGTCTATTTAATGTGAAGCATTTAGAGGTTTTGAGGATCAAGCGGTATAGAAATCCTGTTTAAAGAAAATACAGTGGTACTTTGGTTTGCATACGTCTTGGTTTGCATACGTTTTGGATTACAAACATGTCAAATCCGGAAGTGTGTGTCCCGGGTTTGCAACCTTTTTTTGGATTACAACCCTTTTTTTTTTTGGATTACGAACAAAAAAAATTTGGAGGCCCCATTGGTGAAAGCACACCTTAGGTTACAACCTGTTTTGGTTTACAAACGGACCTCCAGAACGGATTATGGTTGTAAACCAAGGTACCCCTGTTAACAGGCAAGAAGTGTTTTATGTAGATGAAGCCCTGCACTTTAAAAAGAGTAATGGAATCTTGGAGTTGGAAGGGACCCTGGGGTCATCTAGTCCAACCCCCTGCAATGCAGGAATCTCAGCTAAAGCATCCATGACAGATGGCCATCCAAGCTCTGCTTCAAAACCTCAAAGGAAATAATAATTCAAAAGGTCTACACTGCAGCCCGGAGAACAGAAAATATTTGAGAACCAGGGCATTCTGCAGAAAATCCTGTTGTTAAAAAAGCATTTAAAATGACAGGATGAATCAACGCAGACTTAGGCCAGGATGATTAAAAGGAAAGAAAAAAAAAGGATTTAAATCAACAAATGGTTTTGCTTTCACATACAGCAGACGAAAGATTCTCTTTTATTTTCAACCCTCTGTAAAATCAGAGCAATAAAACGTAGTAGTCCCCTCTCGCTCGCCTTCCTCCCTCCCTCCCTCCCTCCCTGCGCATGCCATCATACCCAGCCAACTTAATTAGCAACTTCGGAGTAATCATGATAATGAGCTAAGTCAGCGAAAATGTCATTGGGGCTCTTGCAGCTCAGGTTGCAAAAGCAGGCGTTGATCCACATGACTTTCTTGGAGAACCCGGTCCCATCCGGGCACTCGAAGCTCACGTCGATGGTCTTCGACTTGTACGGAGTACAGCAGCGATTGTCCACACAGACGCCGCAGTATTTCGGCCGGTAAGCTGCCTTGCTCACGCATCCAGACAGAGTATAGTTCATCAGCTCCTGCCTCCTGTACACTGCTAAGCATTTCTTTCCAGGCTAGAAACAACATGAGAGAGAGAGAGATGATAGCAATCAACTTGATCGATTAAACATTTTTATTTACGCTTCCAGTAATAATAATACTCATAATAATTTATTATTTCTACCCTGTCCATCTGGCTGGGTTTCCCCAGCCACTCTGGGCGGCTTTCAACAGAACATTAAAAACAGAACAAAACTTTGAAAACAGAATAAAACTTCTCCAAGAACTATGAAGAGGCTGGAAACTCTCAGCTCTCTTCATCGGTGACCATTGGCCATGCTGGCTAACATCCAACAACATCTAGAGATTTACAGGTAGACTATCCCTGGGTTATGCAGTCTTCGTTCCCAGTTGCAAAATCCCTTGATTAAAACCACAACTCCCAGAAGCCTCTGTGCCTCCATGTCAGGGACCGTGCTGAGGAGGGCTGCACTGAGGAGGAATGGTGGGAGCCTCTCCCTCCTCCTGCTCCTGCTCCGGATCCTGAATCTTCCCACAGTATAGATTTGGAACAGCGGTTTGCAGAGGGACATAGTTCAGAAGGCAGAAGCTGGGAAATACTGAATGGGGAACAGCTAGGAGGAGAAGCACTGGGAGAGAGAGAGTTAACAGACTCACTGTCACTGGAAAGCATTCACCTGCTCAGCACAATGTCAAGAAGAGCAGATAAGTTGGCGGCACAGAAAGCACAGTGGTTGTGAGATCAGGTTACAAGATGCGGTAGTGACGTGGGTGACTAGGGAGGAAGTGGGTGAAACCCTTAATTAGGAGCACTGTCATTCCTAGCAATGGATTCTTTGTTCTCTCTCTGTGATCATCAAAGTTTCTAACTGGTAAGAGACTCCTTTCTCTTTGTTCTGCTTATCTACTGCCGGGGGGGGGGGGGGGAGGAAGCTGATTCCCTGAAGCCTCATACCCCATCATGTTGTCCATCTCTTTGGACAGGACAGAGCTGCAATTGGATAGCCTAAGTAAATAAGGGATGCGGATGGCACTGTGGGTTAAACCACAGTGCCTAGGACTTGCTGATCAGAAGGTCAGCGGTTCGAATCCCCGTGACGGGGTGAGCTCCCATTGCTCGGTCCCTGCTCCTGCTAGCCTAGCAGTTTGAAAGCACGTCAAAGTGCAAGCAGATAAATAGGTACCACTCCGGCGGGAAGGTAAACGGTGTTTCTGTGTGCTGCTCTGGTTCGCCAGAAGCGGCTTAGTCATGCTGGCCACATGTCCTGGAAGCTGTATGCCGGCTCCCTCGGCCAATAAAGCGAGATGAGCGCCACAACCCCAGAGTCAGCTATGACTGGACCTAACGGTCAGGGGTCTCTTTACCTTTAAGTAAATAAGAAAGTGACCACACCTGGGAAGGGAATGCGGAAAAACACTAGAAGCCAAGGACTTACTGTAGAAATGGCATCATCTGGAGATGCCATAAAAAGCTAGTGGCTGTTGCGGAGAAATTGTGGGAGCTTCTTGTGGGTGGATGGGGAAACAAGAGCAATCCTACAAGCAGTACCTTAGTGTGCTTAATGTGGTGAAGCAAGAGCAACAAGGAGGATTTCTGCCTGTATTCTCCCATACCTTAATGTGCTTGGCGATGTCCTCTTCACATGGGCGCATGTTACAGAGCCGGCTCTCTTTTGTCAGACGGCACTGGTCGTTCTCGTTCGTGATTCTTTGGGACGTGCCCATCCCGCAGGTCTTCGAGCAGGGACTCCAGGAAGAGGTGTGGAGGATGCAGTTTTTCTGCCACGACTCAATTTCCCCTTCGTAAACTATAAAAAAGAGAGGAAAGGAACACATGGCATTAGGTGAGCTCATGCGCCAGCCTCAGGAATTCCCTGTGAAGAGGAATTGGTTGTTAAACCGCTCTAATTGAAAAAAAACACATAAATATAATAGGCCGTATAGTAACAATTGCAAAGCTATTTATTAGAAACTACTTCTCAAAAGGGGATGCGGGTGGCACTCTGGGTTAAACCACAGAGCCTAGGACTTGCTGATCAGAAGGTCGGCGGTTCGAATCCCCGTGACGGGGTGAGCTCCATTGTTTGGTCCCTGCTCCTGCCAACCTAGCAGTTCAAAAGCACGTTAAAGTGCAAGTAGATAAATAGGTACCATTCTGGCAGGAAGGTAAACGGCGTTTCCGTGCACTGCTCTGGATCGCCAGAAGCGGCTTAGTCATGCTGGCCACATGACTCAGAAGCTGTACCTTGGCCAGTAAAGCAAGATGATCGCCACAACCCCAGAGTCGGTCACGACTGGACCTAATGGTCAGGGGCCCCTTTACCTTTACTTCTCAAAAATTAGATACAGCTTCTTATAATGGCAAAATCAACATTGTGACATAATATATTAAAATGTAGCTTTCCAGTTGACCACCAAGTCCAGTATGTACAAAATACAAGTCCTATATTGTCAGTGCTGTAGTACATTCTTTTCTAATTTTTTCATCTTCTCTTGTATTTTTCTGTCTGTCGTATTGCTTAGAAGAGTGGCATGAAATAATCTTCTAAGTGTCTAAAGAAGATGATTGGGTTGGCAGACAAAAGAACCTGGCACTAATGGACGCTGGCACAGGCAGACGAGACAAGGATTCCTAGATATTCCCCTGTTTCGCCCGAAGGGGCTTCATCAGCTGTGCGTGGTTCTAAATCATATAAACATAGACACTTTGTAATATACATAGCTACAAAAATTCCAAAGTAACATACAAAGATATAAAAAATGTACATACCGATATTATGTGTATATAGGCATTCTGGTGGTTTTGGGTTTTTCTTTTTGTTAAACCACTCTGGCAATTGTAGCTCTGTGAGGGGACTTGGGGTCTCCTAACAACTCACAGCATCCTTAAAAAACTACGGATCCCAGGATTCTTGGGGGGGGGGGGGAGCCATGTCTGCTTAAAGTGGTACGATGCTTGTTTAAATGTACAGTGGATGCGTGGGTTGTGAACGTGATCCATGTGGGATGCACGTTCGCAACCCGCAGCTTTTGCAACCCGCGTCTGTGCATGCACGGGTTGCGATTCGGCACTTCTGCGCATGCGCAAAGCGTGGCTTAGCGTTTCTGCGCATGCACAACCACCAAAACCTGGAAGTAATCCGTTCCAGTACTTCCGGGTTTTGGTGGTCCATAACCGGAAAAAACACAACCTGAAGCGTCTGTAACCCGAGGTATGACTTGTATAGTGCGAATGTGGCCTTAAATGTGAGCTAGATGAAGCAGTGGTCTGCCCTTGTATAATACAGCTTTTCTACCTTTTCCCCTGCTGGAGGAAAACCACCTTGGAAGGGTAGATGTTGAGCTGGAAAAGGGCCAGCAGGTTAAAAATTCAGCACCTCTTCACAATTCCCTCCAAGCCCAGCCCTCAAGTGGCTGTTGGTTTCAATTTGTTTTCTTTTCGTTGTAGAGAAAGGGTGGAACAAGTTATACCTGGGACTCCATGCTGCAGGGAGTTTGCCCCTAAAAGCTGTGGGGAGCTTCCTTCCTCCAAAGTCTTAGAAAGCTGCCCCTCCTCACGTGCTACACACACACACACACACACACACACACACACACACACACACACACAGCCAATACCTGCAGAGGAGATGTGCCGTGGGGAGGTCTTTCTGATTTTCTTGAAGTCGTCGCAGACCCACTGTTCGCAGCATTGCCCCTTCAGCTTAATCTGTTTGGGGTTGGGGCACCAAACGAGGGGCGGCTTGGAGTCTCTGCAGGTGGGAACACAGCCCACTGCTCCTCCGATACAGGTGCAATTGTACTTGCAATTGGGCTGGAAGGACTGTCCGTTCTTGTACCTGACCCCATCGAGGATGCAGTCGAGGCCAACAATTTCTACAGAAGGAAGAGGGGAAATGCATAAAGAGAGAGAGAGAGAGTTTCAAAAGCCCAGGCTCACATGGCATCTGATATCACAGCAGCAATCAGGTTTTTAATACACAGATTTTCCCTCCTCTCTCTTTCTCTCCTCCCTTCCTTCACTCTCTCTCTCTTCCTTTCTTCTTCCTTCCTTCCTTCCTTCCTTCCTTCCTTCCTTCCTTCCTTCCTTCAGCACCAGACAAGGGCAGGTTATCTATTTACTTATAAGGGATGTGGGTGGTGCTGTGGTCTAAACCACAGAGCCTAGGACTTGCGGATTAGAAGGTCGGCTGTTCGAATCCCTGTGACGGGGTGAGCTCTTGTTGCTCGGTCCCTGCTCCTGCCAACCTAGCAGTTCGAAAACACGTCTAAGTGCAAGTAGATAAATAGGTACAGCTCCGGCGGGAAGGCAAACGGTGTTTCCGTGCGCTGCTCTGGTTCGCTTACTCATGCTGGCCCCATGACCCGGAAGCTGTACGCCGGCTCCCTCAGCCAATAAAGCAAGATGAGCACCGCAACCCCAGAGTCGTCTGCGACTGGACCTAATGGTTGGGGGTCCCTTTACCTTTACCTTTACTTTTGTAAACTGCCCACTCCTTAAATTATCAAGGCAGGATACAATAAATTAAAACAATGCAATGTAAACTCGTAAAAATGCAGAAATAACATAAATTAGTCAAATTTTATGTTGTGACGCTCCCTTAGACCTACGGGTATAGGGCCTCATAATAATAATAGCAAGAATACAGTCAAACCTTGGTTGTCGAACCTAATCTGTTCGGCTTCCGAAACGTTCGACAACTGAGGCACGGCTTCCGATTGGCTGAAGGAACTTCCTGGGTCAGATGTTCGGCTTCTGAAATACGTTCAAAAACCGGAACGCTTACAGTAAGGGGGGAAAGTATTTGATCCCCTGCTAAATTTGCCTGTTTGCCCTCTGATGAAGAAATGACCAGTCCATAATTTTAATGGTAGGTTTGTTGAAGCTGTGAGAGACAGAATAACAACAGGAATAACAACAGAATAACAACTGGTCATTTCTTCCTCAGAGGGCAAATGGGCAAATTTAGCAGGGGATCAAATACTTTCCCTCCTCACTGTACTTCCAGGTTTTTGATATTTGGGAGCCAAAAAGTATGATAACGGAAGCGTTCAGGAACTGAGGTTTGACTGTAATAATAATAGCCAGTTTAATTTTCTAATTAAAACTTGGTGAAACAATGGATTGTAATGTTAGAATTCCTGCTCCATGGTTGCAGTCATGGGATTATTATCTATCACATGACGGTATGTGTTTTGACTCCTCAGAGTGGGAAGTGATGGAGACAGGATGTTTGTGTTACTGTGTTCCATGAAGTGGGACTATTGTCCTTTGTTCTTTTTCTCTTTGCTGTCTGATGCTAGAGAGAGAGGGAGCCATGTTGCAGTGCTCCGTGTGTGTTTATATGTAAATGAAGTAGATTAGCCAAAATGCTGAGTTGCTGAGGTCTGTCACGCAAGCTGCAAAGACTCTGCGGATCCCTAAGTGTGCCAGTGTCAGTTGGCATCGGTTGCTGTGATGTTCGGGCTGAAGAAAGCTTTTGAAGCTCCCAAATGATTGACCAGGAGTGAGGGAACATGCCAGTCGGGCATGTGTCTCTGCCGGGGTCCTACTCGAGTGTAGGCTGAGCTCCGGACATGTAAGTACCCGTCTGATTTACACAGATTTCTTTCTTCCCTGGAGAAAAGGAACTTCTTTACATAACAACTGCCAGATTAAACCAAAACCCTATGTGGTCCATCGCTTTCCTTCCTTCCTTCCTTCCTCAACAGCCAACCAGATGCCTATGGGAAGCCCAACAGGCAGAGCATGAAGGCAGTAGTTCTTTCTCTCTGTTGTTTCCCAGTTTGAAACTGGTATCCAGAGGCATGCTACCCTGATCATGTAAGGAGCATCTAATTATTGTGACTAGGAGCCAACGCCATTATCCTCTAGGAATGCTAAAGCCATTGGCACTACTACTAATAATAATAATTATTATTATTTATTTATACCCCGCCACTCTGGGCGGTTCCCAACAAAGTTAAAAACACAACAGAACATCAAACATTAAAAACTTCCCTAAACAGGGCTGCCTTCAGATGTCTTCTAAAAGTCAGATAGTTGTTCATTTCCTTGACATCTGGTGGGAGGGTGTTCCACAGGGCAGGTGCCACTACCGAGAAGGCCCTCTGCCTGGTTCCCTGTAATCTCACTTCCTGCAGTGGAGGAACCACCAGAAGGCCCTCAGATCTGGACCTCAGTGTCCGGGCTGAACGATGCTACAATGGTACATCTCCCACCTTTCAGTTTCATAATTGGACCCCAGCTTCCAATATTATGAGGAAGGGAGAAATCCACATTCATGTGCTGTGCATATTTTTTTTAAATAAAAAAACTTTAACTTAGATGTTTTTTTTAAATAAAAAAACCCTTTAACTTAGGCCCCTGTTAGTATTTGCCTGGTGAGATTCAGGTGCTTTTACATGCAGTACCACGCAGTACAACTTGGCTTAGTTACAGTGGTGAAAATTCCTAAATTATTGGTACAGGAACACAATAATGGCTTGTAAAGGCCATGCGGTCTGAGCTTGGAGCAACCAGCCCAGACCTCATTCCATGCAGGAATTCACATGGTAGACTGAAGGAACAATATTTTGGCTTCCTTTCTCCCAAGGTGAGGGGAAGTGATCTAGCTAAGCCTGGCAGGACAGCTTACTCTATGGTATTAACCCCTTCACGAATTAATTAGACTTAAGCATGTTGGTTATCCCACACTTTTTAGCAACTCATTCAGAGCGAATGGCAGTCTATTGGAAACCCAAATTTCCCTTTGTTCAGATTTGGCATTAAAGAGTGGGTTTTCCTGGGGTAAGGGGCGGGGGATGGGGAACCTCCAAAAAATGCTCAGACGCAGAGCTTTAAAAGTGAGGACTGTTATGTACTGAAGTTCTCACCCTGGGCCAGCAGGGGGATACTGTAGATAGTTCAGGTCCACATATGCAAATAAGGGATCGAAAGTGACGTTCAGTGATTGAATAGTTACAGAAAATTGTTACAGTTGCGTGGTAGTGGAGCTCTATATAAGCAGGCTGGCTGAACCCTTTAGTTCAGTTCTGTTCTGGCCTGTGAATAAACAAGAGCTGTTTGAAGAATTGCTGTGTTGTCTGATATGTGCACCCACAACTTAACAAGGACTATGCCTATAAAGTGTGGGGCAAAAGGTAACTGTGGGTGAGCCCTTACACCGAGCCGAAGAATTGATCCTTCTAGCTCAGTATGGCCTACACTAAAGGACAGTGGTTCTCTCCAGGATTTCAGAAAGGGGACATTTTCAATCCTACCTCGAGAGGCCAGAGATCGATTGAAGCAGGGACATTTAATAAGCAAATGAGATGTTCCAAAGGTGAAATACAGCCCTTTTTAAGGTAATGCGAAATCCAAGGTGCAGGTTACGGCTTGTGCCACCGCAGCCTTTCAAAACCCACCCCTTTTGTCTCGAGTTCACAGGTGTTTGTACAAATGCTTATAGTATAGAACTAGTAGTTTGTTTTGCTTTATTTCTCTCCCACCGGAACACGCACAGCTCCTGCAGTTTTAATAGAATATCCTGTTTCAGCTGCAGAGAAAAATGGGACTGAGCCATTGAGTCTCTGTTTTCCCACTTTTACAACAATGATCCTGCCCATTTGGGAGTGTGGGTGTGTGAGGGAGGGGGTGTTCTTGTAGGATTTTGTTTTAAATAGAGGGGGAAATTCCCAAACTTGAGATCGAGTTGTAAGCAGATCTGCATGTTTCCACTCCTGGGTTTGCCAATGTTTTGCACGGCTTCAAAGCCAAACCAGGTTTTCAATACCTTGGCGATCCTATTTCGACACTTGCAGTGTTTACTGTGTAACCTCAAACCTTACAAATTGGTTGGGAACTTGAATTTTCTGGAACAGCGTGCAATAAATATTTTGGTCTGAATTTAACCGTGAGCTGGACCACCCAAAGAAGCAAAGAAATGATGCTAAGAAGAAAAAGAAGAAGCGTGAAAAGATGAAAATATACCAACAGAAGAACAATGGTTGTACAAACTGATAGAGCTCACAGAATTAGCAAACACAACAGCCAAAATAAGGAACTGAGACGAGGGGGAGACAAGGGCAGGGGGGAGAGTGGAAATACCTTACAGAATATCTAAAAAGAAATGACATTACAGTAAACCTGCAAGTAGGGGTAATTCTTTGAAGAACAGTAAGAAAGGACGGGAATTAAAAAAGGGTGGAGAAATTAATGGAGATGCAGCAAATTAAGGCTTTGTTAGAATGCCACTGAAGTTCAGGTTGGAAAATCTGCGCAGAAACAATGTCAGATGAAATATGTATGGTGTACAATGGAAATTGGAAAATGCATAAATCAGTGGTTTTCAACCAGTGTCTTGTGGCACCCTGGGGTGCCTTGAATGATGGTCAGGGGTGCTGCAGGCAACACTGACCTCTGTTTCTCTTTCCTTCCCTCCCTTCTTCTGATGCCCTCTTGCATCTCTGGCTCCCAAAGGCTTGCACAGCTGTTTGTTGCAGCAGCCAGGGCTACAAGCTCGTCAGGCGAATGGGGCCTCTGGGGCTGGCCAGGGGGTGCTTCCCAGGGCCCTGTGGGGCAGTGTGAGGAGGCACCTCTTCTTTGGGGTGGGGAGGGGCAGTTGAGAGACAAGGGTCGGCAGTTGCAGCTGCCTAGAAGACTCCCACCCAGGACTTGCTGATCAGAAGGTCGGCGGTTTGAATCCCCGCGACGGGGTGAGCTCCCGTTGCTCGGTCCCAGCTCCTGCCAGCCTAGCAGTTTGAAAGCACGTCAAAGTGCAAGTAGATAAATAGGTACCGCTCCGGCGGGAAGGTAAACGGCGTTTCCGTACACTGCTCTGGTTTGCCAGAAGCGGCTTAGTCATGCTGGCCACATGACCCGGAAGCTGTATGCCGGCTCCCTCGGCCAATTAAGCGAGATGAGCGCTGCAACCCCAGAGTCGGCCACGACTGGACCTAATGGCCAGGGGTCCCCTTTACCTTTACCTTTAGAAGACTCCCAAGGATAGGGGGCTGAGGGAACACTCCACAAGGGAGGGTGTTCGAAAAAGGGTGAGAGGCTGCTGGCTCTGCAGGCAAGAGATGACATAATTGGGCTCCTGAGTCCCACAGGGGTGCAGCAGAAAGAATGTAGTTGGTTAAGGGAGTCGTGGACTCAAAAAGGTTGAAAACCTCTGGCATAAAGAAAAAGAAAAAGAAGCAACGTTGCCAGATGTTGCTAGAGTGAAACAAGGCAAATCCAGAAGCAAAGGATCTCAAAGTGGTGGCCAAGCTAACTGAACCCTCACAATGCTTCACAACGTCATTGTTGTGGTTATTATTATTTTATTTAATGCATTTACAGTGGCACCTTGGTTTTCAAACGCAATCCGTTCCGGAAGACCAAGTCCTGAAACATTTGCAAACCAAAAACTCAATAGCCGACAGCTAGGCCTCAGGATCCTGCACTCAGCAGAAGCCGCGTGGCATGTTCGACTTCTGAGGCGTGTTTGAAAACCGAAGCATTTACTTCCGGGTTTATGGCGTTCGAAAACCGAAATGTTCATCAACGGAGACGTTCAAAAACCGAGGTATAATAATAATAATAATAATAATAATAATAATTTATTATTTATACCCCGCTGGGTTTCCCCAGCCACTCTGGGAGGCTTCCAACACAATATTAAAATACAGTAATGCATCAAACATTAAAAGCTTCCCTAAACAGGGCTGCCTTCAGATGTCATCTAAAAGTCTGGTAGTTGTTCTCTTTGACATCTGGTGGGAGGGCGTTCCACAGGGTGGGTGCCACTACCGAGAAGGCCCTCTGTCTGGTTCCCTGTAATCTCACTTCTCGCAATGAGGGAACTGCCAGAAGGCCTTCAGAGCTGGACCTCAGTGTCCAGGCTGAATGATGGGAGTGGAGACGCTCCTTCAGGTATACTGGGCCGAGGCTGTTTAGGGCTTTAAAGGTCAGCACCAACACTTTGAATTGTGCTCGGAAACATACTGGGAGCCAATGTAGGTCTTTCAAGACCGGTCCCACTGAATATCCATCCTGCCTTTCTCAGTCTACTTTAAGAGAAGAAACAGCCTGGGAAACCTTCAGACCGACGGGAAGCGCCATGACCCGTATCTCTGGCAAAAAGAAAGAGGTACATCACTTACGTGAACACACTCCTATTTCGTACCTAGGTCTGTCTCTGCTGTAGTCACAGTACAGCCCCCTGTGGACGTCGCAAGTGTCCGCTTCTGTGCAGTTCTCCCCCAACTGCTTGGCACACGTCTTGCAGCACTCACAGCCGTCGGTCATCAGGCTGACGCCCGCCGGGCAAACGGGCGGCGTCTTCGGACATTCGCACGGCCACTTACAGTACTGCGTCCGCACGTAAGCCTCGGTCGCGGAGGAGGTGACAGGGGGTGACATGGTAGTCGTGGTCGTGATGTTCTGGGCAAAGACCTGGGTCAGAAAAGAAGAAAAAGCTTAGCAGGGAAACTCATGAAGCCTTCAGGAATCCAGTGACAGGTTCACTAATCTCTCCTGCTTCACAGATCTACCCAGTGCTGGTACTGACTGGTATGGAGAACATAGAAACCTAGGACTTGTACAGAGCCAGACCTTTGGCCTACCTTGCTCAGTATTGTCTACACTCCCAGGGTTTCAGGCAGGAGTCTTTCTCAGCCATACCTGGTGATGCCAGGACTTGAACTCAGGACCTTCTGCTTGCAATACAGATGATCTGCCACTGAGCTATGGTTCTTCTCTGCCATGTCTTTTTCCCACTGCCCATGATAGCCATTTTGTGCTGGCACCTACGGCACTATTATCAAGGTAATTTCAACAAGGGCAGGGGAGGGAAATAGTGCAGATATTAATATTGCAGAGCTTGAGGCAGCTAAAACAGCTAAAAACTGACTCTTATTGCCTAAAAAACTGACTCTTTATACAGTGGTACCTGGGGTTACAAACGCTTCGGGTTACAAACACTTTGGGTTACAAACTCCGCTATCCCGGAAGTGGTACCTCAGGGTGAGAACTTTGCCCCAGGATGAGAACGAAAATTGCATGCCGGTGGTGCGCCGGCAGCGGGAGGCCCCATTAGCGAAAGCATGCCTCAGGTTAAGAACAGTTTCGGGTTAAGAACAGACCTCTGGAATGAATTAAGTTCGTAACTCAAGGTACCACTATATGCCCCCAAACTGACTCTTATTGGGATAAAAATTGTTCAGACCCATAAATATGATTCAAAAGCTTCACTCATATGCTTGTCCAAGCATAGGCTCATCTTCTTAGAAATATTAGATTACTCCCAACAGACCTAGAATCAGAAGTCTGTCTCTCTCCACACAGACTCCATTAGCCTGTTTTCTCTTCAGGAGAGTAACCTCATAAGCACATCCTCTGTTCTCTGTGACTCCCAGAGAAAGACTCAAGGACCAATTCCCCAAGATGGCAATTTGCAACTGAACACCTCTCTCACAAGACCTAAGGTTAAACACCACATGAGAGCTAACAGAGAACACCAACAGTTTATTATCAACCCATCTAGGTGCTTAGAGAGCCCTTCTTAGCTTTAGGATATATATACCCCAATGAAATTTCCCAGTTAAACTTTCAACAATACACATTAAAACACAGAGAGAGTTATTTTCATTTCAAGGTCAACTAAACAATTACGCTTAACAGGGAAGCACTGCTTCTATCCAATATTATGACGCTGAGCAGGACAGATCAATAGCCTGACTCAGTTTAAGGATGCTTCCTATGTTCCAGCCTGAAATTCGGTAGTATCCATCAATTCGGTAGCAACATCAGGATGCAATGCATTGCAATTCATACTTTTGTTTGTTTTCCATGACGGCCTGGAAATTTCATCACTTCAAGATGGGGAAGGGGTGCAATGCCGCAATTGTTTGCCATTGGGTAGATTGCACTGAGCACATGTTCCCCAGGTCATTGGGCGGTTCTGGAGGGATCAGTCCAAGGCCTGACCTATTTCCTCTGCTTATTCCTGTGAGAAGATTACGCCTGACCTGTGAGTTTGGACGGCTCCCAAGAAGAATAGCTTCTTGCACCTGTCAGGGACCGCAGTGCCTTTCTGCTGAACAATTACCCCAGGAGTGAGTTCTCAGGAGATAGAACTGGAATGGACGTCATTGTAGGAATTGAATATAGCCTGGCGTTCTCGCAGGCAATTTTCGGTCCTATTCATTGGTTTGTCTTGCATGCTAGCTATGGGTTTTGTTCACTTTCCTGGGATCTAAAGTTACTAAAGTGTTTTGCTTTTGCTTTTTCACCCTTAAAAGGTCTGGCCTTTAATGCCAAAATTAAAGCTTCAATTGCAAAGTTAATCATGTCCCTTTCGTACGGACTAGAAAAGACATTTCATTCCCATTGCTTAAGAGGCAGGAGTTCCCACAACCACAGCAATGGAATTTGTTGATTTCCCTTTGTTAATAGTATTTAGTTAATAATTTTCAGGTTCTCTTGAAGCTTTTCATCCAGTCTTCTGAAGACCATAAGTGAATCCAAGGTCACGTAGAACATGCAATTCATTTTGATGCCCATTGATCACCGAATAATACTTTCAAATAATAGTTCTCCACTTTTTCTTACTTAAACAAAAGCAAAGTATTCTACCCTTCCTCCAAGGAGCTCATGTGATGTAAGAATGAAACAGGCTATATCCACGTACAACAACCCTGCATGGTAATAATTTACAATTTATTTATAATTCGCAAATAATTTATAATTTACTCAGTGTTAAACCGCAGAGCCTCTTGGACTTGCCAATCAGAAGTTCGGCGGTTCGAATCCCCGCGATGGGGTGAGCTCCCGTTGCTCGGTCCCTGCTCCTGCCAACCTAGCGGTTCGAAAGCACGTCAAAGTGCAAGTAGATAAATAGGTACCACTCTGGCGGGAAGGTAAACGGCGTTTCTGTGCACTGCTCTGGTTTGCCAGAAGCGGCTTAGTCATGCTGGCAACATGACCCAGAAGCTGTACACTGGCTCCCTCGGCCAATAAAGCGAGATGAGCGCTGCAACCCCAGAGTCAGCCACGACTGGACCTAATGGTCAGGGGTCCCTTTACCTTTAAGTATATAGAGGGACCTTAATTAAGAAGAAGCCTGCAACAGAATCATTCCTCAACCACCCCATACGCAGACAAGTAACACTGGGGATGTTGATAACTAGCTATGAGGAAGCTGTGTGTAGATCTTAATTAATAATAATGACCAGCATCCGATCTTGCTCAAGGTATTTTGCTGCCCGAGGTCAGAGGCAGCCCAATATATTTTGCTGTCTGATGCAAAGGACAAGATGGCAGCCTCTGATTCCTCATAGAAAACCCAACTGGGCTGACAAGGATGCATCCTCCACAAAATCTGAGAATATTAGACTGTGATAGGGGTTGCAGGGCAGGTGAGTTTAGGGGAATAGTAGGGGGAAGCCCCTATCTCTCAGTATCTGCCAATGGTGGTGGCTGCCCCAACGTGCCTAATGGTAGAGCCGGTAGTGCTTGAGATAACAGACAAGATGGCTCCCTCCCAAATTCCCTCAACTGTTCCTCATCAGGCTTGGTTTCCAGACCCTTGATAATCTTGCTTGCCTTCTTCTGCTCACGTTCCAGCTTGTCAATATCCTCCTTAAATTGTGGCACCCACAGCTGGACACAGTATTCCAGGTGTGGTTTCACCAAAGCAGAATAGAGCAGTACTATTACTTCCTTTGATGTGAACACTATATTTCTGTTGATTAGAAGGAAAGCACAGTTGCCATCTTTTAAAACTGACTCCCTTTTTGTGCCACTAGAAAGCAAGCTACATTTAGCAAATGACCCATTTGCAAAGGGAAAATTTATTTTGTTGTCCACTATTATGCAAAGCATTGGAATGGGCCAGTTGAAAATAATTGGCAATGATTACCCAGTAGTAAATGTAGTAGTATAACAAAGAGATACTTGCTGCAGGCTCCGCTGCCTTTTCTTGCGGCTCCACCTAGTGGTGCAAATATTTTCTGAGCCGGCAATTGCAAGTTTCACTAGCGGTGATGTGTACAACCCTCCTTTCAGAAATCAAAATTATAATAGAATTTGACCACCACCCCACAGCAGCAGCTGCAACCCAAAACAAAAAAAGCACGAACCAGCCAAGCTAAAATCAGAATTACAAATTGTTATACCTCTGGAGAAATAAGACACCATTCAATGTATCAGGGATGCGGAACAAGCTCCCATCACCAGCTCCCATCACCTTTGCTATAGGCTTACTCACACATTACACCGAACACAGGAACAAGCTGTTTGGACGAATGCACATGTGCTTGTAACACGGAGCGGACGTTTGTTGATTCGTACAACTCTGTACAATTTCAAATGCCTGAGAAACAAGTCTAGATCCAGTCCAGAGACCAACTGGCATAAAAGCAGTGCTTTTTTGCAGCCAGAACTCACCAGAACTCAGTTTCAGCACCTCTCCGGTGGGTGCCATTGCCATGATAAGAAAACAAGGGAAGCGTTCCTGGTGAGTTCCAGCACCTCTTTTTCTAGAAAAAAATTGCACTGGATAAAAGAAGGCTTGCAGGGAGAGGAAGGTCTTCAACAGGCACCGAAAAGGCAATAGGTAAAGGTAAAGGGACCCTTGACTGTTAGGTCCAGTCACGGACGACTCTGGGGTTGCGACGCTCATCTCGCTTTATTGGCCGAGGGAGCCAGCGTACAGCTTCCAGGTCATGTGGCCAGCATAACTAAGCCACTTCTGGCAAACCAGAGCAGCGCACGGAAACACCGTTTACCTTCCCGCCAGAGTGGTGCCTATTTATCTACTTGCACTTGACGTGCTTTTGAACTGCTAGGTGGGCAGGAGCAGGGACCAAACAATGGAGCTCACCCCGTCATGGGGATTTGAACCGCCAACCTTCTGATCTGCAAGCCCTAGGCTCTGTGGTTTAGACCACAGTGCCACCTGCATCCTGAAAAGGCAATAGAGACTTCCTCATATGTAGTGGCAAGGAGTTCCAAAGTATAGTTGTCACCTAGTGGCTTCCCAGATCCAGCCACCATTGCTGGCTAAGCATAAAGCTGGAGAGATGTTCAGGCAGGAAGTCCCAACTGGATGTCAACATCAGCACTAAGGAGCTGTGCCAGCTGCTTGGTGCCTGAAGGTGGCAGATGCTGCCACCAGCGTGGGATATTTAAAGCCCAGTCAAACCAACAATTCATGTTTTGCTAGATATGCATGCGGCAGGAGCCAAATCTCACAGAGTTTTCCTGTAAATTGCTAGAGAGAACTCTGTGAGAGACATTCCCACTGTGCCCTGACAAAGGTGGGCATAGCTTAAGTCTCCTATCTGGGCACATTCTCTTCCTCTTTTGATCTCTTTCCGCTCTGCCAGCAAGTCTATCTTAAGTTAGACTTAAACGTATACAGTGATACCTCAGGTTATGAACTTAATTCGTTCTGGAGGTCCGTTCTTAACCTGAAACTGTTCTTAACCTGAAGCACCACTTTAGCTAATGGGGCCTCCCACTGCCGCCGTGCCACCGCCGCACAATTTCTGTTCTCATCCTGAAGCAAAGTTCTTAACCCGAGGTACTATTTCTGGGTTAGCAGAGTATGTAATCTTAAGCGTATGTAACCTGAGGTACCACTGTATTTGGAATTGATTTACCATTTTAAGCCTACCTGAACGAAGCTGCTGTTTCTGTTACTCTTCAGCAAGCATAATAATAATAATAATAATAATAATAATAATATTAATACCCTGCCCATCTGGCTGGGTTTCCCCAGCCACTCTGGGTGGTTTCCAACAAAACACTAAAATACAATAACCTATTAAACATTAAAAGCTAAAGAGGGCTGTCTTCAGATGTCTCCTAAAAGTCTGGTAGTTGTTCTTCTCTTTGACATCTGGTGGGAGGGCGTTCCACAGGGCGGGTGCCACTACCGAGAAGGCCCTCTGCCTGGTTCTCTGTAACTTGGCTTCTCGCAGTGAGGGAACCACCAGAAGGCCCTCGGCGCTGGACCTCAGTGTCCGGGCAGAACGATGGAGGTGTGAGTGAGTAAATGTTATTTCCCCCCGATGATTGTTTTAAGGGGGAGAAGAGGGGGAAACACCGGAAGGATCCAGTCTGCCTCAAAGCATCCTGGGACTCAGCTACATTAGTAAAGAAACAACGATTTGAAGGCGTTATAAACATGCAACACCAGATGGCGCCAGAGAGCAGGAAATTTTTATACACCTTTTTCCATAGGGGTTTTTGTTATTATTGTTATAACGATCTAATGTCTGACTTATGTATAGAGTTCCCGCCCCCCTGTGTGTAGATCCATCCCTGGATTACTTAAACTAAACAGCTAAAACTCTCCTATCTAAGCTTCCCTTTTAAGCTGCAAAGGGATGTATCCTGCTGAACTCACAAACGTGGGGAAGAAAGGATAATACCTAATAAATATATCATCTCCTAGCATGTATTCGCATCCCAACAGCCAGCCTAGTTGGCCCAGATGCATAATCTGGAGGATTGTAGGATCCCTCAGGATCAATTTTTGGGACCACCCAGCGAGGCTGTAAGGAGGACAAGTGAAACGAGAGAGAGAGAGAGAGCGCTTTTTTATTTTTTAAAAAAGCTACATTTGTTGATGCAATATATAGACCAGCCTATAGAGACTTATGGCTGGATTAGCCCAATTTGCTATTTTTAACTGAGATGCAAGATGGATTTCCAGTTGCATTGCACGGTAAAGATGTCTGTGGGAAGCATGTGGGAAAGTCTTTTTTGAGTTCCAGATTCCCACATACATCTAATTAAAATGAGAAATGAAGGACCACATACATTCTTCTTGGTCGAAAAGTTGCTTGGGTTGGCAGCATCGCTTAATGCTCGGCATTCTTGTACGTTTTCCCAGAAGAGTCACCAAACTTATTTTCTTCTTTCTCTGTTTGGTCAGGCAGAAGGAATTCAGCGTTACGGGCAGGGGGAGATGGGAAGAATCTGCTGTTGATTCTCCTTCCATTTGGGGTTTCTTCGCCAACAGTATTTGATTTATGTAGGAACTGGGGAATACCTGGTTCACTTTCCCACGTTGACAATTTGCAGCCCTCATACCCCACAAACGTCCTGAAAAAAACGGGACATCCATTTCCCCCAACGAGAGCACAGCGGCCATTTTGGTTACCGTGATCTCTCCCCCCCCAAAAAAAAACACACTTTGGGGGGACATGGTATTGTTTGCAACCCCAAAATGTGCATTTTGGGGCTCCATGAGAGCACAACACTGAAAAAATGTGTATCTTTGGGGCTCCGTGATCTTGTGTGGATGATTCGCACGGGAAGACGTGCATCCCAGTTTTGGGACTCAACATAAAAACCTCCAAAGGAGTAGAGTCCACAATCTCCTGAGGGAGGCCATTCCACTGTCAAACAGCTCTTACTGTCAGAAAATTTTCCCTGACGTTTAGTCGGAATCTCCTTCCTTGTAACTTGAAGCCATGAGTTTGAGTCCTACCCTCTAGGGCAGGCAGTGGCGTAGCGTGGGGGGTGCAGGGGGGGCCGGCCGCACCGGGCGCAACATCTGGGGGTTAGGGTTAGGGGGCGCAAATCCACGGGTTAGGGGGTGCAAATTACTTGCCTTGCCCCGGGTGCTGACAACCCACGCTACGCCACTGAGGGCAGGAGAAGGTGAAGTGTAGGTGGGTCCCCACGAGGCAAGACACAGTGGTAACAGCAAGAGCCTTTATTGAACTACATCACTGGGAAACAGGGGCAAAGCAACCGCTTATATACATTCCTGAAAGCCTGGGCCACTCCCACTCCCAACGTGATTGGCTGTCTAAACTTCCAAGCTGCGAATCACGACTCAGAGTTCAAGGCCAATGGCAGTGGCCCAAATCCTGAAATGTTCTGTGATTGGACATCTTGTATCGAATCAGGAGCTCAGAATCCTTAGTCCAGACTCAAGCTCAGGCAAACACAGACCACTGAATACATAACAGAAGGCAAGCTTATTCCCTCTTCCAGGTGACAGCCCTTGAGATATTTGAAGATGGCTAGCATATCTCCTCTCAGTCTCCTCTTTTACAGGCTAAATGTCGGAGGGTATGGGTGAATAATTAATAATAATAATAATAATAATAATAATAATAATAAATTATTATTAATTATTATTAATTAAATATTAATCAATTATTAATAAATTAATAAATGAATAAAAATGAATAATTATTAGTAATTGGTAATAGGCCCTTGAAAGCCTCCCCAGGTTACACCCCCTGCCCAAGGCACTGGTCCTACTTTGAACCTTCCTGCCTCCTCCCCTGGCTGTGAGATCACCCTGAATTCCCATGATGCCTCTTGCTTCCTTGGATGGAGAACAGAGAGGGCTGTGTGAGCATGTGCAGGTATTACCCTAATGTCGAACAGCAAGCTTTACGTTCATTGCTCCATCTCCTCCTCCTCCTTTTTTGACAGATAGTCTGTTGCATGCAATAAACATCACCCTTTACAGCCATTTTCCTACCTGCTTAGATTTTTCTTCTGTTGAATTTCCCTGAAGATATGTGACTGGGGTGTTTCCTTAACTTAAGTGTCCCCTCAAAGCTCAACGACTTGATTACATGGTTGTCTGCAAAAAGTCAGGGGCTGCAAGGAATGAAGGACGTTGCCAGGGTTTCAGAGTTGAATTTTGTGATTTCTAATTCCTAATTCTAATTCTAATTCATGCATGCACAGGAAAGCTCATACCAATAACAAACTTAGTTGGTCTCTAAGGTGCGACTGGAAGGAATTTTTTTATTTTGTTTCGATGACGGCAGACCAACACGGCTACCTACCTGTAACTAGTTCTAATTCCTGTTAGCCCATTACCAACTATTTTTACTATGTATTTTGTGGTTTCTGTATTGTGGTTTTATGTTGTGAACCGTCCTGAGATCTGTGGATGAAAGGCAGTATACAAATAATGATGAGGCTAGTGATAATAATAATAATAATAATAATATGGCCCTCTCAAAGTTGCCCAGAAGGAAATGTAGCCCTCCGGATGAGAAAGGTCACCTACCCTTTGTACAAGGCTTAAATATCTATCAACTCGAAATCAATGGGATGGGGGGGCGCAATTAATTTTGACTGCATCTCACCCAGTATGAATTCAGCATGGAAAACAAATGGAAGGCAGAAAGTTTAAAAAACATTATACACTTTTAATGCCTTGTTTGTAGTCGAGGTGTTTATCTAGGTGGAACACATGCAGCTGTATCAACAAGAAAGTGCAACCTGAAAGCAAACAGTACTTTTTTTTTTGTAATTCTCCTTTTCTTCACCTTGTAAAGAGCACAGGGATCTGTGCAGAAATAGCCTCGGCTGGAAATTTAGTCAACAAGGCTGCTTTGGCTGAGGCTGCACTTGGCAGACTCTCAGAAAGGGCTCAGAATTGTGGCTTTTGGATTCTGCTTATTAGTTCTGGACTCCGTGTTTGAAACAGAAACAGTGGGTAAAATTCTGGCACACCCAGACAGCTGTGGAGTAACTTGGTTTTCATTGCATCTCAGTTCCTTTTGCAAATGGAACCATTGCACTGGTTGCGGGGAACATGCAATTTCTCTTTCGCTCCCACCCAGGAAGTGAGAGGCTGGGAGAAGAGAAGGACAAAAGTTAAGATGTATCTGTGAGAGAGGATTCTGTACTTATCCATCTCTTCTATCTTTTTTCTCTATTCTTTTTTTCCTCCTTCATTTTTACTTTTTCTTTTTTGTATGTAATTACTTTGCCTTTTAATGAGGGTGAAAGAGGAGAGTGCAAAATATGGTCTGAAGCTCAACATCAAACAACCTAAGATCATGGCCACTGGTCCCATCACCTCGAGGCAGTGAGAGATTTTATTTTCTTGGGCTCTGTGATCACTGCAGATGGTGACAGCAGTCACGAAATTAAAAGACGCCTGCTCCTTGGGAGAAAAGCAATGACAAACCTAGACAGCACCTTAAAAAGCAGAGACATCACCTTGCCAACAAAGGTCCGTATAGTTAAAGCAATGGTTTTCCCAGTAGTGATGTATGGAAGTGAGAGCTGGACCATAAAGAAGGTTGATTGCTGAAGAATTGATGCTTTTGAATGATGGTGCTGGAGGAGACTCTTGAGAGTCCCATGGACTGCAAGAAGATCAAACCTATCCATTCTTAAGGAAATCAGCCCTGAGTGCTCACTGGAAGGACAGATCCTGAAGCTGAGACTCCAATACTTTGGCCACGAAGAGTCGGACACAACTAAACAACTAAACAACAACAAAGTTTGCCTTTTATTGTGATGCAAGAAGTGTTAACAAAACTTTATCATAAAAAGCATGGGTAGGCAAACTAAGGCCTGGGGGCCAGATCCGGTCCAATCAGATTCTAAATCTGGCCCGCAGACGGTCCGGGAATCAGCGTGTTTTTACATGAGTAGAATGTGTCCTTTTATTTAAAATGCATCTCTGGGTTATTTGTGGGGCATAGGAATTTGTTCATTCCTCCCCTCCCCAAAAAATACAGTCCTGCCCCCCAAAAGGTCTGAGGGACAGTGGACTGGCCCCCTGATGAAAAAGTTTGCTGACCCCTGATATAAAGAAAGAAAGAAAAAAAGAAACATTTAAACATAAGGGGGCAGCATTGAGGCAAAATTGAGGCCACACTTTGTTTGAAAGACCAGACTGAGAATGAAGGAGGGCAGGGTGTCAGGTGAAAACTTTTGCTGGGGTATCTAGTTGCTTTGATTCACAGTCCACATCTTCCTTGAGTTTCACTTGGGAGCATGGCAGGATATGGTGCTGCTAATGTATTCTGGTCCAAAATTGGCAAGATTCTAGCTTGATACCTGTGCCCTAAAGTGCAGGAGTTATTTTGGCACACAGGTTGCAAGCTCAGATATGGATCAGGATATGGATAGCAAGAATAGGAGAGTTTGAATCTGCATAGGAAATTGAAGCAAATAGGGGCCTTGATCCATAGTGGGAGACAAAGTGTTATATCTCCCTAACCTTCTTCTCCCCACATAATATATACTGCCTTTCCCCCAGAATCAGGACTCAAAGTGGCTCACAATTTAAGGGGGGTGGGATTCAAACTCCCCTCCTAGCTACAAGCATATAAAAAGTTATGGTTTTTTAAAAAAATGAATTGCACATGCAATTAAAAAGCCCACATCTACTTGGCTCTCAGTCCAGATCAGTCCCAAATGCACTGGTGATTTTGAGGCAAGAGGACAACGATTAAGGCTATAGATACAGAAATTACAGAATCACAGAGTTGTAGAGTTGGACTGGCCTCTTTTGAGCGAAGTGGGAGTTCCTCCAGAGCAGCAGGGGGCGCCACAGCAATGCTGTAGAATGGAGAGCGAGAGCTGGGGGGGGGGGTCACTATGTTTTAGCATCGCACAGGGCACCACTGAAATTTGAGAGCGCCAAAATCCCCCACTGCTTTACCTAACAGTAGGGCAAGTGGTGGATACTTGTCACTGTGTCCCATTGTGCCAGAAGCAGTTTAGTCATGCTGGCCACATGACCCAGAAAGCTGTCTGCGGACAAACATCGGCTCCCTTGGCCTGAAAAGCAAGATGAGTGCTACATCCCATAGTCACCTTTGACTGGACTTCAACATCCAGAGGCCCTTTAGTTTTTTTTACCTTTACACTAGACAGAATCTTGGGTATAGACTAGGGCTGGGCAATATTTGGTTTTCAGCATCGTAATATATCAGCAGCAGATGCCTGATTCTTGTCTTCCAAAGCAACTACTCTATTCCTAATTAAAAAATGGAAAGCGTAATGCTGGTGATCAACAAAAGAAGTTTAAAGACTGTCTCAAGGCAAATCTAAAAAAAAATGTAGTATAAACACCGGCAACTGGGAAACACTGGCCTGCGAGCGCTTCAGTTGGAGAACAACCTTTACCAAAGGTGTCATGGGCTTTGAAGACACTTGAACTCAGGACGCAAGGAAGAAATGTGCTAAGAGGAAGGCACGCTTGGCAAATCCACACTGTGATCAACTCCCGCCTGGAAACCAATGGCCCCACTGTTGAAGGACGTGTGGATCCAGAATTGGCCTCCACAGTCACGTACGGACTCATTGTTAAAACCGTGTTTATGGAAGACGATCTTATTCTGCTACAAGTGATCACCAAATAAGAAGATGATGATTAATCTGCACATCACAGGCATGTGGACTTCCACGTAATTTGCCGGACCGATAGATGTGAGAACTTGTAGTGGCAGGAGGCAAACCCTCACCGTGATCAACTCCCATCCGGGAACCAATGTCCCCACTGTGGAAGTATGTGTGGATCCAGAATTGGCCTCCACAGTCACTTACTGAATTACTTTTAAAACCATGTTTATGGAAGATAATCTGACTCAGCTACGAGTGATCGCCAAAGAAGATATCAGCAGCTAATTACCATGATATGCTGATATATCACGATATCTGGAATGCAACTCAGCTGCTTCTTCCTCCCCACCTTAGGCAAGCAGGCAGGCAGGCAGGTGGAGCTCTGATATAGTTTATCAATATATCGCCCAACTCTGGTATAGACCAGCGGATCCGAGTTCAGATTCCACACTCAAATTCCACACGCTGCTCAAGACACTATCAGCCCTTTCAGAATGGTTGTGTGGATAATGAAACAACTCCCCATTCTTGCTCTTTGAAAAAAGGACTTGATCCAGCTCCGATTAACAGCAAGTGACCTTTCCTGCTGTTTGAATGTGGGATGTTTCAACAGAGCCGAGGTTACGTACGGGGGAAATTTGGCACAAAATGAAAGGAGATTAGCAAGCGTGTTTGAAGTCCGCGGAGTGGGAGGTGCTGCCTTACGCTTGGGTAAAAATAAAAATAATGCCACATATTTACTCCGTCCCTCCCTCCCACTCACTGGCAGGATGTCTAGAGTATTTTCTGCCGAAATTGTTTAGTCTGCTAGATCGCAGACGTCCCGGAAGCGAGACAGAAGCTATGCTGGGGGGTGTTTTCATTGCAAGAGTCAGCATGCTCCTCTGCCTCATTGGGCAAATCATCTATAAAAGAGAATAAATATTGTGTGCCCAATAGCTGAATGTGTGTAGATTGGAGCTCAGCTGAATTCCTAAGTCCACTCCCCTTATTACGTTAGCAGGGCATACCGCGCTTTTCGCTGCTTGGTTTCCATTTAATAGTTTGGGTGCAGTCAAATGCATCTCTACTCAGAAATAACCCCTGTTTAATTCCCCTGCATTTATTTCATGATAAGCATGTATAGCAGAAACAGCCAGTGTGGGGTCCTCCAGATCACTGGCCATCGTCCCTAACCATTGGCCATGCTGGCTGGACTCATGGGAGTTGTAGTCCCTTGACATCTATTGGCTACTTCTGAGATTGCAGGTCGCGAATGTGTTTTATGTCTATATATTTTTATGCAGAAAGCTGATTTGGATGCTTTACGTGAGTCACATACTCAAGTCATGCCACACACTTCTAGCCTACGGTTAAGGAATTAAGTATATTCTGAGGGGAAGGGAAGTACACATTTTACAGATGGGGAGGTCTGTACCTGAACTAGTCTCCAGAGCCTCCAACATTCCCCCAATGAAAGTAAGGTAAAAGGTAAAGGGATTCCTGACCATTAGGTCCAGTCGCGGAGGACTCTGGGGTTGCGGCGCTCATCTCGCTTTCCTGGCCGAGGGAGCCGGCGTACATCTTCCGGGTCATGTGGCCAGCATGACTAAGCTGCTTCTGGCGAACCAGAGCAGCGCACGCCGTTTACCTTCCCACCAGAGCAGTACCTATTTATCTACTTGCACTTAGACGTGCTTTTGAACTGCTAGTTGGGCAGGAGCAGGGACCAAGCAATGGGAGCTCACCCCGTCGCAGGGATTCGAACCACCAACCTTCTGATCGGCAAGTCCTGGGCTCTGTGGTTTAACCCACAGTGCCACCCGCGTCCCTTCCAATGAAAGTAAGGACATTCTATTCCATAACCTCCAACATTTCTACATTGGAAAGGTACCTTGGGTTATGGTACCTCGGGTTAAGTACTTAATTTGTTCCGGAGGTCCGTTCTTAACCTGAAACTGTTCTTAACCTGAAGCACCACTTTAGCTAATGGGGCCTCCCACTGCCGCTGCGCCACCGGAGCATGATTTCTGTTCTCATCCTGAAGCAAAGTTCTTAACCCGAGCTACTATTTCTGGGTTAGCGGAGTCTGTAACCTGAAGCGTATGTAACCTGAAGCGTATGTAACCCAAGGTACCACTGTATATTGAATATCCTTCCCCCCACCCCACCCCTTTCCCCCCTTTTTGATGTAAGTCGCTTGGAGACCTTTGGGAGACAGGCGACAAATAAGTCTAATCAATGAAGTGAAATGGAAAATGAGGAAAGGTGAAGTTGAGTCTGTAAAAATAGCTTCATGTCAGGACTTGTCTCAGCTTTGGGATTCTCAGTCTATAAAGAAGGTAATCTGTGAATCTGAAGACATCTTGAACACAGAGCAATGCCTCTCTCTCTCTCTCTCTCTCTCTCTCTCTCTCTCACACACACACACACACACACACACACACACAATGAGCCACAGGAGAGCCACAGCAGTGGAAGAACACTTGCTTCTGTGCCCAGAAAACCCCAATGTTTGGCATTTCCATCCAAGGACTCCTATGCAAAACCCTGGAGAGCCACACCCAGTCAGGGCAGGAATGGGAAACATTCTCAGCCCAAGATCCACATTCCATCCTGGGCAACTTTCCAAGGGCCACATGCCTGTGGTACGGGGGCCAGGGGTGAAAGAGGGCAGAGAATTGGACGCAACTCTCCCTTTCGTACACTAGGCTGCATTCCAGCCATGCGAAAGCCAAAGGTTTCTACTCTCCACCCACCCCAGAAAGAGACGTGATCGCAATTCAAGGACACAGCCCAGTCAGGCAAAGGAGCCAGCGGAGGGTGCAGAACAGAGCCTATGGAGGGCTAAGGATTGGGTGTGGTGGCAGAGAGAGAGAGAGTCCCAGGGGCCAAACACACCCAAAGGGCCACATTTGGCCCACTGGTCTGAGGTTCTTCATCCTTGGGGTGGATGATGCAGAGGAAGAAGGACCATTGGTCTGACTGCACAAGGTAACTTCCTAGGTTGCCTTGCAAGAAACTTCGTTCTAAGAAAGCACCGGCAGGACGCATGCCACTTCTCCAACCGCAAAGCACTGAGCCCAGAGCATCTTGCAATAATGCCAAGGCATTAAAAACAGGCAAGCCACAATCCCATCAATAGAGAATCGTGTCAAAAATCACAATGGCATGAAAGCAAACACTGAGAATTCAATAGCAAGTGATGCAGTTCGATACGTAATTGCGTGGGATGTGGGTGGCGCTGTGGTCTAAACCACTAAGCCTCTTGGGCTTGCCGATCCAAAGGTCAGCGGTTCGAATCCCCGTGACAGAGTGAGCTCCTGTTGCTCTGTCCCAGCTCCTGCCAACCTAGCAGTTCGAAAGCACAACAGTGCAAGTAGATAAATAGGTACCGCTGCGGCAGGAAGGTAAACAGCGTTTCCATGCACTCTGGCTTCTGTCATGGTGTTCCGTTGCGCCAGAAGCGGTTTAGTCCTGCTGGCCACATGACCTGGAAAGCTGTCTGTGGACAAACATCGGCTCCCTTGGTCTGAAAGCGAGATGAGTGCCACAACCCCATAGTCGCCTTTGGCTGGACTTAACCATCCAGAGGTCATTTACCTGTAACCCTCACTGCAAGAAGAGAAGTTACAGAGAAGCAGGCTGAGGGCCTTCTTGGTAGTGGCGCCCTCCCTGTGGAACACACTCCCATCGGATGTCAATGCTGTGCAATTCCCAGAGTGGTCACCAATCCACCCTTCTTGCCAGGGAACTCTGGAAATTGTAGTTGGGTAGATGGTGGGAGAGGGTCTCCCCTCCAGTCTCCACACTTGGGGGGCTGTATCTCCCCACTCCACAGGGCTTCTCCTTCCTCGGATTCCTTGGATGCTTATCTGTGTTATGAAATGCAACTTTTCCCTAAAACTGAAGGGGGCTTATTTGCATGCCCTGTTTTTGTTGCCCCAAAGACTCCTCCCCAAAAAGGAAGGCAGCATATTGATCCAAAGGAAGAACAGAGTTGCAGACCTGCTGGACACTCAGCCCCTCCCTGTATAGGTATAGGTACTCATCTTGACTCAAAAGTAATTGATCGATGAACACCAGGTAGACTTAACAACTCTGGGAGAAGCCTTCTTAGAACCATAGAATTGTAGAGTTGGAAGGGACCATGAGGATCATCTATTCCAACCCCTGCAATGCAGGAATTTGCAGCTGTCCCATATGGGGATCGAACCTGCGAACTTGGTGTTATCAGCACCACACTCTAACCAGCTGAGCTATGCAAGGATACACTATAATAAGCACTATAAATAAGCTTAACCACACAACAACCTCTGGTTGTCAGAGTGGACTGCTAAGCACTTGAAGACATCTTTAGAGTATTTCCCTTAATGGGAATTAGTTTATTCTAAATCTGGACTGCCTTTCATTTGGAATTTTTGTGTTTTTTTTCAGAATGAACTCTTAAGTTTTGGGAATAAACTCAGTGGGGCTGAATTGATGGCCAGGCTAGAAGCATCTCTCGAATGGCACAGAAGAGAAGTGCTAGAAACAGCAATCCCTGGATATAGATATAGTTTACCTATGAGGTGGCCTTACCCCACAGGTGCCCACTCAACCTCTTCAGCTGGAGCAATCGGGTCTACTACTCTGAACTTTGGAACTCCCTGCCTCTTGATCTCAAGCAGGCATCTTCACTGTGGTTTTTTGGGGGCACCTGCTAAAAGCATGCTTGTTTAGGCAACCACAGAGCCTAGGGCTTGCCGATCGGAAGGTCGGCGGTTCGAATCCCTCTGACAGGGTGAGCTCCCGTTGTTCGGTCCCTGCTCCTGCCAACCTAGCAGTTCGAAAGCATATCACATGCAAGTAGATAAATAGGTACCACTGTGGCGGGAAGGTAAATGGCCTTTCCATGTGTTCTGGTTTGTCAGGGTGTTCTGTTGCAGCAGAAGTGGTTTAGTCCTGCTGGCCACATGACCGGGAAAGCTGTCCGTGGACAAACGCCAGCTCCCTCGGCCTGAAAGTGAGATGAGCGCTGCCACAACCCCATAGTCACCTTTGACTGGACTTAACCGTCCAGGGGTCTTTTACCTTTACCCTTACCCAGGTACAGTGGTACCGCAGGTTAAGAACTTAATTCGTTCTGGAGGTCCGTTCTTAACCTGAAACTGTTCTTAACCTGAAGCACCACTTTAGCTAATGGGGCCTCCTGCTGCCGCTGCACCGCCGGAGCACAATTTCTGTTCTCACCCTGAAGCAAAGTTCTTAACCCGAGGTACTATTTCTGGGTTAGCGGAGTCTGTAACCTGAAGCGTATGTAACCTGAAGCGTATGTAACCCAAGGTACCACTGTATTTAGAAATGCTGATGCAATTTTTAATCTGTGTTAGTCTTTTATTTTTTTGTATTGTTTTAAAGCAGAGGTTTTCAACCTTTCTCAGGTTTTTCTGCAGCACTCCTGTCGGGCAAGGGAGCCCAGTTACCGGTACGTCACGCCTTGCCTGAAGAGCCAACAGCCTCTCACCCTTTTTCAAACACCTTCCCTTGTGAAGCGTTCCCTCAGCCTCCTTTCCTCTCCCTTATCCTTGGGCAGCTGCAGCTGCCGCCCCTGGTCTCTGAGCTGTCAGTCCCTGCACCCCAAAGAGAGGTGCCTCCTCACACTGCCCCACAGGGGCCTGGGAAGCACCCCCTGGCCAGTCCAAGTGGAACCATTTGCCTGGGGACCTTGTAGCCAGGGCTGCAGCAACAAACAGCTGTGCAAGCTTTTGGGAGGCAGAGATGTGAGAGGGCATCAGAAGAAGGGAGGGAAGGAAAGAGAAACAGAGGTCAATGTTGCCTGCGGCACCCCTGACCATCATTCAAGGCACCCCAGGGTGCCACAAGACACTGGTTGAAAACCACTGTTTTGCTATTTTTCTTGATTTTATTGTTCTATCTTTCTGCAAACAGGGACGTGGGTGGCGCTGTGGGTTAAGCCACAGAGCCTAAGACTTGCCGATCAGAAGGTCGGCGGTTCGAATCCCCGTGACGGGGTGAGCTCCCGTTGCTTGATCCCTGCTCCTGCCAACCTAGCAGTTTGAAAGTATGTCAAAGTGCAAGTAGATAAATAGGTACCACTCCAGCGGGAAGGTAAATGGCATTTCCATGCACTGCTCTGGTTCGCCAGAAACGGCTTAGTCATGCTGGCCACATGACCCAGAAGCTGTACGCCGGCTCCCTCGGCCAATAAAGCGAGATGAGCGCCGCAACCCCAGAGTCGGTCACGACTGGACCTAATGGTCAGGGGTCCCTTTACCTTTACCTTTCTGAAAACAGCTTTGAGGGTGTTTTAGGTTGCTTTTTTAACACTCAAGCAGTGTATACATTGAATGAAATGAATTTTATACACAGACACAACTGTTTTTGCCATTTAAAGGGATATATCTAGAAATAAACAAAGGGCAGAAGCAACGAGGGAGAAAAGCAGAGTGGCTCGCGATGACTCCTCCCACAGAGCCAGCTCAACCATAAAGAACAAGTGGAGGGGCAGCTGTAGGGGAAGGACCATAGGTCAGTGGTAGAACATCTGCTTTGAATGCAGACGGTCCCGGGTCTGACCCCTAGTGGTAGGACTGGGGAAAAACAGCTTCCTGGTAAAACTGGAGGGCTGAGCTGGATGGACTGAATATAAGGCATTGTCCCAGGTTGATGCTCTTTTTGATCAGTGCCCAGGAGGGAGAAGGAGAGAGGCTGAGCCATTGATAGAGGGGCTGCAAAGGCAGCTATGCAGAGGCTGCTTTCATTGGGTCAGTGTTGCCTACGTCCCTCAAATCACAATTGAGAGCCTTTTTGGTCTCTGCCGGCTGCAGGTGGGAATCGGGAATCCCTGATACTTAGGGAGAAAAGCTTGCACTGGGGATTTTCATCAAGATTGTGGCTGGGGTGAAGGGTTAAACCTCCCCTGTCCATGAACTGCAGTCTCAGTGCAAATGCCGCTCTCCCATGCCTGCATAGCTGTCAATTTTTCCCTTTTCTTGCAAGGAATCCTATTCAGAATAAGGGAATTTCCCTTAAAAAAAGGAAAAAAGTTGACAGCTATGCATGCCTGTCATTAAACAAGGTAGCAATGACAGCCTGTTTGCAAGTACAGTCGTACCTTGGAAGTCGAACAGAATCTGTTCCGGAAGTCCGTTCGACTTCCAAAACGTTTGGAAATCAAAGCATGGCTTCTGATTGGCTGCAGGAAGCTCCTGCAGCCAATCGGAAGCCACAGAAGCGCCGTTGAATGTTCGGCTTCCAAAAGAATGTTCAAAAACCAGAATACTCAGATCCAGGTTTCGATCGTTCAGGAGCCGATTTGTTTAGGAGCCAAGGTGTTTGAGATCCAAGGTACGACTGTAATGCAATTAGGGTCATGGATAGGATGCAAAAAGGGCCTTAGTTCCATTGTTCCTGGGACTCTGCCATCATTCATCATCATTCATCTGATTTTGAAAGCTCCAATTTCTTTTTTTTTTAAATCAAAGGTCTCCAGGAGCTATTCGTGGATTGGCCCTTGTAAAGAGTTTCTGTTTTTCTCACTCCTAAGATAGACTCTTCCTGCTGCTTGCTGCTCCCCAATGGGTCACTTTAGGAAGAGCGGTAGAAAGAACTTACTGGTGGCTGCTGTTCCTGTTCCTTAAGTAAAATCTGCCTAGTAGTACACATCCTTAGCCCTCTCTTGCTCGCCACTGATGGACAACGACTGAATGTGCGTTGCTGTGTTAGGCTGCAATCACAGAGCCCCAGAGGACCTGCAAGGCTGCAATTCCGCCTTGCCAGCTGGCCTGCCCAACCATCCCAGGAAACTGATATATCACCTCCCACTGCAAAAGCATGTATATTCCAAGCATAAAAGAAAGCTGCACATTACTCAACATTATTTTAAGTAACATGTTGCATGCCCAGTGTCCAGACTGCATGTTTTTCCTATTTCCCTACCTGGTTTTGACACTACCCTGGGATGGGCATCTGAAAAAGCAGGGTTCCTGCTTGCTGTCCGGTATAAATCTTCACGATGAACCAAAACACCGTCTGCTTCTTTGAACCGCTTCACTCTCTCCTGCAACCTCTTTGGCCAGATCTCTTTTGCACCGCTTTTTTTCCAGCGCTCCAACCAGATGCAAAACATTTGCAGTTTTGCTGACCCCTCTTTGCTTTCATTTCCCGGCGCTGCATCATCCCCAGAGCTGCTGCCACGTGTGGTTTGTCTGGGGGCTCACTCACCCCCTCGCACAGCAGCCAAACAATATTCTCCGTCTCCTCCTTTAGGCTCTGCTGAGCTTTCCCCCTGAATATCACTTCTTGCATCTCCTGTTCTTTTTCTCAATTTTTTATTTTTTTGGACATCAGGGCACTCTCAAAAGTCACCCTGGCATCTCAAGACCACCCCAGTGGCACAGGGCGAGATCTGCACAGAAATTAGATCTGTCCCTGAAGCATCGTCTGGGTTCTTCCTTCCCACATCACTCAATCATCATTTGAGCTGTCAAGAAAACCTCAACATATTCCCTCTGGGGCACAATGCATTTTGAAGAGGGCTTTGCTTCCTCACCAGACCAGACATCTCCCCCTTTTTTCATCTGCTTCTTTCCCTCAACTCTATTGCTAGTAAGATACGCAAGATTTTAGTTTTTGCATTCTCCACCACCCATCTTGTAGAAAACAGCCTTTTGCATTCCTTTCATCCAGGTTGCAAAAAAAATACATTTATGAAGCAAGAGGGAAAAGGAGAAGACCCACCTGCAGAATGCCGTTGGTTGCTAGAATCCAGGGCAAAAGCCACCTCATCACTGGAAGCCAGGATGAAAGACATTGATTGAACCCAGATCTTTTAAAAAGGAAAAAAATAAAACTCCCTTTGGAACAAATTAGGCACCTCTTTGAGGGAATGTGGAGCACAGCCGAGGTTGACAGTGGGTCTGACTTTTCCCTTTGGGCTCCAAGGGAGGTTTTATTGAAGACAGATCTGACGTCAGGGTAAAGGACGAGCCCTGCATTTTTCTTCGGGAGTAACTTTTCCTGCCTTTTATTTTTTTTCTTTTCCCTTCCCCTTCCTTTGAGTGATTCGTCCCACACCTCCTCCTTCGCACAGTATTGCCTTCAGCCAGAAGATCCTTAAAGGAAAACTCGCTGCACATCGGCGCGAGAAGCTGTAATTTCCACACCATGCTCAAATGCTCAGAGTTCACCCGTAATTATGGTTATTTATGGCAGCCCCTGGCAGCCAAGGCAGGTTTGGCTGTGTGAGAATAAATAAATTTTGGGGGGGAGAAGAGAGCTCTGTAGCTCTGTATGCACTGTATATTTACAGCACTTTTATACCACTTTATTTTTTTCAAAAAAATTTTTATTGGTTTTCACAGAATTATAAACAAACAAATAAACAAGCAAACATAAATCCTAACCTTATTAAAATTATACTTATTAACATTGTTAAGTGACTTCCTCGCTTCCCCTTGGTTGAATTTCAATGCATATCCTTTTAACGGTTTTCCAAATCAGAGTTCTTATAAACTTAATCACTAATAATCATTCTATCTTTTCAGTTCAGGATTAAACATATTAATTCATCACTTAACTTAAATAACATCCTAAGCCGATCTAGTACTTGCAAGCTATTTCCAATTAGTTTAACTTAACGTATTTAACTAAATAGTTATTAAATTTCATCCATTCTTCCTGATACTCCTCCTCATTCTGGTTGCGGACTCTGCCGGTTAGGTTTTTTTTTTCTGTTTTTCTCTTTTTCTACTTTGTTTTCTTTTGTAACTTTAAAAAAAAAAAATTTCCCAATAAACATCATTTAAAAAAAAAGAAAAGAAAAAAAAGGTCGGATAGCTCCGGAAAAAATCCATCATCTTCATCTGCCATTCTTCTACAGTTGGTAGTTCTTGCGCTTTCCACTTCTTAGCTAGTACTTTTATACCACTTTAAACAATTACAGCTTCCCCCAAAATATCCTGGGGACTCTAGTTTGATAGGGGTGCTGAGAGTTGTTAGGGGACCCTGGTTTCTATCACAGAACTAGAAACTCCAGAGTAATATACCTCTAAATCCTTCTTGCTATGTCTGTGCTTCCCAATTAGCCAGGAGATGCGGACCCCCTGTTTTTCAAAAGCCAAGCCATGAACCTCCTACTTTTGAATATTCTGATATCACTGTGGTAGTTTTTGTTGTGTGAATGGTGCCATGGACTTCCTGGTGGGTTACGTGGACCACCAATTGGGAAGCAGTGTCCTAGGGAACTCTGGGAATTGCAGCTCTATGGAAGGCAGTTGTTTTTCAGTCGTTTAGTCGTGTCCAAGTCTTCGTGACCACATGGACCAGAGCACGCCAGGCACTCCTGTCTTCCACTGCCTCCCGCAGTTTGGTCAAACTCATGCTGGTAGCTTCGAGAACACTGTCCAACCATCTCGTCCTCTGCTGTCCCCTTCTCCTTGTGCCCTCCATCTTTCCCAACATCAGGGTCTTTTCCAGGGAGTCTTCTCTTCTCATGAAAAGTATTGGAGCCTCAGCTTCAGGATCTGTCCTTCCAGTGAGCACTCAGGGCTGATTTCCTTCAGAATGGAGAGGTTTGATCTTCTTGCAGTCCATGGGACTCTCAAGAGTCTCCTCCAGCACCAGAATTCAAAAGCATCATTTCTTCAGCGATCAGCCTTCTTTATGGTGCAGCTCTCACTTCCATACATCACTACTGGGAAAACCATAGCTTTAACTATACGGACCTTTGTTGGCAAGGTGATGTTGATAACCCTGCTCAACTCTGCATTCCATCGGGCCACCACATTCCAAATGGCACAGCTTTACCTGCTCAGTGAAAATGGGGCCTTAGTCCTGAGAGAAGGCTTGAGGTTGTGGTGCAAGATGGGACCTAAGCTGTCATGCGCTTTATTTATCTGTCTGAAATGAAAGCTCAGTGCTCTGCGACAAATGGAAAACTTTGACAATGCCAGAAAACTTGAAAACTTGAAACCACCATGGCCTGAGCCAGCCGGGGAGTGCCAAACCACGGTGGAGTCACCCTGTCCTCTCCTCGGGAAACGGGATCTTAGTCAAGGTTCTGTTCAAATATGACTTCACACACATTAAGTAAAGCATCCTCCTTGGTTTCGGCAAACTCCAAGAACATACATTTGCTCGGCCAGTAACCACAGGGGTCATTAATTACAGTTTCCCCCCCTCAACTTGCAGTATGAGGAAACTGTTTACTTAAACTAAGTGTAGAGAAGTGTTTTTATCTGAAAGAGTTCATGTACCAGGATGCCAATGTTAATCTTAAATATCACCGCAGAAGCTTACAAAAAGCTTGGCCTATCACTCAACATCCCAAAAACCAATGAGCTGCACCAACAAGCACAAAATAACCCCTTTGCAGTGCCACAAATCCAACTCAATGGTGTAACGTTGGAAAATGTCGGTCACTTCTCCTACCTGGGCAGTCATCTTTCCACAGGGGATGCCAAAATCCAGCATCGCCTGAGTTCTGCAAGTGCTGCTTTCTCCAGATTGAAGTGCAGAGTGTTTGAGGACCGGGACATTCACAGGGAAACCAAAATGCTTGTTTACAAAGCTATTGTACTACCAACCTTACTGTAGGCTTGTGAAACATGGAGCACTTATAAACACCATCTCCAACTCCTCGAAAGATTCCATTAACAGTGTCTCTGAAAATTTTTACACATCGCTTGGGAAGACAGGCGAACTAATATCAGTGTACTGGAAGAAGCAAAGATCACCAGTGTCGAAGCAATGATTCTTCAACATCAACTTTGTTGGACTGGTCGTGTTGTGCGGATGCCTGATTATCGTCTTCCAAAGCTACTACTCTACTCTGAACTTAAAAATGGAAAGCGTAATGCTGGTGGTCAGCAAAAGAGGTTTAAGGACTGTCTCCAGGCAAATCTAAAAAAATGTAGTATAAACAACAACAATTGGGAAACATTTGCCTGCGAGCACTCCAGTTGGAGAACCGGCTTTACCAAAGGTGTCATGGGCTTTGAAGACACTCAAACTCAGGACGAAAGGGAAAAACGTGCTAAGAGGAAGGCACGCTTGGCAAATCCACACTGTGATCACCTCCCGCCCGGAAACCAATGCCCCCACTGTGGAAGGATGTGTGGATCCAGAAATGGCCTCCACAGTCACTTATGGACTCATTGTTAAAACTGTGTTTATGGAAGGCAATCTTACACTGCTACGAGTGTTCACCAAATAAGAAGAAGATGATTAATCTGTACATCACAGGCATGTGGACTTCCACATTATCTGCCGGACCAATAGATGTGAGAACTTGTAGTGGCAGGAGGTGCTACATTTTCCCTGTGGTCCAGCTCATTTTGAAATTATTAATATCCAAGCAAAGTACCTCCAAAGTGGAGATGGCAGGGTCTGTTGATTTTGGTTCTCTTGCTTTCTCATTTTTCCAATCTTAAATTTAGTTCTCCACATTTCTTCAGGGGGTGTTGGTTGGTTTATTTTCTTGGAGAAAAAGCAAGTGAGAGATGACATGACAGAAATTTATAGCATCATGCGTGGGGGGAGAAAGTGGATAGAGAAAAGTTTTGCTCCCTCTCCTATAACACTAGTATTCATGGACATCCGTGAATGTTGGAAAGTTCAAGACAGAGAAAAGGAAGCAAGTTTTTATGCAGCACCATGTGGCACTCGCTCCCCCAGGACATGGACGGTTCTAAAAGAAGACTGGAGAAATTTAGGGTTAGCGCACGTCTGGAATTTCCAGGACATAGTCAGGATTCGGCCGTCAGAAACAGTGTCCGGTTGGAAATCGCTTAAATGTCCAGGGAAATCCGGACGTATGGCAAGCCATGACTACCGATCCACAGTTGGAGGCGATATGCTTCTGAATACCTGTTGCTGAAAGCTGTAGAAGAGGCGAGTGCTGTTGTCCTCAGGTCCTGCTTGTGGGAATCTCAGAGGCATCTGGTTGGCCACTGTGAGGGAAGGATAAATAATAAATACCGTATTTTTGGCTCTATAGTACGCACTTTTCCCCCTCCAAAAATGAAGGGGAAATGTGTGTGCGTCCTATGGAGCGAATGCAGGCTTTCGGAGCGCTCCGAAGGCTTGCAGATAGCAGCCTGCAGCCCAAAGCCTGGGGAACGCAGCGCTGCGCACCCCGGGCTTTGGGCAGCTATCCACAAGCCTTCGGAGCATGGCGGGGGTTCCCGCCGGGCTCCGAAGGCTTGCAGATAGCAGCCTGCAGCCTGAGGCCCAGGGAGCGCAGCCTGGGCTTCAGGCAGCTATCTGCAAACCTTCGGAGCGCTCCCCCAGCCCGCAAGCTCCGGGAGCGGCAGCAAGGCTGCGCAACCTTGCCTCCACTCCTGGACCTGTTCTTGGGGCTGGGGTCGGGGGAAGCTCAGGGAAGCTCCCCTAAAAACGAAGCTGCGCGCAGCCTCTCCCAGCTGGAGAGGTTGTGCATGGCTAAAGAGGAAGCCAAGACAGGCAGCGGGATGGATCCCGCTGGCTGTCTTGGCTTCTTTGCTCTTTGGGGCTGGGGTGGGGAATAATTTTTCCCCTTTATTCCCCCCCTAAAAACTAGGTGCGCCCTATTGTCCTGTGCGCCCTATGGAGCGAAAAATACGGTAAATGATTTTTTATTTATACCCCGCCCTTCCCGGTTCAGAAAACCAGCCTCAGGGTAGCTAATAACAAATTTAAAACACTTTGATGCAACAAAAAACAGCATAAAATACAGTATAAAATGTGAATAACAATAAATTAAGAATTCGAAAATCAATTTAGGGGGGAAATCCATCCAATAAACTTTAGATGATCACCAAGGCTAGCTGGCTAAATTAGTCCCTTTTGGGCCAGCGAGGAGACCAGGGGAGAAATAGCTGTGGGATCCCAGAGCAGGTAATCTTCATAGAAAGGGGAGGGGGAGGGAAGGAAGGGGAATAAAAGATCAGGCTAAGT